GGTCACTACCCTCCCTTCTCACTCCAACAAACTTTGCATTCAACTTCAGCAGCTGATTCCCAGGCACTGTGTGGACTTTGGCGTTGCCAAGAACTGCTCCTCCCCTGAGATTTTGATTTTATGCTCTCCTCTTCACAACTGCTCTTCTACCAGCTTCCCCTATCCTTTGCTACCTCTATACAAGTTCTTGAACTTCATTCAAATGCTCCCTTTCCCCCATCATGACTGTCTACACCAGAATTAGAAACAGGAATATAGTGCAAGCTACCAGTGGAATTTAAAATATTCTAGTAGCTATGGTTTAAAGGTAAACAGAAACAGGTACAATTCCTTTTCATAATATATTTTATTTAACTCAATCTATTTCAAATATCTGTTCAGCATATAATTATAATATACAAAATTATTTTTTAAGGAGAAGGAAGTCTTAGTGTGTACTTTAAATTTTTTTTTTTTATAGAGGCATGTTTTTTTTTTGTTTTTTTTTTTTTTATTTATTTGTTTGTTTGTTTTGTTTTGTTTATACATGCACTGGGTACAGCCAGAAGCGCGGGAGGGTGAGAGAATTCACCAGAGCCAGAGCGAGGAGCAGAGCAGGCAGAAGGACCGAAGTACACTGCTGAGGGGGGCAGCGGGCGGCAGGAGAGGTCTGCGTGCCATGTGGGACCCTCCTCTGGTGGCCTGGGAGCAGCCGGGGATCGAACCAGCGCCGCAGAGGCTGTGGGCAGCTTCGCAACCCAGCGCTCAACCGCTGCGCCACCAGGGAGGCCCCTTAGTGTGTACTTTATACTGACAGCACATTTTGATTCACACTAGTCACTATTCCATTGCTCAACAGCCACACACGTAGCGACTACACGTTAGCTGGTGTCAATACCAACTTCACTTCTTTTTTAAATTTTTTAAAAATTATTTTTTAAAGATTTATTTATTTATTTATACAAGAACCGGGGTACAACCCAGATGTGTGGGAGGGTGAGAGGATTCACCAGAGACAGAGTGGGGAACAGAACAGGCAGACTGACGAAATACACTGCTGAGGGGAGCAGCGGGCCAGAGAGGAGAGGTCTGCTCACCATGTGGGACCCTCGCTGGCCAGCACGGATCAAACCGGCGCTACAGAGGCTGCGGACAGCTTCACAGTGCTGCGCTCAACTGCCTGCACCACCAGAGGAAGCCCAGCCAACTTCACTTCTTTCACAGGGTATCAGTATAGATATCAAGGTGGGTCACTTCAACACCCTTACCTTAGCACCCTAACTTTCTCATCCCAGTGTTCGTCAGTCTTGCTTCTCTGCTTAATCTCAATTTTGGATTAAGCCAGACTCCTCACTACTGTGGCTCCTGAGTCTCACTATAAACCACTCCAGGGCAATAATGTCAGAGAGATGTGTAGAGATGATTATACAACTATTGGCTTCATTCTGGAGCAACATAATAGTTTTTCTCTACATTTGTTTCTTCTCATATTCTGACAACAATAATCAGAACTTCACTCCTCAGAATTTTGCTGCATATTACTAATACATGTACATTTTGATTAAAAAAATAAGCTTTCTGCTTCAAGATTTTTGCCCCAACACATGTACACCTTCATTTTCTATTTCATAGAGAGAATTCAGACTCTGAAGAGTCCCTTTCCTTCTCTAACATCCATATACCTCCTTATCTCCTTGGGTCTCAGAAGCACATCTGTCTCCTGCCACACTCCCAGCACCAGAAGAATCAAACAAATAAAAGACCATGTGCCTTCCCTCTAGTCCAAGACTAACCCTCTTTCTGGACTCCAAAACCATTCTTTCAGTCTCAGTGAGACTTTCCTTGTCTCCCTGCCTCAGTATTTTCAGCTTACTTTCTTTTCATTGCTTTATTATCCCTCAACATATAACTATAATTTCCTCACGGATAAGATATTTTCATAATCTTGTGCTCCCTTCTACCCTTCATTATTGAAAGGTTCCCCGTAGTAAAGAAAAGAAGAGCCAGGCCAATTTTCTCACATGCAGGGGAAAATTTATTGCCCCCCCAGGCGAGATTCACAGACCCAAGGTGAGGGTCAGTGAAGTCACCACCATTATCAGGGGAAGGCAGGTTTTTATAGGTTGGGGAGAGGGAAACCCCTGGCATGGAACTTTCAATTTTCACTTTTTCCTCCTTCCCTTTATAGCTGAATTTTTCTTCCCCTTCTCCCCACTCCCCAGACCAGTTTCTAAGGGCTTTATTGATTAACATGCTTTGGAAAAGAAAGGTAATCCTGTTGCTTCCAAGTCAAAATGAAGAGCTATGTCCAGGGACACTCCAGAGCTACCAAAGGGGACTCATTCATAGATCCGCTGAAAGCAAAGGATTGGACCACCAATTCTTTGGGCTTCAACCATAGGCTTATTTCTTTCTCACATGACTTTCTTGAAAGTATCCTACATTTCATGATTCTGCTGACCACCCAACTCAATTACAGCAATTTAGCTTTTCCCTCATCATAGCATTGAAACCACTCTCTTTAAAATTACCCATGACCTCTGTTGCTAAATGCAGTGGAGCCCCTTCAGACTTTTTAACGTGGTCGTCTTTGACACTATTTACCACTGCACCATCTCTTTGGCATTACTGCATGTTGTGGAAAAGAATAGGGTATAGGCCAGAGGCACTGTGAGACAGAGTGGAGACTAGAACAGACAGATTTATTGAAATACACTGCTAAGAGAAGCAGCAGGCCAGATGGGAGAGGTCTGCACAGCAAGAAGGACTTGAGGCTCCTTTTTTAACCTGTATCAAGGACTTTTCATGACTGGGGAGATGATTTGGGTGGTTAGTGCTGGGATGGCTGGTCTTGGGCCTTGACCTTAACACAGAATGTATCCTGGCCCTGCTTCCACATTCTTGGTCAAAGTGATCTGTCTTATGACCTGGTTTCCATAGCAACCTTATCAATTCCCTTTTATCTATTCAAGCCTCCTAAACCTTCCTGCTGGGCAAGGGGTGGGGACTTAGTTTTAACTTGTTAAATGACACCCAACACTGCAATGCAGTGGTTAAGAGCCATATCCTGGAGCCACACCAACTGGGTTCTAATTATGAGTAGGAAATTTGGGACCTGAGGCAAGTTAAGAGCTCTTCTCTTACATAATAATGGTATCTATCTTTAGGGTTGTTTTGAAGATTAAGTGAATTCATAACTAACAATTATGGAGTCTTTACATATATTTACATATATTAACTTAATCAAAACAGTGCTAGCTCCTAGTAACTTGTGTATGTTATCTATAATAATATTTTATTATTTTCAATCATTACTCAGCTCAAAAGCTCCCCTAGCTCTCACAGCTGGCAATAACTGCCGAGGAAAAGGGCAGGGCACATCTGTTCTCCATCCCATCCTCATCAAGTCTATGTTCGCAGATTGTTTTGGGTTGAATTGTGTCCCCCTCCTCCCCCTCCTGATACCGGAATTGTCAGGTCTAGTCTCCCAGCCAGGAACGGATCTCAGGCTGCAGGGCAGCGCTGAGTCCCAGCCACTAGACCCCCCAGGGTTGGTGTCTCACGAAGCCGCAGCAGGAACTTTGCAGACGCTCAGGCAAGCAAGCGAGAAGAGGCAGGTTCGTTTATAGAAAGAAAAAGTTTATTGAGGAGGAAAAGAGCAGAAATAAAGTGGGACTCCCAGGCCAGGGAACCAGGCCTGGGAGGGGCAAGGAAGCCAAAGTAGAGTGGTGTCTTAGGGAATATATACCTTTTTTTCCCTCATTATTCTAAAACTTTACCAGTCTTTTTGTGATTGGTTAGTTTTCGGCTGTTTTACTTAATTTGCTACTGAGTGCGGGATCTTCACATTCCTTATCTAACAGCTTTCTCTTTCCCCATTAGTTGCATCTTTAAATTTATGGCCCAGTCCTCTGGATGGGCATCCCTGCATTGAAGTTAAACAGCTGCCCTTCTAATGTGTCCATAAATTAAACCACTCTCCATTTCTCCAATCTCCACCTCCCTTTATCACCTGAAGAAAACCAGGACTATCATTGACAGTATTAATATTATTCGTGGTCCTGGGGTGTTTGTTTTCCTAATGGAATTGGTTATATTTCTTTGGTTGTCCTTATCTCTGAAGCCTCCCTAAATTCTTCAGAGGTCCCCTCCTGCACTGTCCCTAAAAACTGCCTAATAACCCTAGCTTGCCCTGTCTCACTCCCACCATAAAAGCTATGTTGGGGTCCTAATCCTAATCCCCAGTACCTTTGCCAAGTAATCTAACATTTTGTACACGTTACAAATGTTGTTTTGCGTCTCCCTCCCACCCCCGCCCCCACGCCCAAGGTCACACAGTAAACTGAGTGCTGCGCTGTGAAATTTATAATCTGGGAATCTGGGGACAGAACTCATGTTACTGGGGGACACACTCCCCCTAACACCCCCAAGGCTTTGTTTAAGACCAGCGTAGTACAGTTTCACAACGCGCCCTTGCTAGGCCCGGGGACTCCGAGAACAGCGCCGCCCGCCAGACCCAGGCGGCTTCCTGAGCCCGAAACCTAGAGACGACTCGCGGCCCCGCCCGGCGGAAGCGCGCCAGGACCCGGGGTGCGAGCGGACTGTGATCGCCCGGGAGACGGAGAGCGGAGCCCCAGCGGCCCGCCGCCTCTGCAGGAAGGGGTGCAGCGGGTGGTCGCGGCGTGCGGCGTTGGGGCAGGCAGTGCCTGCCCTGGGTGGGGCGAGGGGGAGACGTGCTTCTGGCGCTCGGGGCTCCGCGCCCCAGCTTCACCCAGGGCCTGGACGGCTCGCCTCGCGCGGGCAGCCCCCTACTGCCGCGGTGTTCCATACAAGATCTGGGGTGTAGGCCAGAGGTGCAGGGGGTGAGAGGATTCACCAGAGACAGAGTGGAGAGCAGAACAGGTGGATCAACTGAAATACACTGCTGAGGGGAGCAGCAGGTGAGACAGGAGAGGTCTGCTGCGCCATGTGGGTATCTCCCTGGCCGGGGATCGAACTTGTGCTTCGCAGGTGAGCGCAGGTTGGGGCTTCCAAGGCTGAGCCCGGTGATCTGGTGGAGTGGTCTCCCCTGTAGTATGGACATCCCGAGCGCACCTTCCAAACTTAGCCTGTTTCTCACCTGTGATCCCACTTCTGGGTGTTTGCATGTCACTTCCTTAGTTTGGGTTGGCGTAGACGTGTGAAGGGACACTTTTACCACATTCAGAGTGTATTTTAATGATCTTATAGGTGTAATTTTAAATAACAGCGGGAAATGTGAACAGAAAGGACCAAAAGTGGTTTTCAGGGGAGAAAAGTCAGTGGTTGCTTGTCCATTACATAAAGTGAGGACTCCAAAAGGAAAAGAAAGAATAAAATATGAAAAAAGAAAAATGGCATCCTTGTGAAATCATATAATACTAGCAGTGATTTAGTGACAAATAACTTTTCTTCCGGCTCCCTAAATATACCGAAAGACCTAATATTCTTGAATTATTTTTCAAATCAGTGCGTCTGATTTGGCTATATGGGGAAATTATTTCTAGGGTCTCCTGCTAATTCTATGATACAAGTAAGTAATTCTATAATACAAGTATGTATGATGGATGGCAGTATTGCTGGTTTGGGTTTGTGATTTTTGCTTTACCTGCCATTTGTGCCTTGTAATTCTATGTGGTATGATTAAACAAGACAAAACAAAACAAAAAATAACACCAAGTAAGCTTTCCAGTTATCAAATTATTACTATAATGGAAAAAGCTGCTATTTATTGCAGGCCTCCTGTACATCAGGCAAAGTTTTAGAAAATTTATATTCAACTTTCTTATGTATTAAGCAATCCATCTAACCACTTCATCCTGGAAATACAGAAGTCCCAGACACCTTCAACTCAAAATGTCCCAAAAGAAACTTGTCTTCCTTTTCTTCGTACATTTCTTTTTTTTTTTTTTTTTAAGATTTCTTTTTATTTTATTTATGCATATAAGATCTGGGGTGTAGGCCAGAGGTGCAGGGGGTGAGAGGATTCACCAGAGACAGAACAGAGAGCAGAACAGGGCCTCCCCGGTGGCGCAGCGGTTGAGCGCTGGGTTGTGAAGCTGCTCACAGCCTCTGCAGTGCCGGTTCGATCCCCGGCTGCTCCCCGGCCACCGGAGGAGGGTCCCACATGGCGCGCAGACCTCTCCTGCCGCCCGCTGCTCCCCTCAGCAGTGTACTTCGGTCCTTCTGCCTGCTCTGCTCCACGCTCTGGCTCTGGTGAATTCTCTCACCCTCCCGCACTTCTGACTGTACCCAGTGCTTGTATAAATAAATAAATAAATCTTAAAAAAAAAAAAAAAAAAAGAACAGAGAGCAGAACAGGTGGATCTACTGAAATACACTGCTGAAGGGAGCAGCAGGTGAGACAGGAGAGATCTGCTGTGCCATGTGGGTATCTCCCTGACCGGGGTTCGAACTTGTGCTGTAGTGGCGGGCAATAACCTGACAGTGTTGAGGCTTTAACCACTGTGCCATGAGGTAGGCTTTCTTCCTGCATTTTCTACCTCTGCCACTCTCCTCTCTCCAGAAAAATCAAACAAAAAACCTGTCTTCTTGGACTGCTATCACCATTCACCTAGTTTCCACCAGAAAACTGGGAGTTTACCTTGCCCCCTTCTTATTTGTCCCCCATAAATCTTATAACCAAAAATCTTGCTGATACATACTTCCTTCCCATTTTCTTCATTGGTACCATTCTTTTCCATCCCATCCGTTCGGCCTTTTCTACTCTCGGAGTCTTCTCTCTGGCTCTCTTGCCCATTCCCCATCCAGCTCAATCACAGGCAGATTTCTTTAATATGCAGATATGATTACATTGCTCTTTTGTGTAAATCTTTCGGAGACAGCCATCATTAACCTAAATCCAGCAACCTAAACTTGGCTTACAATGGCCTTCAGATAAGGCTCCGCTTTACCAGCCTGTTAAAATTCACTTTCAATTTCTTGAACTGAACACAAATCTCTTTTGCTTTTAAATATGTGAATCTTCCTGGGTCATTCTATTCCTTCTCTTTGCTGCACCAACTTCTGTTCATCTTATAGGCTTCAGCTTAAATATAATTTTCTAACTCCCTTGGATATTTCTACTATATGCTAGCAAGGTTCTTTTGGCAAGACTTGTAGAGATCTGAGATGCAGTCTACACTGGGTGTTGGTGAGGGCAGGGAGAATGAGATATTTGTTCAGCATTTGCTCAGTATCTACCTATTGGATGAATAAACGAATAAGTTGCTGATGTTCTGTTTTATGACGATTACAGCTACTTTGATTAATTCTGCCTTTTAAAAATTAATTTTCAAATATTTCTGTTTTTAATAGAGTTTGGGAGAGCCCGTGGTGACTTCATGAGTGGAGCTGGGCTGTGTGGATGCCCCAGCATGGATGACTACACAGTCCTGAGAGTGATTGGGGAGGGCTCCTTCGGCAGAGCCCTATTGGTTCAGCAGGAGAGCAGTCGTCAGATGTTTGCCATGAAGGAGATCAGGCTTCCCAAGGTCACTCACTGCTAAGCTAATGCTCATGTGAAAGTGCACAGAGTGTGCAATGTGTATAAGAGAGTAAGCTCTTGAGATTTAACAAAGAGTTGCTGCTTGGTGTAAAAGATGTAAGGGGCTTATTCATTAGCTTTACAAGGTCATGATCTATCTTATGTGGCTCTTAGGATATTGAAAAGGGAGAAAAATAATCAACGTTTAGATGGCAATTGTTGTTTGTTTTATCTCAATGAGAAAAATTTGTAATCGTCTCTAATTTCATATACCTAAGGATATCGGGGTCTCTATCAAAAGCAACTCAGGTGCAATGATAATGAAAAATCATTAAAAAATACAATGAAGAGCAAAGGCCTACCTAAAATACATCTAGTATTGGAGTATCATAAAACTATACTGTATTATTGTAAAGTTATCTGTATTTTTTTTTAAACCAGACATTTATTGCGTGACTAATTGTTGAAATCCTTAAGATGAACAGGATGCTGCAACAGCTGCCCTCTTGGGTTTAGTTGTGTTCCTTCCTAGAATCCATGCCTGAATCTGTGGTATACAGTTTTTAGGTGTCTCATTAGAAAAGTGCTGGTAGTGTTTCGTGTCTGGGCTTGTCTCTCCTTTCTCCCTTCTCTCTCCTGCCCCTCTCCTGCCTCTGGGTCTCTTGGGGAGTATATATCAATACTGCTGCTATGACCCACAGAAGTAAACAACATAACTTATTACAATGTAACAAATATAGGTGCCCACATCAGGCAGCAATCCTAATGGCAGGAGGGCAGAAAAGCCTGAAAATCATTTACCCTACAATGGTGCTCCCTTTGTCATCTTGCTTCTGTGGCCAATACCAAAGAGCTAAAGTTATCTATTTTAGAAGATGTGTATTTATGCATATTTTATTATTTTGTTAAGATAATATTGGTTTGCAACACTATATTCTTCAGAAATATAGTATCCCGTGGGATACCTTCCAGAATATGCTACCACACCACACCCACTACCAAGACACCCATAGTCAATGTGCTGTCCCTCTACCTCTTCCTCTTCTGGAGCTTCAGTTTTACAGTCAGATTTCTAGGGTTTGTTTTATATTTATTTGGACTCACCCCCCCTTTTTTTTTGTTTCTCTACAGTCCATATATAAGTGAGACATTCTGATATTTGAATGTCTTTCTCTTTCTGACTTATTTCACTTACCATTATCCCCTCCTGTTCCATCCATGTTGTTGCAAATGGCAAGAGTTCATCTTTTATTATTATTGCGTATATCCATCACATCGTCTTAATCCATTCCTCTGTACTTGGGTACTTAGGTTGTTTCCATAACTTGGCTATTGTAAATGGTGCTGCAATGAATGTAGGAACGCGTACATCAATTTCTATTAGTGTTTTTGCATTCTTGGGGTAGATATCTAGGAGTAGAATTGCTGGATGATATGGTAGATCTATTTTTAATATTTTGAGAAACCTCCATGCTGTTTTCCATAGGAGACTGGAACAGTCCACATTCCCACCAACAGTGTAAGAGGGTTCCCATTTCTCCACATCTTGCCAACACTTGTTTGTGGACATTTTGATATGGGCCATTCTCACTGGTGTGAGATGCTATCTCATTGTAGTTTTGATTTGCATTTTCCTGGTGAGAGGTGATGATGAGCACGTTTTCATGTCCTAATTGGTCATCTGAATGTCTTCTTTGGAGAAGTGTTTATTTAGCTCTTCAGCTCATTTTTTGATTGGATTCTTTGTTTTCTTTTTGTTGAGTTGTATGAGTTCTTTGTAGATCTTTGACATTAGCCCCTTGTCAGATATATGATGTGTAGATATTTTCTCCCATTTGGTAGGTTGTCTTTTTGTTATAATGATCATTTTTTCACCGTGCAGAAGCTTTTTAGTTTGATCACTCATTTGTTATATTTTCTTTTTAAAATCTTTTTCTAGTCTTCCACTGATATACAGAATTCCAGGAAGGAGGCGGTTCTTTTAGCCAAAATGAAACACCCCAATATTGTTGCCTTTAAAGAATCATTTGAAGGTAAATATGAATTCCAACAAATAAGTGCATTTCTGAATTTGACTCATGACCTCTATAACTTTGCTAAAGAGCTTTACATTTGTTCTAGCTGAAGGGCATTTGTATATTGTGATGGAATATTGTGATGGAGGAGACCTGATGCAAAAGATTAAACATCAGAAAGGAAAGTTGTTTCCTGAAGATATGGTAAGAGACCAACTTAGTTTCCCTCAAGATTTATTTATTTATTTTTAAAAAAGATTTATTTATTTATTTATACAAGAACCGGGGTACAGGCCAGATGCGCAGGAAGGTGAGAGAATTCACCAGAAACAGAGCGGGAAACAGAACAGGCAGACTGATGAAATTCATTGTAGACGGGAGCAGTAGGCGAGACAGGAGAGGTCTGCCACGCCATGTGGGACCCTCGCCGGCAGGCTGGGATTGAACCAGTGCTGCAGAGGCTGCAGACAGCTTCACAGTGCAGCGCTCAACCGCCTGCGCCACCAGGGGAGGCCCTCCCACAGGATTTAGTAGCAGCTTTTCTTATGACATTTGTATAAGTTAAATTAAAAATGTTGGGGTTTATTATTTACTAATATGCTAGTCAGAAATGACTCATTGCTCTGTCAGTGCTACTGCTTGATATCATCAGGATGTTGCTCCCTGAGATGTTTTTCGGAAGTAAAATAGATGAACTAAATGAAATATTAAGGAATAAAACGTTCATGTATAGAAGGAATTATTCATCATATTTTATCCTAGATATTAAAAATCTTGATGTTTGTTGTATTGAAATGTTGGAAGGCAGATGGGTCTATTTTGTATTTAGCAATACATCTTTAGAAGAATGAAACCTGCTTTTCTGTTTCTTTAGAAAACCTAAGTTTACCATATTCCCTTACATTTAGGACTTACTATCTTGTTAATGGAAGATTATGTGCTAAATATTATTGGAATGAGTTAACCAAGGAAAACATTTAAATAAGCCACTTGTATGAGGCTTGATTTGACTTAGGGTGTAAGATGTTGTGAAAATGTACTATATAAATATTTTTCATTTAGAAGTTTTGTTCTTAAAAATTTGGGTTCCATAGAAGGAGGTTAACCTTGGTTTCAACTTTGAATCTTTGTAGCAAAAAAAAAGTCTGTTTGACATTTAACCATAGGTTCTCTTGTTACCTGGAAATTCTGAGTACTATTAACTGGGGATTTATAAGCAGAAAATGTTGGCTTCAAAAGATTGTTAACAATATAGTGAAATGTTTTTATGTTAACATATGCTCACCACTATGCCACCAATGTCTTAAATGTTAACATATGAATACTCTGAAAAAGTAAATGAAGATTTGATATAATGTTTATCCTAAAAAAATGTTGTAGCATATTCATTTCTTTTTTTAAAAAAGATTTTGTTTATTTATGCATATAAGAACTGGAGTACAGGCCAGAGGTGCAGGGGGTGAGAGGATTCACCAGAGACAGAGTGGGGATCAGAGCATGGGAATTGACTGAAATACACTGCTGAGGAGAACAGCAGGCGAGATAGGAGAGGTCTGCTGCGCCATGTGGGTTAGGATTGAACTCGTGCTGCAGTGGCTACCAATAGCTTCATAGTGCTGCGACTTAATCCCTGTGCCACCAGGGAGGCCCCCTGTAGCATATTCATTTCTTAGTGAACAACCTTTATTTATATATATATATATATATATATATATATATATATATATGTTTAAGAGATATTTATTTGATTGACTAAAAGAAAAATATAGTAGTTTCATTAAAATAATTTGCTATTTGGATCAAACATAAGAGCATATGTTGGAGTCAAAGCTTTTTTGAGTTTCTCTGGGGAACACTGAACACTTAGTTGAACGATGTTATTTGTAGGAGTTCTGTACTGACATAAAAACCAGATAAACTAAGATGTGTAGAGCCAATGCTTTGGAATTTTAAGTTGCCATGAATCAGTTATGGCATTCCTGAAGATTTGTGTGCTTTTTCCTTATAGGTACTTAATTGGTTTACTCAAATGTGTCTTGGAATAAATCACATTCACAAGAAACGTGTGTTACACAGAGATATCAAGTCCAAGGTAAGTGGAATACATTTTTAGGCCAAACAAAACAAAGCAATCTCTTTCAGTCTTTTTTTTTTTTTCTTTCTGTTATTGTATTTCTGTTTGGGACATTTTTATTTAGTTTAGAGATATTTATTGACATATTAATTTAATTAGGCAAATAAGGTACCTGAGAAAAAGGTCATTAAATCCCTTTAATAGTATATGCTAACATGTTCCAAGCTTTCTCAATGACCCCCTAACTCCCTGTTATCAGATGGATAATGGTTGAGACTTGGGGCTCACACAGGTTTCCAGTCTGGCCATCAGGGTCTGCTGATACAATCTGAAGATTGCTTGGTAGATTTCTTTTATTTTTTTAAAAAGATTTATTTATTTATGCATACAAGAACTGGGGTACAGTCCAGAGCTGTGGAGGGTGAGAGGATTCACCAGAGACAGAGTGGGGAACAGAACAGGTGTATCAACCGAAGTACACTGCTAAGGGGAGCAGCGGGCGAGTCAGGAGAGGTCTGCTGCACCATGTCGGTTGCTCCCTGGTCAGCTGGGGCTTGAACTCACGCTGCAGAGGCTGTGGACACCCTCATAGGCTGCGTCTTAACCTCTTTTTCTTTATTTTATAGATTTTTTACATCATTTTTCATTTTTGCACAATGTATTCATTTTCATCTTGGTTATAGTCCCCATACAATTCCCACCACCCTTGTTTTTATCCTACTCCCTTTTTCCCCCTCTGTAGTGTCAACCTCTTGTGCCACCAGGGAGGGCCTGCTTGGTAGATTTCTAAGTAGTCATCCTGAATTCCCAAGCAGGCAGGGGAATGTGTAGCTGTCAAGAGGGTATCTTGTCTTTTTGTGTTCACCTTGAGACTTAGCTGTTAGCATTTCTACCCTTAATCTCCATCATCATTTGGCTTCAAAAGACAGCTTCTCTGGAGACCTCTGTGTTCTTTTTGAATGATGGAGACTTAATGTGAATTCTTTTTTTAATACAGAATGTCTTCCTCACCCAAAATGGAAAAATAAAACTGGGAGATTTTGGATCTGCTCGTCTTCTTTCCAGGTATGTGTCTGTTTGACAGCAGTAACAGTAATCCAAACATCTTTGTTCTGGAATGCCCTATATTCATTCTCTACCTTTTTATGGTTTTAGTCCCATGGCGTTTGCTTGTACATATGTGGGAACACCTTATTATGTGCCCCCAGAAATTTGGGAAAACTTGCCTTACAACAATAAAAGGTAAGTGATGTACTTATTTGGCCAGGGTGACTGTTTGGTAATTAACCTTGGTTTTTAAAAAATATATTTGGAAGCAGTGTAGAATCTAAATTCCTAGGCTTCTAGGTGGAGGTCATAGTTTTCTAATTGTTTTAATCAGAGCCAAGTAGAGCTACATGTAAAATATGGTGAAAGGCTAGTCATTTCCAGGAACAGTTAAATGAGTAATCAGAAATTGTATTGCTGGTTCTCAAACTTTTCTGCTCCTGCTTTTAAAATCCTAAAGCCCATGTTGTAGCCATACAGTTAAATCAGAGTGTCTGGGGCTGGGTAATCAGTATCAGGAATTATCAGGGTCACTGATAATTCAGTAATATTGTCAAGTGATTCCAATGTGCCTCAAAACTTGGGGACCACTGGATTATGTTATTGAGCTAATGTTTATAGGATTAGAAAATAAGCACTTGGCTGATAGATGGAAATTTTATGATTTAAAACATAATTTTTTTCCAAATATAAGTAATATGTACCTGTTGATGGAGTGGGTGGGGAAGGGGAGGATTAAAAATGCAGAGATATATAAGAAAGGAAATGGCAATTACCCACTTAATCATAGAGACTAGTAACATTTTGTTATTTTTCCCATGTATTCACTTTCCCCCCTAAACCTAGTTTACATATTCTGCTTTTTTCACTTTATATCTTATTCACTTCATCACATACTTAAACTTTTCATAAATATTGTTAATGGTTGCATAATATTTCACCCATTCCACCAAAATATATTTAGCACTCCACTGATGTTGGCCTTATGATATGTCTCCAATTTTCAGTAGCATAAACAGTTCTGTGATTAATACACCTTTTGTACATAAATGTGTCATTATTTTGTAACACATTCTTGGAGAGGATGCCTAGGGGCAGAAACAATCAAGGGTTCTTGTTACCTTCTGCCAAGATGCTTTCTGTAAAGGGTCTAATCCATACTAAACAGGTTTCTTTAAGAGTAAATTGACCGAATTGGGGACGACTAGGGATATTTGAGTTTGGAGAAGATACTGGACAATACTACTGGATGATGTGCTCGGGGCTGAAGTGTTTGATGTCTGTTATCTTTTTATTAAGAGGTTCTTACAAATATACATGTGTATATACAGAGGTAAACAGCATGCAAACATAGCAAGTATGGGCATTTTCAACTTATCTGTAGGGTTCAAATTAAAAAAAAAAAAGTTGGGGGAAACAGTTGCCAAAACCATTAGTTAAAATAAAAAGTATATCCTGTCGCAAAAGTCTGGAGGGTGACAAGCAGGTGATGAGAATCATTGAGGAAACTGGAGATGCTTAGTATGAAGAAGGGTAGGTGTAGAAGGCAAACTGTAGAACTCTTAGGATTTTTGAAGAGCTCTTTGGTGGAAGAATGAGTAGTCTTGTCCTCTTTGTTTTGGAATGTAGTGCTAACACAGGGAGTGGAGAGTTCCAGGAACAGGTTTTGCTTTATGCTAAGGAAGAACACTATCTCTAAAAGCTATCCAGCAGAGGCACAGATTGTGCCTGAAGCGGAGAGGTCTCCACCAGGAGGTGTGATGATTTTTTCCTCAGTGCTTGCTGCACTGGGTAACCTCCTCAGTCTTAACCACGATCCCCTGAGTTCATAGATGGTTCGTGTTACACCCAGACACTATTGAAGTGATAGCTGAATCTCCCTGGTTTGGAGGACTAGGGATTGGGGAGCAGGCAGTTTTATTGTAAACCTTTGTTAGTATGCCTCTAAGTGTTAGGCCAAAGTTACCATATATTTCAATAACTAGGAATTACTTGTGATCTCTATTATTAAAGATTAATTTTTTTTGTATTAGAAAAGACATCTATTTTCATATGATAATTCATAACCCATTTGTCATTGCATTACTTCTTTATGGTTCCAGTGACATCTGGTCCTTGGGATGCATTCTGTATGAACTCTGTACCCTTAAGCATCCAGTAAGTATGGTGAGCAAAATGAAAGAGACCACTTCTCCTCATAGTTGGCTACATCCTAAATCATATGCTAAATTCTAATCATCAGTTTGCTTCCCTAGAATGAATTCATTATGAAAGTATTCATGTGTTTTTATGTTTATCATCTTTGCCTTAAGCCACTTTTGTAACATATACTAATAAGAAACTTCCATTATTTTGTTTTTGTAGTTCTATATTTGCCTGCCTTCCTTCTTTTTTCTCTCTCTCTCTGTCTTCGTTACCTTCTTTTTTTTTTGCTATCCTTAATTATTTTTATTTTTGTAAAATATATATGTATATATAGCATACAACTTTCCATTTTAATCGTTTTTAAGTATATAGTTCAGTGGTGTTAATTATTTTATCACATTGTATAACCATCACCACTCTCTATTTGCAAAACTTTTCCATCATCCTAAACAGAAACCCTGTACCCATTGAACACTAATTTCCCACTTCCCTCACTCTGAGTCTCAGTAACCTCTAATCCACTTTCTTTCCCTGTGAATTTGCACATTCTACATATTTCATATAAGTGGAATTATACAATAAATTTTCTTTTGTGTCTGACTTTTTTGACATAGCAAAACATTTTCAAGGTTAATCCATGTTGTAATGTGTGTCAGGATTTCATCCCTTATTATGACTGAGTAATATCCCATTTTATAGTTTATACCATGTCTTCTTTACCCACTCATCTGTTGATGAACATTTATTTATTTATTTTTTTTTAAAAGAATTTTTTTTTCCAATTTTTTTTTTTTTAATAGAGGCATGTTTTATTTATTTATTTATTTGTTTGTTTGTTTGTTTATACATGCACTGGGTACAGTCAGAAGCGTGGGAGGGTGAGAGAATCCACCAGAGCCAGAGCGGGGAGCAGAGCAGGCAGAAGGACCGAAGCACACTGCTGAGGGGAGCAGCGGGCGGCAGGAGAGGTCTGCGCGCCATGTGGGACCCTCCTCTGGTGGCCGGGGAGCAGCCGGGGATCGAACCGGCGCCGCAGAGGCCGCGGGCAGCTTCGCAACCCAGCGCTCAACCGCTGCGCCACCAGGGAGGCCCTGTTGATGAACATTTAGATTGTTTCCACCTTTTGGCTGTTGTGCATAATGACATTATAAACATGGTGAACAAGTATCTGTGAGAATTCCTGTTTTCAAGTCTTATACCTAAGATATGGTAATTTTATGTTTTGTTTTGTGAGAAACACCTCACTTTTTTAAACTTCTCTAATTTTTTTCTCAAATTTTATTCATTTGGCAATTGTTTATGTAACTGTAATTTGGAGTACAACTTTCCACCTCCCCGTGTGCACATACTTCTCTCACCCTCCACCAAAGCTCTGGTGCCAATGCCCTGTCCCATCGGTCCCCTGCCCCCTCCTCTCCACACCCTTCCCCTCTGGCAATCAATGTATTTTTCAGAGTCTAAGAATTATTTTGTTGTGTTGCCGGTTTTCCTTTGGTTATTTATATTCTGCAAATGAGTGAAACCAGCCAGTCATAATCGCCTCAGAATCCATCCATTTTGTCTTAAAAGGCACTGTTTCATCTTCTTAAATAGCTTAATAGTATTCCATTGAATGTGCATTCTACAGCTTCTTTACCCCAGTTGACTTGTCAGTGGGCATTTAGGTTGGTGCCATGACTTTATTGGGATAATGCTGCTATGAGTAGAGGAGAACATAAATCTTTTCACATTAGTGTTTTCATATTCTCTGGTAAATATCTAGCAGTGCCATTGCTGGATCATATGGGATTTTTTTTTTTTTTTAAGCAATCTTTACAGCATTTTTCTTAGAGGCTGCACCAAATGACATTCCCACCAGTGTTGCATGTTAAAACAGTGGATGAGTGTTCTTTTCTCTCTACATCCCCACCAACTTTTGTTGTCTCCAGTCTTTTGATATAAGCCATTCTCACAGGGGTGAGGTGACATCACATTGAAGAAGCCCAAGCTGTGTGTCAGAGTGGTTGCACCATTTTTATACTTAGCTTTTTGCTTGTCATGTGAGTTTCTTCTCTAACTGAAATATGAAAAAATAGACTTTGCCCTATTGTATTATATATTTTTCAAGATATTTTAAGAAATAATTTAACCAATAAGAGGTTAATGGTTAAATAACTTGCCCCGCTTGTTCACCATTGTTTATTACACAGAAATAACAGTCATAGCCCTGAATCCCTATTAGGTATTAGCTTTGCATAGAGACAAATTCTGTTCTTTGAATGCAGTAAGTATTTTTACAAATGTGGTTGAGAGTATGTAAAGCTTGTGAGAATGATTGATTAGGGAAAATCCTTTGCCACCTCTAGGGAAAAATAACTCAACCTGAAAGTATGCACTGTAAATAAGAACTCATCTTCCTTGACTGTAAATGACTTATAATACCAGCTGAATAATTTTGAGCAACTTGGGAAACTTAACAAAATGCTGATGTCTAGGTCCATGCCAAACTAATTGAATTAAAATATTTGAGGGTGTCCTGGGAATTCATGTTTTTGAAACGTGATTGTATTATGCAGCCCAAATGGATACCATTGTATACAAATAAAATTATTTTTAAAATCCCAATATCTTACTTATGATTTTATCCTTTAGTTTCCTGATTTGATCTTTTTCATAAACTAATTTTAAACATGATCTTATTTGTCCTCTTGAGAATATTAAGAAGTATAGAGCCCTGAACATTTGCCACACGATCTTTGATCTGCTTGAAGGCAAAAGTAGTTCTCAAATGTTTAGGATGTGCAGGAACTCAGTATAATGGTTAAAAAGTCTGAGGCAAAGCAATTTCAATCTTATTTTTCATTACCTGACTATTGCCTTTGTTGACTTTTCCTTTTTCATATCATCACTAATAGCTAATACACTAACACTAACAGGTAATATGCTTCCAAGGCAGAATGCCAACATGTTCTTACACAAGTAACACCAAGGCTGGCATCTAATGTTAATTCCATTGTTTTCATTGAACAATGAAAATGTTTTGGGCCGTCCTGGTGGCAAAGGGGTTAAAGGCACAGCACTATCAAGTTATTGCCTGCCACTGCAGCATGACTTCGATCCCCATCGGCCAGGGAGCTAACCCACATGGCACAGCAGAACTCTCCTGTCTTGCCTGCTGCTCCCCTCAGCAGTGTATTTCAGTAGATCTGCCTGGTGTGCTCCCTGCTGTCTCTAGTGAATCCTCTCACCCCCCCACCCCACCTCTGGCTTATACCCCAGTTCTTGTATGCATAAATAAAGAAATCTTTTAAAAAACAATGAACATGTTTTAATGTTATTCTGGTATGTCATTTTATATCCCACTCTATAACTTGTCAAATTTTAATAGCTTTAATAGTCATCAAATACTTCGATGACATGATAGTAAAAAGCAGAAGTTTAATATTGGGAAGATCTCAAGTGCATTGCTGGGCAACAGGCCTGGAGATTTCTTGGAGGAGTGAAGAAATGAAAGTTATACTTTAGAGCCTTTTAATATTATTTGACTTCTTAAAGCCAGATGTATGTGTTACTTTGATTTTTAAAATATATTAAAATGTGTATCTGCAAAACCAGCCTGTGACTAATAAAGTACCCAAAGCACTGATGGTAGATCAGACTCTCTAGATGCAGAAGTTTTTCACTAGCGATGATTACCTTGCCCCCCGCCCTTATGAAATTTTAGAAAAATATCTGAAGGATACTTCCAGGAAGGAAAATGAGCAGGCAGAAGATATATTTATAAAATTAAAATATTCATATGACTTTAGTTTAGCCAGTATTATTTACACGTTCGTTCTTCATATTTGCTTTTTTTATATAAATTTTTTTTATTTTTATATTTCCCCATACAATTGCGACCCCCTTATTTTGACCCCAATCCCTCCCCTCCCCAACCTCCACTCCCCATAGAGTGTCTCTGGTTCATAGTTGTTTGTTGATTTTGATTTTTACTTTCTTATAGTTATTCTTTTTCCTGGTCCCTTATTTAAGTTTTCTAGATTCCTGCTATGAGTGAGACCATCCGGTATTTTTCTTTTTCTTTCTGGCTTATTTCGCTGAGCATGATCCCTTCCAACGCCATCCATGTTGCTACAAATTTCATGTGTTTATCTTTTTTGAATGCTGAGTAATATTCCATGGTGTATATGTAACACATCTTCTTGATCCAGTCATCTATTTTTGGGCATTTGGGCTGTTTCCAAAGCTTAGCTATTGTAAACAGTGCTGCTATAAACATAGGGGTGCAGGTGCTCTTTGGAATTGATGTTTCTGTGTCCTTTGGGTAAATACCTAGGAGTGGAATTGCTGGATCATATGGAAGCTCTATGTTTAACAATAAATTTTACTTTTTAGTTTCAGGCAAATAGTTGGAAAAGTCTTATCCTCAAAATCTGTCAGGGGTCCATGCGACCGCTGCCTTCTCATTATTCCTACGAGCTTCAGTATCTGATCAAGCAGATGTTTAAAAAGAATCCTTCCCAGCGCCCTTCGGCTACAACTCTTCTCTCCAGAGGCACGTTAGCTCGGCTTATCCAGAAGTGCTTATCCCCTGAGGTATGATGTTTGGGTTGAACAGTTTTCAAGTAATAGTTAAATGGTTTGATAGCTTTTTTTTTTTTAAGCAGAATTTTTTTTTTTTTAAGATTTATTTATTTATTTATACTAGCACTGGGTACAGTCAGAAGCGTGGGAGGGTGAGAGAATTCACCAGAGCCAGAGCAGGGAACAGAACAGGCAGACCGACGAAATACACTGCTGAGGGGAGCAGCAGGCGCAGCAGGAGAGGTCTGTGCGCCATGTGGGACCCTCGCCAGAGGCTGGGGATCGAACCGGTGCTGTAGAAGCTGTGGGCAGCTTTGCAGCCCAGCGCTCAACCGCTGTGCCACCAGGGGAGGGCTGGTTTGTTGTCTTTTAAATACAATCACATATTATGCATGCTTGTAAAAATTCAAATAATGAAAAGTATATTTTATAAAAGTTAAAACTTTCTTTTCCTCCTCTTCTTCTTTCTACAGTGCTGTTCCCCAAGTATAATCACAGGTGGAGCTTGCATAGCCTTCCAGATCTTTTTCTAGACACATATAAAAGTCTGTCTAAACGACACAGATTTATTTATTTATTTATTTTTCACATGAATATTTTTTAAAATGGCATTTTTACTTTACGACTTTAAATATCATTGTGGGGAAGAATGTTGATCATTAAACAACATTATGGCAGTGTCTAAGGAAAAGTGCATTTCATGTCTTTAAATTCTCTACTTAATATTTTCAGATCATCACAGAATATGGAGAGCAGATATTAGAAGAAACAAAAAAATCTAAGCATAGTACACCAAGTAAGAAGGGTAAGAATTGGGGGGAGCTTCTTTGGTTAATTACTTTACAATGTGTTATAACAGAAAAAGGAAAAATATTTTTCAAATTATTAGGGATGATTTTCAGAGACACTCCTCAAATTAAAATTTTCATTTTCTTACTTCAGATGTAATTGTATTCTGAGTCGTATACATTTAGTTTTCCAGGAATAAAAAAATCCTCATTTGGAGATTTTAGTGACATAAAGGTTGTTATCTGTATCATTGTCAATACCATATTTATTCTGGTTTGTCATGGATTAGGGAGAAGGCACCTATGGACTGGCTTAGGAATCTGACCATGAAAATACAATGTTATTCTTATAGGAAATTATATTCTCATGTTTCTGAAGAACCATCTTGTAAACAAATGTTTAAAAACAGTCTTCAAAAGTTGGGAATTGTCCACATAATAACTACACACAATTTTCATACATTTATAATCTATCCTGAGCACATTTCAAAAGTAACTTATTGTCTCTTTGGAGGTTGTCACTTCTTAGTTGTTTTTTTTTTTTTTTTAAACTATTTTTGTTCTTTTCATTTGTCACCAGATCTTCCTTTTGAAGAGATGGGAAAAAGATAGTAGATGTAAACAGAATAAGAGAAAAGAGCTAAGAACCATAGATCATCCACTATTGGGATGTGTTGCTAAGCTGCCCTTAGTTGGTGCTTACTGTCTTAGTGCTATATACTACAAAGGAGACATTTAGAAACTTGTACTGTCTTCTTAAAGTTAAATTCTAATGTTCTTTTTGTAAGAATATAAATGCTTCTAATGATGTATAAACCCATTTGTCTTATAATTCAAATTTTTTCCCATATCTTAAGCAATAACCAGTTCCATTTGTTTTAGCATTAATTTAACTGTAGGTACTATTCTGTAGCTTTGGTTGCTATCCCAGAGTAGTAGGAAATTCATTTTAGAATGCTGAGCAACAGCAATCAAAACCTTCTAAGAGAAATTTAAAGATAGTCTAGAAAAATGTAGTTTTACAATTTCTACAAAGAGAGGAGTGAACTGGAGAAGCGCCGTCATCTTCACAGTGTGTCTGCACACAACGAGGCCAGAGCAAGGACAGCTATGAAAGGGCAGACATCTTGCCTCATTTGCTCTCTGTTGAGTCCCAGTGCCTTCATCCTCGATGTCCCGTAGCAGTTTTTTTTTTTTAAGATTTATTTATTTATTTATACAAGCACTGGGTACAGTCAGAAGCACGGAGGGTGAGAGAATTCACCAGAGCCAGAGCGGGGAGCAGAGCAGGCAGAAGGACCGAAGTACACTGCTGAGGGGAGCAGCGGGCGGCAGGAGAGGTCTGTGCGCCATGTGGGACCCTCCTCCGGTGGCCGGGGAGCAGCCTGGGATCGAACCGGCACTGCGGAGACTGCAGGCAGCTTCGCAACCCAGCGCTCAACCACTGCGCCACCGGGGAGGCCCCCGTAGCAGTTTTTTAAATGTGGAATGAATAAGGATGGCAGAAGGCAGGACTCTGCCAGAGGAGAATCAGGCAGGAGCCATCCTGACCAAAGGAGCAGAGTTCCCCTCTGACTGTTGGCCAGTTTTCCCTGCTGACTTGGGAGGGAATAAACAGCTCACTTATAAGGGATACCTCTTCCACCTGCTGCAACTGGCAGGAAAAGCAGTGCTCCTGACTCTTGGAGCTCACTTGTGCAGAAGGTGATGCTGACCTTCAAATATGCAGGGTAGCTTTCCTCCAAGTACATCAGTGAATAGAGGTGTATTAACTTTGAGATGTTAGTGTTAGGAATAAAATAGCAGAAATTGTGTCTTTGAGTAGCTGAGGTGTATTTTGAGGCAACTAAAGCTTGATACTAATATTCAGGCTAATGCTTTGGTTCTTTGACTTTAAAAACTTCATTTGTCTCTCAAACTTTTTGTATATCACATTAGGAGCTTAGAAAAGTGGGCCTTTACATGCACTGTCTTTTACCTTCCCTTTTCCTTTGAAGCAGACCCCAGCAGAATCAGCATAGTTTTGGAAAATGAAGGCAGCAGAATGGTAAGTGCTTTAAAATTATATTCATGTAGTGGCCACCTCCCAGGTGCCTGGTACCATTAGGTGCTGTGAGATATTTGGAAGACTGACCAGGTCCCGCCATTTCGCTAGTTTTCCTTCTTTGACTGTGTCATAATTGGCGCTGCTGTTGTCCTCCGCTGCTAGCTGAGCCGCTTTAGATCACCATTTATTTTGTTTGCTTTTTCATTTTTAATTATTGATGACAGATGGTTTCAACACAGATCTGAGAGACCTGTGCCCTGCAGTCATGAAAATCTTGTTTTAGCCTGGCTTTTTTATAAAATTGTTCTATATGCTTAACAAAATTTACCATCCTTAAGCATCGAATTGAATCATGCATGGTTTTGTGTAACCATCTCCACAAGCAGTAACTGGAACCACTAGACTGACTCCACATTCCTCTCTCACCCAACCTCTGATGTCTCTCTTCTGCCTTCTCTCTCTATGAATTTGCCTATTCTAGGTATATCATATAATTAGAATCATACAATATTTGTTCTTTTGTGATTAACTTCTTTCACATGCCATAATATTTTCAAGGTTCATCCATGTTACAGATTTCTTGTTTCTGTCTAAATCATATTTAAATAGCTATTTTGATCTTAACATTTTTCTGTTTAAAAACATTCAGTAACTCCGTATTATCCCATGAATCAAGTCAACATTTTTCAGCCTGGCATTCAAAGTCCCATTCACCTTGCTTCGCCTGGTGTGCTGGGAGCTCTCTCACACTAAAGCAGCAAGAGAATCAGGACTAGGAGCAGCCAACCCACTTCCCAGCGTTGTCACACCCACCTCAGTAAATCATGCCTTATTGATTTTTTTCTTCAATATTTTTTTAAGATTTATTTTTATTTATATAAGAGCTACGGTATAGGTCAGAGGCATGGGAGGGTGAGAGGATTCACCAGAGACAGAGCAGGGAGCAGAACAGGAGGACGGACTGAAAGCACTGCTGAGGGGAGCAGTGGGTGAGTGAGGAGAGGTCTGCCGCGCCATGTGGGTATCTCCCTGGCCAGCTGAGAATCGAACCCGCACTGCAGATTCTGTCCAGCATCACAGTGCTGTTCTCAATCCGCTGCGCCATGCCACCAGGGAGGCACTCTTTGGTATTTTAATCGTTTTAACTCAAAGATGGAGTCCTGGTGAGATGTACTAACAACATATTCTATTTATGGGGAGTATTAATAATTAAACTTTTATATTTTAGAATGAACTTCAGGTTGTGAGTAGCAACTCCCTACCGTTATGTTGCCACAAGTGGAATATCTCCTGCCTGTGTACTTTGCTTTCTTCGCATGCTTATGTCTATTTTTTCCCAACTCTCTTGAGGCATAATTCACGTCTAATAAAATGTACCCATTTTTAGTGTACAGTTTGTTGAATTTTGGTAATTTCATACAGCCATATAACTACTGCCACAATCAAGATGTAGAATTTCCAGTCTCCTAAAAGTTTCCTCGTGGCCTGTGTAGGCGATCCTGACTCTGGTCCCAGGCAGCCACCACTGTAATTGTTATACCACCTGTAGTGGACACATCAATGTGTTTATGTAGAATGAAGAGGGTAATGTATAAACAGAATGGAGAAAGAATCAAAAAGCAAGTCAGGGCCTCCCTGGTGGTGCAGCGGTTGAGCACTGGGCTGCGAAGCTGCCCACAGTCTCTGCAGCGCCAGTTTAATCCTGGCCCCTGGTGAGGGTCCCACATGGTGTGCAGACCTCTCCTGCCGTGCCCACTGCTCCCCTCAGCAGTGTACTTCATTAGTCTGCCTGTTCTGCTCCCTGCTCTGGCTCTGGTGAATTCTCTCACCCTCCTGCGCTTCTGACTGTACCCAGTGCTTGTATAAATAAATAAATAAATAAATAAATAAATAAATAATAATTTAAAAAAAGCAAGTCAGGTAACAGAAGAGTTGATGTAGGAAGAGAGTCCTGGGCAGGCCAGCAAAGTTCCAGGGTTTGGAGGCAGAGCCTGGGTCCTGAGCTGGGAGGTGTCAGAGCTGCTGTCTCAGAGCAGTGACTCTCAGTGGGGGAGATGCTGGGGGGTTTTAATGATCTACTCAACATCACTACCCCTCCAAGATTCTGTTGCCTTTGTTTGTGGGAGGATTCTTTGAAATTATGGTCCCTAAATGTAAAGGGAGAGAAATTTGAGAACCGCCAGTAGAAATTAGACAGCAGGTGCCAGCCACAGCCCACTCTTCATTCATTCAACAGATTGAGAACCTTTATGCTGGAGACTGTCTAGGAGCTTGTGTAATATATTCCTTCTCAAAATAGATGCAGAGTTAGTAAAGAACAGACAGTGTGTTGCTACACTTCATGAAATCGAATTTAGATAATTTGGAAAATTACTGAATTAAGTGGAAATATTTTAATCATAAATAGCAACTTTATAAAATATCTCATTTTGATATTTCTAGCATGAAAATCCCAGGATTTCAAACTATGTTGAAATTTTTCATTATTTATTTTCTCTCTATAGAGCTCAAATATCTCTGTTATTTTTGTATAGCCTCTTCATAACTGCAGTGTTTATATTTGTGAATATTTATATGAATATTAATATACATATGTATATTATTGTTTTAAATATGCACATACATATCCATGACTGCTAATATATACATATGTATACATTTTTGTAGTTACTAATGTCTTTTAATCATTCTATTTAAAATGAAGTTAACTGCCTTTACACTCTTTTTTACCTTTTTTTTGTAATCATTCCAGCATTTTTAATCTGTATTTCAAATCTTTTAAAGCAAGAGGAAGAACAAGGTAGAAAGTGTAGCCACAGTGATTTAGAAAGCATTAATAAGAATTTGGCTGAAAGCGCATTGAAGAGAATAAACAGAGAAGAGAAAGGTGAGTTGTTCAAATTCTAATCATTGTATTAGGGGGTTGGGGAAGATGGGAGAGGTGTCAATTTCTACCTTACTAGGTCTTAGGTGTCATAAGTAGGTGGACAAGCAGATTTTGTTTGCTTGTCTAATAATTTATTGACTGTTACAGAAATACATTGTTTACTCATAAAAAAGAGAGAATAGTACTTATTAGTAAGTGCCTTTAGGAAAAAAATAGTGATTTTTGTGCTCTGCACCATAAAAGGCATGGCCTACAAAGTGTATGTGAGTCCTCTTGGTGTTTCACTTGTTATGGTGGTGTAATATGTAAGTAAATACATAGTATTTTTTAAAAAATCCCTCCAATTGTTAGTTTTACCTTCATTTGTATTTTTTCCATTTCCTTTGCTACTTAGACTTGAAGGAACATTATTGTTAGATCTGAATTTGAAAAAGAATAGAAATACTTCCATATTATTCTCAGAATGTGTGTAGTTATAGATGAACAAACAAGAGAATATGTTCAACAATCCTATTTTACATTTTAAAACCAGATAAGAAATCAGTCCATCCAAGGAAAGCCAGCTCACCAAGTCCTCTCAGACGACAATGGGGAAAAAATGTATCCCATACAGCTCTTTCAGCTTTGGAAAATGCACCCATACTTAGCTCCAGTTTAACAGCAGGGGACGACAAAGGTTAGTAGTCGTATTGAACACTATCATTTTATTCTAGAACATTTTCTACTAGTGTCTCATGGACAAGAGATTTCTTTAAATGTCATTCCTTGAAGGATTTTTGGAATCCCACACCAGAACAGTCCTTGTGCAAGAGAGTGAGATATTTTAGTAGAAGGTAAAATAGAATTAACTTTGCCTGAAATGATTTGGATATATGCTGAAAATCTTTTTTAATTAGCACTAATTTTTATCTTTTCACAACTAGGTGGTTCTGTGATAAAATACAGTGAAAATAACACCCGTAAGCAGTGGCTCAGAGAGACTCCTGAAACCTTGTTGAACATCCTTAAGAATGCTGATCTCAGCTTGGCGTTTGAAACATACACAATATATAGACCAGGTGATTTGTGTCTATTACTTAACCATGGACACCCTTTGACTTTTAAGAAATTGAGATAAAATATACATAACATATAATTTATCAGTTTAGCCATTTTTAGGTTATAGTTTAGAATTATTAAGTACATTCATATCTTTTTGCAGCCTTCTCTCCCATCTTCTAAACCAGAAACTCTATCCCCATGAAATAAATCTCCCTACTCTCCATCCCAGAAGTCCTGTAATTTTCAAGTTATAAAGTCATTTGTAACATTACATTTTTTAGATTTTCTTGAATCTTTTCTAGCCAATCATGTTAAATTAGTAACTTCCATCTGTTCATTTCTTTGTGTGCTTTAATAATCACATGACTGTTTTCTTTGAGAGGTTGTCTATTTTCACCATGCTGTATGCCATTGCTTTAGTGAATTTATAGTCCAGACTTCATCATAGTAAACTTTGAGGGACTTTAACATTCTTTTTGCTATATTGAATGGAAGTCAAAATAGATGAACAATTAAGATTTGATTTTTTTTGAATTTCTGTGGACATTTTCACTTCTGTAAAATTGTACAAAATGACTTTTATGATACTCTTTTTTAAAAAGATTTATTTATTGATGCATACAAAAACTGGGGTGTAGGCTAGAGGTGCGGGGGTGGGTGAGCAGATTCACCAGAGACAGAGTGGGGGGCAGAACAGACAGATCTACTGAAATACATTGCTGAGGGGAGCAGTAGGCAAGACAGGAGAGGTCTGCTGCACCGTGTGGGAAGCTCCTTGGCTGGCCAGGCATTGAACTCGTGCCAGAGAGGCTGCTGATAGCTTGATAACACTGTGTTTTTAACCCCTCCGACACCAAGGAGGCCCCCTATGATACTCTTCTTAAGTATTTAGAACAAACAACTACATTAAGATAAGAGTGTGTACAATTTTGATAATTCAGTTACTAAAGCCACTTTGCTAGACTAAGATTTGAAGTCAAATATACCAAGTAGGGCATGTAAAGGTATGGCAAATCTTGCCTGTGTGTTTTTTTTTTTTTTTTTTTTTTTTCTTATAAATTTTTTTTTTTTTTTTTAATTAGAGGCATGCTTTTTATTTATTTATTTATTTTATTTGTTTGTTTGTTTTGTTTATACACGCACTGGGTACAGTCAGAAGCGCGGGAGGGTGAGAGAATTCACCAGAGCCAGAGTGGGGAGCAGAGCAGGCAGAAGGACCAAAGTACACTGCTGAGGGGAGCAGCGGGCGGCAGGAGAGGTCTGCGCGCCATGTGGGACCCTCCTCCGGTGGCCGGGAAGCAGCCGGGCATCGAACCGGCACCGCAGAGGCTGCGGGCAGCTTCGCAACCCAGCGCTCAACCGCTGCGCCACCGGGGAGGCCCTGTGTGTTTTTTTTTTTAAAGATTTATTTAGTTCTGCAAGAACCGGGGTACAGGCCAGATGTGTGGGAGGGTGAGAGGATTCACCAGAGACAGAGCAGGGAATAGAACACGTAGACTGACCGAAAGGCACTGCTGAGGGGAGCAGCAGACGAAACAGGAGAGGTCTGCGGCGCCATATGAGACCCTCGCTGGCTGCCCCGGATCAAACCGTGCTGCAGAGGCTGTGGACAGCTTCATAACACTGCGCTCAACTGCCTGCACCACCAGGGAGGCCCCCCCACCTCCCTTGCATGAATGTGCTTTTTGAAAAAATTTCCTAACCATAGTCCCTTCCACTGGGAAAACGTGGGGAAGGAGGAAGCTCAAAGGAAATTAATAGTAATCCAACTGTCAAAAAAATAACTTAATGCTTTAATATAGATTCTTATGTTTAAGAGTTTTGATAATACTTTTCTGTATTCTTTTGAAGAAAGGGCTATCTTAAAATTTAATATGCACACTGATGCTTACTGGGCCTGTCTTATGCAGGAACTCATGTTAGGTATCGTGGAGGAGGTCCTTCACAAGAAATCTAGAACATGACCATTGTCCTCAGTTCATCAGCATACTTTTGAAGGATTTTAGTTCACGGAATAAGTGAATACTGTTTAAAATGACATAATTTCTGTTAATATTTCTCTGAAGGCTCAGAAGGGTTCTTGAAAGGCCCTTTGTCTGAAGACACAGAAGCATCAGACAGTGTTGATGGAGGTCATGAGTCTGTCATTTTGGATCCAGAGAGACTCGAACCTAGATTGGATGAGGAGGACACGTATGTTGTGATATACCTAGAAAATTTTAGTTGTGTGTGTGATTTAAATACTTTAGTGATGTCAAGTTTAGTAGAAACTGGTTATATTACTTTATATCATAAATGAGTATTTATGTCTTGATCTTTCATGTGGAATGGTTAACGTGCTAAAGTATTATTGCAGAATTCCTGATAAGCCCTATATTTAAAATCATTCATCTTGGATTTATTATTTTTTTAAAATACTAGATCACACATTGAAAGAGTTATAGAAACAGTGAATGATGTGATCTTTTGGAAGAGCTAACAGATTTTTTTTCTATTGAATTGCCTTTTTTAAATTGTAAATATTATGGCTAGAACCCATCAGTATTGGGGCTTACTATCCTAATATGAACGCTAACTATCCAAATTGTTTTTTCTCAGGGACTTTGAGGAAGAAGATGACAACTCAGATTGGGTGTCAGAACTAAAAGAGCGAACTGGCTGGCAAGAAGTGTCTGATGGATAATGCCCACAGAAATGTTCCTTAGTCACACTGCAAAAAATGAGAAATTAATATTTGGATAATAATCAGCCCAAGGGATGTGTATTTTCTTTTGGGAACAGAATGAGGAGGGGGAATCTTTGCATATTTAAAATTGTTCCTGATTATCATGAGGCTGAAAAATCTAGAGTTCCTGTGAGTTTTTGACCTCAAAAGAAGGTATGGGTTAGTGGGTATGAGTTGTGGGTTTTGCAGTCAGATAGAAAAACTGGATGCTACCACTTACTGTTTGTGTGATTGTGGGAAATTACTTAACCTCTTTGAGCCCAAGTCTCTTCAACTATAAAATGAGGACAATAATATCTACCTCACAAGGATGCTAATCATAAACCATTAGAGCAGCGCATAATACTGTCATTTGTGTTATGATTTGTGTTGATTACTATGACTCCTTTAACATTTCCTAAGGGTTTGAAGATCTAAATATACTTAATTACAACATAATGATGTGTACAGATTTTTAAAAAGACCCATTTCTGGGTAATCAGTAATCAGTGGTCTTCACTAGCTACCAGCTGTTCTTAAATACAACCCCTCACAGGATGCATAAAAGAACCCAGGTTGGATGATCGGCCATGGCGAGGGTGCTGATCTTGTCAGAAACTGGCAGTCATTTATGAGAAGAAAATAAGCCCCAGGGTCAATGTACGAAGTGTCAGAAATTAGAGTGTTGTGGAACTAATGGGGGTAGAGGGATCCTAACAATTATGGATCACCATGACACATGTAATTCAATATTATGATACTTTAGTGAGGTGAGAATAGTTTGCTAAAGAAGAAACAGGCTTCTACTAGGGGATCCCAAGTGTGGAACAGTACAAGCCTACCCCTGTTTAGGGAATAATACTCCTGTGAAGAATAGAGGACATAGTTGTGAAAATACAGTAGAATCATAACTAAGAATCTGTTGAAATATGAAATATTTAAAATTTTTAAAGTATTTTAAATTTTTTAAATCTTAAGATATAATTGCAGCAGAGACTCTCACCCTCCCCCCTTAGTCATCCTTTGTCTTCTGTAGTCACTGAGAGTCTCTTTATCTTTTCTGAGTTTTCAGGACCTTGACAGTTTTGAAGAGTACTGCTTAGGTGTTTTGTAGAATGTCCCTCATTTTGAGTTTGTCTGATGTTTTCTCATGATGAGACTGAGCTTAAGGGTTTTGAAGAAGGATGCCACAGAGAAGCACCTTCCCATCACTTCCGATTAGGGTGTATGCAATCTCATCATGATTTATTCCTGCTGTTGTTAACCTTGTTCGCTATGTTAAAGCAGTGCCTTGCCAGGTTCTGATTATCCAGTCCCTTGCTCTGTTCACTCCAAGTGTCAGTGAGTTCAACCTACTTCCTAGTGGGGGGTATAATTCAATGCCAAGTAACCTGTTGCTTCAGTTCTAGCTTTGGCCATTGGGAGTTGTTTTGGGTTGGTTTCTTTGTCCCACTGACATCCTTCTATCTGTGGGCACCTCCTTACCGTCTGGTACAAGAAAATGGTTCGGGCCTATTTAAACATCTGAATACCTCAATATCTGGACTGTGAGGGGCCTCCCTCATGGGAGTTAGGTGTTAAATCTCAGCACTATCCCTGCTACGGCCTGAGTTCGATCCTGGTCAGGGAGCTAACCCACATATGGCACAGCTGACCTCTCCTGTGTCCCCCGCTGCTCCCCTTAGCAGTGTATTTCAGTAAATCTGCCTATTTTACTCCTCACACTCTGGTGAATTCTCTCACCTCTTCCACCCCCCCACCCTCCACTTCTGGCCTACACCCCAGTTCTTCTATGCAAAAAAAAAAAATCTGGACCATGAGGCAGCTGCTTTTTACTTTATTCTTTATTTACTACAGCCACTTGCCAGTAGATTTCAAAGAAAGAGAACCTTTTACAATACTTAAATCTTTCCAAGGCATGCACTGCTACAACACAAACATCTGTCAGAGGCAATTACCAGTGACCAAATCATGCATAGCCCCTACTCCCACTTACACCCTGCACTGTGCCCACTCTCAACTGCAATTCTGCTCATTTGTGTGTGATATTTGGAGCATCTGGAGAAGTGTGAGTAGTACTGGAACTTGAGGAAAGGAAGAAACAGCAGGGTGCCTGGCTGGGAGGTCAACATAAGTTGTGCAGGGCAAGCCTGAACATGTCACTGGTGTAAAACCAAGCACCAAGCACGCTTAACGATAGGAAGATATGGAAAAACCCCACAAGGGAATCTTCACCGGCCTTGAGCTGGCTCACAACGATGCTGATGATACAGCTATCCCTTGTGGGCTGAGGGTCCTGTGCTGTGATGCAATGTTTAGTTTTCTGGAATGGAAAACTAGAACACTTCACAATGCCAGCATTTTCCTGGAATGGCTGTCCTTCCCCTGTTGGGTTCTTTCATTATCAAATAACTGGTAGCAATGTTGAATAGAGCCGGATCCAGACTGGTCCCAAATTGGTTTGTCTCACATTCTGGAGCATCACCTGGCCTCTGTGAGACCCCATGCAGCAGAGGCAGCAGCCCTTCATCATGTACCTTTTATGTTCCAGCCCCAGAATCAGCCATTTCGCCAAGGAGCCCTTGTTGCTTTCATTAGTTTAGAAACCAGGATCTGAATGTTGGATGTGCTTGCAGCTATTGGAGTATCACTGCTTCTAGGCCCTCTGATTTGACAGCTCAGAAATAGTTTCCTACCTATACACACATCCACAGTCACTTCTGTACCTCTCCATCTGTATGCATGTGGAACTGCATAAGCATGGCTTCCTACTGATGTCTGAGCTCTAATCTTGTACCAGGGTCAATTCTTTATTATTATTATTTTTTAAAGATTTATTTATTCATTTATGCAAGTATTGGGTACAGTCAGAAGCGCGGGAGGGTGAGAGAATTCACCAGAGCCAGAGCGGGGAACAGAACAGGCAGAATGATGAAATACACTGCTGAGGGGAGCAGCAGGCGGCAGGAGAGGTGTGCGCGCTATGTGGGACCCTTGCTGGTGGCCTGGGATGGAACCGGCGCTGCAGAGCTTCGCAGCCCAGCACTCAACTGCTGTGCCATCAAGGGAGGCCCTCAGGGTCAATTCTATGTGTCCCCCTCCCCGCACTTTTCTGTAGCTTCTCTGAGACTCTCTCCATCTACCATACTTATCTGCTTAATCTCAATGTACATGTAAACAGTTTCCAAATTAACCCGTATCCTCATGAGAAAGAAATGCACCGGCGAGAGTTTTTATATTGTCCCCATTGTCTTTAGCCTTACAGTTTCCAGTCAAAACACATTCCTAAAACTGCTTAGGTCAGCTCCCATTTTCCCCTAAAACTTTCTTGAAGACTTTTCAGAAGTTAAGATAGGCAGGGGGAGTTTTAAGGATATTTCCAGATACACAGTCTCCACAGATACTGAAGTTGTGAGTCTTTCAATCATCTTAAATCTAATTCTTAATTATCTTAAATCTTTGTGATACCGGAATTGTCAGGCCTAGTCTCCCAACCAGGAACAGATCCCAGGCTGCAGGGGCTGCGCTGAGCCCCAGCCACTAGACCACGATGTGCAGTCGGGAATGAGGATTGCTGGGCAGCCCCGGTTGTGTCATTGGACCTCCCAATGGAGGCCGCCAGCCATGACCAACAAATGAGGACTCCCTTCAGTCTCCATCTCCTCACATTTGGGAGCTTGCACAAGAAACACTCTTCCTGTTTCAGTTCATTTGTGAAACGGAGAGACTACTACTTTGCTAGTTGTTGCAAAGAGCAGAGATAATGTCTGCAAAGCATCTGGTACACCGTACAGGTGTGCTTATTGCACGAGCACCGGAGTTCCGACCTAAGGCAACTGGAGATGACACGTCCAGGTCTCCAAAACTCTAGCCTCCCACCCCTCTGGGGTGGATTGTCCCAACTGGGGACTGGTCCTCCAGTTGTTCGAGCCCTTACGTCGGGTGCGCCTTCTCCCGCGCGGCTCCGCCCCGGCCGCCCAGGGGCGCGGCGGCTGCGGGGACCCGGATCCTGCAGACTCTACTCGCGTCCTGAGAAGCCGACGGAGCAGGTACGCTGCGGGCCTGTCGCCTATAGTCCTTACTCTGAGCTGCCCCCCAGTGTTTCGGGAGCCGCAAGAAATGGAATTGAGCCCCCTTCGGTGCAGACGCTGGAAGCAGCGGCGCCGACTCTCCCGGGCCGCGTCTTTCTCCATGGCTACGCGCCGCGCGCCCAGCTCCCCGGGCGGGCCCTGGCTCTGCCCACCCGCCGGCAGCCTCCTGGAATGTCCCTAAGGAAGAAGGAATCGCCCCTAAATTTCACACCTCTGGTGCCCCTGGGCGGGAGAGTCGCGGTCCCTCAGTTCCTAGGCTGGTGCATCCACTTCGCTCAAAACACAGTCCCCAGTGCAACCTCTCCGGCGGCGGAACTGGTTCGCACCTCCATCCCCCCCAGTCTTGGCCTCCACCGCCAACCCTTAGAGTAAAATATCGAGAACCTGACCAGTCTGCTCACTCAGTTTGGTGTCCTACTTGTTGCATAAAAGGGATAGTCAAAGATAGCAATCTATAATAAAATCTGTATTTCAATCTGGAAATGCTTGGTACTAACACTAAGAGAAGTAGTGAAGTAGCCAAGTGTGTGTGGACACCAGACCATGACGGTGCTGAAGTATTAGGTCTGAACTACCGAGAGCAGTTTGGGTAGTGCTGGCGTGACTTTAGAAAGAAACAAAAAGACAGACAAGCAGACAAATGATGAAAGTTCCAAACAATACACAGTGCTTAAGACTTGATTTACATGTAGTTGCATCCATCCGAAATTCACTGTTGGTTAAAACTGTGCAAAAATAGGTTACACTGAGATGTAAAAACCCCATCCTAACCGCAGAAAATTATAAAAGGATTTTCCCAGCACACATTGTATGCTGAGACTTTCTAAACTTGTAGGGTTGCAGGACGAGACTATACTTTCTTGTGGGGGACTATCAAATCGCAGAACCTTAGTATCCCAGACCCCAAACACCTCTAAAAGCCTTTTTGCCTGTACTTTGGTGGTGGGGGGGGGAGGGGGAGGGGGAGTTCGTTTTACAAATGAACTTTGAACTTTGTCCCACCACACTTTTGGGGGACACACACATACACACACACACACACACACACACACACACACACACTCAATGAATTTAAAAAGTGTCCCCTAGGGGGCAGCACGTCCCCACTGAGAAAGGTTAGGCTATAAAGGTTGGACCAGCTATGGTCTTCATAGAGGTGCCAAGAGTGGGTGTATTATATCTTTTATTTCCAGAACAAACGTGCAGCAACAGGTATTTTTTTTTAAGATTTATTTATGTATGTATACAAGAGCTGGGGTACAGGTCAGAGGTGTGGGGGACGAGAGGATTCACCAGAGAAAGAGTGGGGGACGAAACAGTCAGATCTACCGAGGTACACTGCTGAGGGAAGCAGCGGGCAAGTCAGGAGAGGTCTGCTGCGCCATGTGGGTTGTTCTCTGGCCAGCCAGGGATCGAACTCGCGCTGCACAGCTGCACAGGCTGCGTCTTAACCCCTTGCGCCACTAGGGAGGCCCAAAAGGTATTGTTATTTACATTTAGAATTTAGGAAAATATGGTTTTGCAAGGTTAAGGACTTGCCAATTATCACAACACTACAGTATTTCAAAGTTCAGCTACAACCCAAAGCTAATCTGTGTGTCACTTTGGTTGTGGCCACAGTAAAGTTAGTTTGACGCTATCTTGACATGATCGGAGAGAAAGTTTAAGCAAGGTGAGTTATTTTATATTTTAGTGATCAATTTTCTGTATTTGTTAGTCTTTATGAAAAGTGTTTAATAAAATGCCATTGCTCTAATCCCAGGAACCTCTGTTCATTGGAGACTATGGATAAGTATGATGTGGTTAAGGCCATTGGGGAAGGTGCCTTTGGGAAAGCATACTTGGCCAAAGGGAAGTCAGATGGCAAGCACTGTGTCATAAAAGAGATCAACTTTGCGAAGGTAAAGTCAAGAAGTTCAAAATCTTGTTCATTCTTAAAATGGAATAGATGGATATGTCCCTTCAAATTAGTGTTCTTGCATTCTTAGGAGTGGAATTGTTGGATCATATGGTAGATGTATTTTTTTTAAAGATTGGTTTATTTATGCATACAAGAACTGGGGTACAGGCCAGAGGTATGGAGGGGGTGAGAGGATTCACCAGAGCAGAGTGGGGAACAGAACAGGCAGACTGACAGAAATACTGAGGGGAGCAGCGGGCGGGTCAGGAGAGGTCTGCTGCACCACGTGGGTAACTCCCTGGCCGGGGATCAAACTCGTGTTGCAGTGGCCGCGGACAGCTTCATAGGTTGTGTCTTAACCCCTTGCACCACCAGGGAGGCCCAGTAGATGTATTTTTAATAACTTTAGAGACTCTACACTTGTTATCATACCACACTGTTTATTTTCTTTTTAATTTTTTTTTTTTAATAGAGGCATGTTTTTATTTATTTGTTTGTTTGTTTGCTTGTTTATACAAGCACTGGGTACAGTCAGAAGCGCGGGAGGGCGAGAGAATTCACCAGAGCCAGAGCGGGGAGCAGAGCAGGCAGAAGGACCGAAGTACACTGCTGAGGGGAGCAGCGGGCGGCAGGAGAGGTCTGCATGCCATGTGGGACCCTCCTCCAGTGGCCGGGGAGCAGCCGGGGATCGAACCGGCGCCGCAGAGGCCGCGGGCAGCCTCGCAACCCAGCGCTCAACCGCTGCGCCACCGGGGAGGCCCTGTTTATTTTCTTAAGAGCTTTCTTAAGAGCTGAAATAACTTTGCTCATGTATTTCTTCACTTGTTTATTGTGTCTCCCTCAGCATGAGGAATAATACCAGGTAAGTAATAGGTACTGAAAAATTTTTATTGACTGCATTGAGTGAATGGAGAAAAACCATATATTACTGTTAGTCTAATGATTTTTGAAAAATAGCTAAATATATTTATTTAAAAATGAATCATTTTTTGCTAAATTCCCCTTCGTCAGTGTTTATGTTAACCTCCTAGTGATGTGTTCATTTCAAAATATGTGATAATAACAATACCCATTGTATGCTAAAATTAATCTTAAGGCTTATCTGCTTGGTTGTGGCCTGCTAAAGTATTTATTTATAAATGAAAGTAAATGAGGCCACTCAGTGTGGCCTGAGTTAGATCCCCAGCCACACACAGCAGTGTATTTCAGTAGATCTGCCTGTTCTGCTCCTCACTTTGTCTCTGGTGAATCTTTATTTATAAATAAATAAAACAATAATTTTTTATTGTGATAAAGTATATTAAACATGAAAGTTAAACTATTTTAATACATATAATTTAGTGACATTAAGTACATTCATACTGTACAACTTGAGTATTCCATTTTATATATTATTTACCGAATTTTTTCTTCTACTTCCATTTTTTTTAAAGATTTTTTTTATTTATTTGTGCACACAAGAACTGGGGTCTAAGTCAGGGGTGCCTGGGGCAGGGAGAGGATTCACCAGAGACAAAATGGGGAGCAGAACAGACAGAGCCACTGAAATACACTGCTAAGGGTAGCAGTGGGTGAGACAGGAAAGGTCTGCTGTGCCAGGTGGGTTAGCTCCCTGGATGGGGAATGTACTCATTCCACATTGGCTGGTGATAGCTTGATAGCATTAAGACTTAACCCTTGCACCACTAGGAAGGTCCTAGCAGATCACTAATAAAACCCTCTCCAGGTCTGATATCTTCCCTAGAGCTCTACATTTCATCTGACAGCTGGATATCAAGTGGTATCTGTGTTAATAATCCATTGCGGTGTCAGACTTAGGGACTTAAGCAATAAATGTTCATTATCTCACACTTTCTGTGAGTTAAGAATTAAAATGTAAATCGTTGAGGACAATCTTGAAAGCTAGCTACCACAATTGTATCCCCCCAAAGTAGAAATTTCTCATCTTTCTAAGCAAACCTCTATTACCTACTGTGTGCTGCACTAGTTAGTAAAATAAATTTCATTTTTTAAGATTTCTTTCTTTCTTAGCAGTGATTGCTGCTTGAACATTGCATTTTAATAAGCACTCTTTTTCTATTTGAGAGATAAATAGTAAAATAACTTTCCTACAGATGTCTTGATAATTAAAGCATGGTGCCATCACATTTGAACTTTAAACACAGCAGAACTTCACTGAAAAATATTTTTTTCTTGATTATGATTGTCATTGACAAGTCATTGACCAGATATAGGACAATTTTGTTTTCTGCTGTTGAAAGATCAGTTTTAGAAGTGACATTGAAAGTCATTGAGATCCTGGAGAATTTTAGGTGAGTGAGCAGAAAGCATGTTCCTAGAAGGAAATTATCTTTACTGATTATTCTGTCTCTTTTTTTTTTTATAGAGGCATGTTTTATTTATTTATTATTTGTTTGTTTGTTTTGTTTATACATGCACTGGGTACAGTCAGAAGCGCGGGAGGGTGAGAGAATTCACCAGAGCCAGAGCGGGGAGCAGAGCAGGCAGAAGGACTGAAGTACACTGCTGAGGGGAGCAGCGGGCGGCAGGAGAGGTCTGCGCGCCATGTGGGACCCTCCTCCGGTGGCCGGGGAGCAGCCGGGGATTGAACCGGCGCTGCAGAGGCTGCGGGCAGCTTCGCAACCCAGCGCTCAACCGCTGCGCCACCGGGGAGGCCCCTGATTATTCTGTCTCTTAATGTAATTTAGATGCCCATCCAGGAAAAAGAAGCTTCAAGGAAAGAAGTCATTCTTCTGGCAAAGATGAAGCATCCCAACATTGTAACCTTCTTCAGTTCATTCCAAGGTTTGACTTTCTATTATTCTTAAAACATTTTAATAAACATAGCATGTAGACATTTATAAAAGATGTGTTCCTGAAAATTGTATAAATTAATTTTATAAAAGTACTCATTTTCTCATTTACTTAAATTATTATAAATTGGGACATCTTCTTTATTTTTTTCTTTTGTGAATTTTGTAGACAGCTTTTCTAAGTTTTCCTGACTCTCCTTTATTATCACTGCCTCAAGTAGGTCATGATTGGTGTACTGACTTTACTTCAGTAAAACCCTCCCCAATTCAGTGGCCTCTAATAACATACATTCATGTCTCACATTCCATGCAGGCTGAAAGGAGCAGCCCAAAGAGGACCCCTCACAGGAGTGAGAGAGAAGTGCAAGACACTGCCCCTGCACCAGCTCGGGCTGAGTTTTGCACTTTCTCCCTGTGCTCCTGTCCGTTTTCAAAGCAGCCATGTGGCCAACTCTTGACAACCAGGTGTTGAAGGGGAGCTGTACTCTACCTGTGAAGGTTCCTGCAGGTGCCATGGCAAGGGCTGGACTGTGTAATCCTCTTACAGAGAGGTAGCGCACAGCTGCCAGCAGGGCCTGGCTAATGGCTGAAATGGAGGAAACCGGAAGGAAAATATCCCCTTCCTGTTTGTGGGTAGCTCCCTGGCCAGGGATCAAACTGGCCAGGACCCTGGCTGGGTCCTGAATACATCTGTTCTGCCTCCCTCGACAATCTACTCCAAAGGAAAAAGAACAAAAACGAAATAAAAGGAGTGTTGGTTATTTAGCAATTATTTATCAAGTGCTTAGTATATGCCAGGCACTCTTCTGGGTGCCAGGAATATAGCAAAACGGGCAGAAACTCCTGCCCTTGTGGTGCTCTCCTTCCAGTGGGAAGAGATAGACAATAGACATCTGCACAAGACGGCAGGTGTTTATCCGGCTGTGACAGGGCTGTAGAGGTGTCCTCTGCTTTACAAAAGGTTCAGCTATTCCATTTTGTTTTTACAACATACTTCCATTAGTACCTGTTTTAACTAACTGAAAGAAATCTAAAGAGGATTTTCATTTTTCTGACAAAAAGTGAAAATAGTATCCAGTGTCTGTTTTGCAGCAGCCCTAGTACAGACAAGCGCTTGCCCCAAAGCAGCAGAGGGGCACCACTCAGCCTCCACCCCCAGGCACTGCTTCCAGGCTGTGTGTGTATCATGTCATCCCTGCTTTTACTCTGCATTAGTGTTATTGGAGTATTATGTATTATTTGGTATGCTTTGACAGGTGATTTTTTGGGTCTGGGAACACACAAAAATTTTTCCATGTAAATGAATGATCACTGCTTCTTCATTTTATGCTATTTTCACATATTCCTTCTGATAGGAATACTCTACTTTCAGATAGGAAGGGACTCCAGCATATGCCCACAGTTCACTATGTGACATCCCCCAACCCAGCAACTAGCACTGGGGGTGCCTGAATTCATGGGATCATAAGCAGCTAATGGAGCACAAGTGTTACTACCTAGCTATCTCTAAGCACCACTGGGTGGGGTGCAGGGCAGCAGCAGTAAAAATTAGTAAATAAATAAACAGCCACTATTAAATGAACTTACACACTGCAGGGCACTGGCTCTCCAAGTTAAAATAGCTGCTGAGTAGTTCTCTTTAAGGGGCCCTCTTTAGCTAGGGGGTTTATTTATTTATTTATTTATTTTAAAAGATTTATTTATTTATGCATACAGGAACTGGGGTACAGGCCAGAGGTGTAAGGGGTGAGAGGATTTAGAAGAGACAGAGTGGGGAACAGAACAGGCTAGCTAGGGGATTTAAAAGGGCTCTCAGGACTCTTCTGAGGTCTGATCTTTCTGGGAACTGAGCAATACACGTGGGCAGAGAAGTGCATTGTATTGTTGACTGAAATAAAACTCTCAATAATGGTTAGTCCAAGAGTTTATTAGATAATCAAAGTGAGAATTCAAACCCAGGAAGCTGAGAACTTTTCCAACAATCAAAGGTTTGGGTTTCATTTATATAGATAGGGACAGTGATTTATTGACATAAAAAAAGGTAATTATTCTTGAGGGGAAGGGTGTGTTTTTTCTGGATTTTGGGATTCCTAGATGTCTGAGTCTTGGAGTAGCTGGGTCCTTGCTATGGCCATGAAAGAATTCAAAGCCATTTCTAAGCAAACATAGCAATGTTTATTTAGAGTCAATACACTGGGAAGAGATCTGGACAGGCAGAGTCCATGGAAGAACAACTGCAAGGAAAGGTGGGGGTGTCCTGGGTAAATTGAGATACAAGGGGCTGCTCACTCTGTCCTTTTCTGGAGTATAGTTTGATCAGCCCTGGCAACAGGTCGGCGTGGGGGCCTTTCTCCTTTGCTGTTTCTTGCCTTCCTTGGAATTTATCCTGTTTTTAAAAATATTTTATTTATTTATTTAAATTTATATATTTTTTACATCAATATTCATTTTTAAAAGATGTTTGCTTTCTCCTCCCCCTCCCCAGGTGTAGTCCCCATAGAGTTTCCATCACCAGTGCACCTGTGCACCATCACCTCAGTCCCCTGTGCTCCTCCCTCTCTCTCTCTGATCCCTTGGAATTTATCCTTTTTCAGCTTGCCTGTAGGTTGGGGTGGAAGGCTGCCTTCTCCCTTCTGGGTGTTTCTTGGTTCTCTCCAGGCTTTATTTTCTCTGGCAAATGTTTCTGGGGTCCTGGGGATGTTGGCCATTAATTTTCTTTAGGCATCACCCCTCCTTGCTCTAACTGCCTACCAGTGCAGTGGGCTTCTGGTTTTCAATTCTAATTGAGAATTAGATCTTTAATTTCTCAAGTTAATGACCTAAAGATACATTAATGGGTAGAGGCGGGAAATGCCAGCTCTTAATTACTTCCCTGATTTCTGGATACCCGAAATGTAAATCTTTACCTGACGCAATAGAGAAGGTCGAAAGAGAGGCTGGTTTACCTTCAGGTAGCATGTTTGTGTGAAGCTGCTTCCCAGAACCAAGCAGGAAGCCATTGCTTATTTATAAGCCTAAGCAGAGAGAAGGATTTGTCTCCTGCCTGCCAGGCTGAGGGGTGGGGTTCCCAGAACTTTTTCAAGATATTTACAGTATTGAACAACTTTTAAGTAGAAGCACTGACTAGTGTGTTACATTCGTGGACATTGATTTCTAACAATGCCATAAGGCGATCTTTCTTTTCTTAAATTTTTTGTGTTATTTTGTGACTCTCTCTGTTTGGTTACGTCCTACTCATCCTCAGGCTTTTTGTAAGATCACAATTCAAACTATAGCTGCCCTTACTGCTTTAACACAGTACTTTTGTACTGGTGTGTGTATGTCTATTTATACGGACAGTTATCAATTGGTTTACTATTATCTCCCCTAAGATAGTAAACTTAATGAAGTCTTTTGCTCACCACTTGATCATCTGCATCTAGCACATATTCGGTATTCAACACATATTGGCTGAATGAGTGTGTGAATTAGACTACTTGATTAGACTGAAAATGGATATTTGACAACACTTTATGCTGAACACTGTTATAAATAACTTGCAGTAAATTATTTATATTGTAAACTTTCTTAGGGTGGCATTTTGTTTTAAGTAAAACACCCTTGTTTAGGAAAATTAGGGTCATTGTTATGGCTTTGAATTCACAGATTGTTGGGACTTGAAACACCAAGCTTACCTGAGAGCCTCAGGACCTTGTAGCACCTGGCAGTACAGATAAAACCTTTGTTTAAATACAAACAACTTATGTCCAAACCAAAGAGCTAAAGTGCTCTAGTTTACTGAATATTTGTTAATGGTAAGTGTGAAGTCTCATAGGTTTGAAGCGACATGAAAAATAAGTAGTGAGATTTTCTTACAGCTAAAATAATTGAACTTAAATTCCTTCCATCAGTGTTTATCCAATGCTAGACATGTTCTAGGTCTTGGGGCTCTCTCAGTGAACAAAATAGGCAAAGATCCCTATGCTGTTGTATTTGTTTTTTCCTGAGGTCATCATTTAGCAGATGACCTCAAGTTCAGTTGCTTAAACCAACATCTTTTTATCTTTTCCCAGCTTCCTAGGTCAAATGTGTAGCCTTGACTTAGCTGCATTATCTGCTCAGATCAAGGCATCAGCTGGCCTGATGTCTCATCTGTGCTCACAGTTCTCTTCCATGCTTATTCAGGGTGTTGGCAGAATTAATTTAGCTGCACTTGTAGGACTCAGGTTTCTGCTTTCTTGCTGGTTGCTAACTGGGGGTAGTTCTCTGCTTCTAGAAGTCAAATTCCCTTCTATGCCATAAGGCTCCTTCAATTCTGTTTCTCACTTGAAATCTATCATTTCTCTGTCTTTGACCTCTAGGCCCAGATTTCAGTGGTTCATGTGATTAGTCAGACCCGCTTGGATAATCTCCTTTTCTATAAATTCAGAGTCAGCTGATTAGTAACCTTAATCGTGTCAGCAAAATCCCCTTTGCTATGTCATACAACATAATCATGGAAATAACATCCCATCATATCTGGGTTCTATACTCAGGGGAAGGGAGTTAGTTATACAAGGTGTGCGCACTAGTCCCAGAATCTGCCTGCTACAACTGTGAATTTTACATTCTAGGGGAAAGGGTGGGATGGACACATGATAAATGCAAGCATAAGTAATAAGTACATTATATAGCATGTTAGAATGTGATAAGTGCTATGGGGAAAATAAAATACAGTGAGGCAGGAGTAGAGGGAGCAATTTTAAATAGGGTGGTCATGTGAAGGTAATATTTGACCTAAGATTTGAAGAATGTTGCTAGTATCTGGACGAGAGCATTCTAGGCAAGAATACCTGCTGCTATGGCATGAGGCAAGAGCAGGCCTAATGTGTTAATGGAGACCATTAGGAAAGGCAAAACTCCATAAGCCCTGAGCATCCTGCATATTTTTGCTGGATATGTCATGAGGCAAGAGCCTGGCTGCTAGCTACCCAGGCTGTTTCTCCGGATTGTGTTTGCAGTGAACAACTTTGAAGGATGTGGTAACATCTCCTTGAAGACAAGAAACCAGGCTTGTTTACTGTTCATTATAAAAGTGGTTGATTCCCCAATTTTAGTTTTCCTCTCCTGTAAGATAAGCCATTGCCTATGCAAATGTCCATCTAGGCTTTGAGGGACACAGAGAACCAGCAGAAGCATGTAGCTCTGTCTACTACTTTTGCAAAGAGAGTAAAGTCCTTTGTCTTTGTCCGGGAAGTCTCATGAAGTAGGCACAGGCTTCTGCTAGCAGCCGTGAAGTAGGCACAGGTTTGGATGTAGGTAGAATCTCAGACCTGTCACAGAATCCTGATAGAAGTCAGTGTGGACAGAGTACAATAAACAAAGGGTGATATCAGGAAGTATCTTCATTTGTTGTGTTGATTCCATTATCCCTTTTCTATTTCTGGCATAAAAATGTCTTTATTTTTATGGAATGATGGTAATATTGGGTAATACCTCATTTCTTCAAATCTGCATGCCATTAGTCATAAGATACATCATTATGTGCTAGTTTAAAAGAAAAATATTTTCAATTAGACCATGATACAATGCTTCCTTTTCATTTTATTTTATATGTGCTGAGTTATTTTAGATTTAATTAACAATGTTATTTTTTTATTACTTTTGGGCATAAATAAGAAGAAAAAGTGAGCAAATTTAATTCAAGTATTATAAAATTTATTTAGGCAGTAATAATATCAAGATTTCTGGGTTTATAGCAACAGATGGGAAAATGCCAAAGTCTGTACAACACAATCCTGAATTTTCAGAAGTGCTATTTAGAATGAATTAATTATAGTAGTTGTCTTTTAAACATTGGATATTTTACAAATGAAATTTAGGTTGTAGCCCTAATGTTAGTGCCCCTCAAGATTTTTTAAGGGTCAGTGACCCATAAGCTTTGTAATTCCAGAAACTACTGCCCTCTGGCATGCTTGCAGTTCCTTTTTAGGATATCTTTACCTCCCTTCTGCATTCTCAAATATTATACATGCTTTTAAGACTAAACACAGAGTATACTCCCTAATCCTAAAGTGGTCTTTTTCACCTCTGTTCTCATTTATATACAACTGAGGGGTACCCAAGGACCCAAAACTGTTAAGGGGAGCATGCTCTAAAGGGATTCTGCCATCTGCATACACAAAGGCAAAGGAAGCATACGCTTAGTGTGAAAGATTTTTAATAAATTATTGTGCATAGAGACAGAACCCTTTCCCCCAAGTTTCCTTATTTTGATTTTCCCATAGTTCTGACATTGCCATCCCTTCATTGTGGAACAGCCTCTTCAATGGCTGCGCTGAAAGAAATATTCTAATTCTTCTACCCGTAATACATTTCTGAACAGAATTCATCTCTAGATAATTAGGGTATGTCAGGATGCATCTTTAACCTTGAATTCTCCAGTCTGACTCTCATTCACTGTCTCTTGTTCTCTTTGCCCTGGAGTGTATAGACTCTTACTATAGCAGTTCTCACTAGACTGTCAACTCCTTAAATAGTTTATTTGTTATTTATTGCTACTACAGCATTCCTTAACTTGTCTTTAATAAATGTTTGTGGATGAATAGGTGGTTTTGTCTCCTTTAAGAAGGTGGAAAATTGGAAGTATTATGTGAAAGAGGAACCACTCCATTGCAAATTAGTAGCAACCCAGGGCAGATGCTCTCAGGTTGTTGATACCACTTTAAAGTTGGGTTAAGCTACTTGAAAGAAAAAGGTAGCAAATGATAGATATTTGGCAAGAGATTCTGCCATTTACATTTATATTTAGTGAATATTCAGTAACTACTGGGGAAAATACTAGAAGAACTAACACTTGCTTATAATAAGCCTGGTTTCATGCAGTTTTGTTTTCCTTAATGTTTTTATGAAACCACTCAACAGCTAACACAAAAGAACAAAGTGTGGACTCTGTCTTCAGGACTCTGTCTTCATAAACTAGTAGGAAAAATAAATGAGTTAGTGGGGGGCAGGAGGGGAGGGATTGGGGTCAGAATGGGGGGGTTGCAATTGTATGGGGAATATAAAAATAAAATTTATTATTTAAAAAAAATAAATGAGTTAGTAAAGCCCTTTTTCTTTTTTTTTTTTTTAAAGATTTATTTATTTATGCATACAAGAACTGGGGTAAAGGCCAGAGGTGTGGGGGGATGAAAGGATTCACCAGAGACAGAGTGGGGAACAGAACAGGCGTATTGACTGAAATACACTGCTGAGGGAACGGCGCCATGTGGGTTACCTCCCTGGCCGGGAATCGAACTCGTGCTGCAGTGGCTGTGGATAGCTTCATAGTGCTGAGGCTTAACCCCTTGTGCCACCAGGGAAGTCCTAGAGCCCTTTTTCTAACAAGATCCCAATTAGTAGTTGGTGGATTAAGGAAAAAAACCTAGTGAATTGAGAAATCATAAAATATTAATCTATAAATGCATAATCACTTGCAAGTGTTTGATATGAATCCAAGGCCTTATCTTAGAGTATGAGTTCACTGATTGGAGTGTTGAGTGGTTTTTCCTACTTAGACTATGCCCCTAATTTATAATTTCCAATTTCTCTTTTTTAGAGGGAGTAAGAATTTATTCTGTGGTACAATCCTTTCAAAACTTTTCCAATTATTTTTCACTTGTTTCATCCAACACTTAGGTCACAGACATTTTTATTAAGCTACTCACTTTACAGAGTCTCTCCAAGCATTTAACATAGTTTTTGTAGAAATAACCCCTCTTCTTTTTCCACTCATACATTTTCACTTTAATAATTTTAATAACAAGTATAATTGCCATAAACATATTTGGGAATGTACACTGTGACCTCATTAAGAATCTAGTAACCCTCAGTGGTAACCTTAAATGGACAATGTAAGGAATCTTGTGAGTAGGTCAGTGTGAGGTCAATTAGAAGAACATCTATTGTACTCAACAACATAGTTGAATAAGGGCCACATAAATAAAAGTTTATAATCAAATTCAAGAATGGTGTATTAATTCTTCCTGGGGTGGTGGGGAAGATTTGTTGTTGCTGCTTTATGGCACAGTTCTAATATTTTAAAAGAATGTATTATTAACAATAATTAACATTTATCAAGCTCATGTACAGTCTTTGTTCTAAAGTATTTGACATGAATGAACTCATTTAATCTTTACAACAATACTAGTGGGAGTTTCTATATTACTATCTCCATTTTGTATATGAGGTTAATGAGGTAGAGAGAAATTAAAATAACTTACCTAGAGTCACAGAGCTAAGAAATGTATGTGATGAGATGGGATTGGAACCCAGTCCATCTTGACTCCACAGCCACAATTTTTAATTATTAGATGCTGCATTTTTTAATTATATTCTCCACTCTCTGGAGATTGAAAGGCAAATGATTATCTGAAACCCTTCCAGGACTGAATGATGCTTTTCCTTACAGAGAACAACAGGCTGTTTATTGTGATGGAGTACTGTGATGGAGGGGACCTTATGAAGAGGATCAGTAGACAACGAGGAGTGCTATTTGGTGAAGACCAGGTAAAAGCACTTCTAATTTTCCTTGTAATTTCATTGGGGAGAGTAAAATTTATAATTCTATAAGTAGCAGACCATATTTGATGAAGCCTGCTTTCTGGTAGAGAAATTCAAATCATAAAATAGTGGATCTGTCCTTACTCCAGAACATACTTGAAATTGAAATTAAGTTGAATTTCTTTTTGAGAGTGAAGTTTGTTTGAGAAAAGACAATATCTGATTTTTGCACCATTTCATATGGAAAGCCTCTGAGATCGATATTCATGACTAAAAAACATCTGAATGTGGATGTTCCTTAGCCATTTTAAACATGACATATTTGTAGCTCTCTTCTTCCTTTTACAATTTGGCACTCTATTTTAAAATAGCTATCCACTTTGCTGTGGAGGATGGAAGCTCTTCTTAGCAATAGCTTTTCGGTTTCATTGCTTATTAAGAGAGAGGAGAAAAAAGGTGAAGAATAATGGCCTCAATTCCCATTTTCTTTTTGCACAAAAACATATTTCTTCTATATGCTGAGCCGCTGTTAGGATCCTCTTGGGGATTGTATTCATGAAGGAGACGGGGGTGCATGTGTAGAGAGGACTCACAATCAGGGCCTGGCTGCTTGCTGGGAAAGGCTCACCCCAAGGCTGCCTTTGGTTTCTTTGTGCTATTTTCACATTTTTTGGAAAAGATTTTATTTATTTATTTTTACATAGAAGAACTGGGGTGTAAGCCATAGGTGTGGGGGCTGAGATGATTCACCAGAGACAGAGTGGGGAGCAGAGCAAGTGTAACTGGAAGGTCAGAGTTTGGGCCACCTGTCACCACCGAGTGCCAATAAAGTAGAGACAGGCGTTGAATCTTTAAAGTGCATTTTAATCAGACAGGCAGCAATCTGGAAGACGGGGAGTTAACAACCTAAAGAAAATGCCTTAACATTTCATTTCCAGCTGCCTTTTTTTTTTTTTTTTTTTTTTTTTTGTGGGACCCTTGCCCGGTGGCCAGGGAACGTACTGGCACTGCAGAGGCTGCGGGCAGCCTCGCAGCCCAGCGCTCAACCGCTGCGCCACCAGGGGAGGCCCCCTCCAGCTGCCTTTTTATCGTGAGCTGAACAAAGAGAGTTCAGCAGTAAGCAGTCCTTCACTACTGCCAGGAGATAGTGATGTCCAGTGCCCTCCTGGACAACTGGTCTCAGGCTTGTCCCACTGTGGTGAGGCTGGTCTTCAGACAGCGCTGGCTCCCTGCACGTCTCCAGACGTGTCCTTGGCTGGAAAATTAACTCAGAGCAGACAGGCCAAAAACAATATGTGTGTGCAGTTTTCCTACCATGCCAGCTTAGTGTCTCACTTGATGTTCTCCCCCTCCCTAGCCCTTATCACAGGCACATTTACTGAAATACACTGCTGAAGGAAGCAGCGGGCAAGACAGGAGAGGTCTGCTGTGCCATATGTGGCACAGAACTCAGGCCGTTATGGTGATAGGGTTGAGACTTAACTCATAGGCCACCAGGGTGGCCCTATTTTCACATTTAAGAGTATTCATGCCCATATAATTTCCTCATAAAAAACTGAATATTTTTAAAAAACTGAATATTTTAAATGTATGTATGCTTTTGAATGTATGAATGAATGAAGATTATCTCTAGCCTCTGTAAATTTAATTAATGCTCTTTCTGTGTTTCATTTCCATTATATATTAAACTCCATACTTAATAGATACCCTCTTTTCTTCCTATCTGGGTGTTATTTTGCCATATTTAATAGAAATACTTTCCTCGACAAAATTTTGAATTACTTTTCCATTTGTTGGGAAAGAACTAAAATTATAACTGAATTTTAGTATATTAAAATGCAGCTTTTCCCCTTTTGTTTTCCTCTTTCTGTATAACTTGGTGTCCAAAAAGTCAGTGAGGGCCTACCCTGTGGCGAAGCAGTTGAGCGCTGGGCTGCGAAGCCACCTGCAGCCTCTGCAGCGCCTGTTCAATCCCTGGCCACCGGGTGAGGGTCCCACATGGGTGGAAGACCTCTTCTGCCGCCCGCTGCTCCCCTCAGCAGTGTATTTCATCAGTCTGCCTGTTCTATTCTCTGCTCTGGCTCTGGTGAATTCTCTCACCCTCCTGCACTTCTGACTGTACCCAGTGCTTGTATAAATAAATAAATAAATCTTGAAAAAAAAAAGTCTAAAACATATTAACTTTTAAAAAACAAAAGAAAAAACAAAAAGTCAGTGAAATTTTAGACTACTTTTAATAAAACTCTGTAGACATAGTGCTCATGTTATAAAGAGTCTTAGGCCAGTTAAGATAAAATAAAATCATAACTAAGAAATAAATTAAACTTTAAATATCTTTTATGTTATATGAATATATATGAATATTCCATGAAAAAATTTAAAAAGTCATAGATTCTCTGCTTCTTCTTTCTCTCCCTGGCTTTGCTACCCCCTTCCCCTGAATAGGAAAAACCAGGGGCACCAGGGTTGTCAGGAAACAAGACTACTACTCTCCTATCCTGATACAGTTTGCAACCTAGTATTGAATAAGAAAAAAGAAAATAATGAATTGCCTTTTCCTCTCCCTCGCTTTTGTTTGTATTTTTCTTGTAAGTGGAGTTTCCTTTGATGCCAACACACCTCTATTGCCTTTCTGCCCCCTCATTTTTCTGTCAAAAGAATATTATATAAGATCATATATCTATGAGCTCATTCCTATGAAAACACACAAACACAAAATATATGTATTATTTCTCTCTCTCTGTATGTTGTCATGAAAACATTTCAGTGTTTGCAGACTGCTCACTAATTTTGCTTTTTGTTCCCTCCACAGATTCTGAGTTGGTTTGTACAGATTTCTCTAGGACTAAAACATATTCATGACAGGAAGATCTTACACAGGGATATAAAAGCACAGGTAACAATTCAGAGAGAAGATCAAGACAGAACTGTTCTTTTGCTTTCTTTAACTGTCTCCAACAATACAGTATTTTCTCCATTTATAGAACATATTTCTTAGCAAGAATGGAATGGTTGCAAAGCTTGGGGACTTTGGTATAGCAAGAGTCCTAAACAAGTAAGTACTTTTAAATGTCATTTTTCTTTCTATAAATGACTGTCAAAAAATGTATTTTTGGGTATTGTGAATTAAGAAAATATTAAAAGCTTGGTCTCCAAATAATTTTAGATAACTTTGTATAAATGCATCAAATTATTCAGATGGTACTTTGAGACTCAAATTCCCAAGCTAAATCTTAGCATGGTGAATGATGGTGATAAGATCGTGAGGTGTGAATGTAATATGCATGAACAAGTGAGAATTTAGTGAAGTGGGTAAACTCACTCTTGAATATATTGGCACCAGCTGTTTTAGAGGACAATTTGGTGGTAATAACTATCAAGAGATTTTATAATTTGAAATTTGGAATAATTTAAATGTCTAGTGATTTAGGAAATGGTTAAATTTAATAAAATTTGGCACAGATATGTACCCGAATATTGTATAGATAGCCACTAATAGCTACGATTTTGAGAACTTCTTGATAATATGAGAAAATATGTTATATTAAATTGAAAAAAATGAAAAAATAATAAATTAAAAAAACGGAATTCTGAAAGCAAACTGTACACAAATGAATAATGATGTAACATATATATACATATATATGTATAAATAAAAAAGTAAGATTAGAATAGGCACCAATAAAGAACAAGTAACATACAACTTAAAAAAAGGAATTCTGAATTTCAAAGGCACTATGATCTTACCTATGTGAAAAGTAAGCTTGGAAAAAAGATAAATATATTAGAATTTTAAGCAGTAGTTTTTCTGGTAGTAAGACGATGGGTAATTTTCCTTTATTCACTTTCATATTTTCCTAATTTTAAATCTTGAGATCATATTACTTTGGTAAGTGGAAAGAGGGAACTCTTTTTAAATATGAAAGTTTTATAATGTATCAGTTGTACCTCTGTGGAGTCTTTAAATCATAAGAAAAAAGTTTTTATGTGTAGATTTTGAGATGAGTTGTAAGTTTGGAAAACAGTTTTATTGCTTTATTATTAATATACAGTATGTTTTACTTTATTTTCGTATATGCTTGCCTCAAATTATGTTAGCTATATTTAATACCTAGCATGGCCGTGTTTTAAGCCTTTACTTACTCCAATAATTAACCATGTCATTTAATTATTTAATATCATTCCCTAGTTCTATGGAACTTGCTAGAACTTGTGTCGGCACACCTTACTACCTGTCCCCAGAGATCTGTCAAAATAAACCCTACAACAATAAAACGTAAGTTACTATAAGTTTGAAATTCTCAGTAAAATCTGAAGAATTTTCTTCTTCTTATGGCACTCTCATAATTCCATTTTCTTCATGTGTGACATAGGCATCCCAATGACTGTCTCTGACCACTTTATTGTTCCCTGAAGTTTTGAACTTATTTAGAAGAAAGACATTTCTCCTCATTTAAAGATATGTCATTGAAAGAATACACTAAATATTGCAGTGCTATGATGTCCATCTTATGTATGACTTTCCTATCTGTAAGCACTGTTTCGTCCTTTGCAGAAAAATGTTATGGGTGAGTGAGGTAGGAGGCAGTCTGGTCTGGTGACTGAGCACTAGATTAGGAGCTAGGAGCTTGTTAATTTCATTAAACAAGAAGCCATTAGGCTGAGTAAGACTAATATGGAGGTGGCCCAAACCAAAATCCAAGCCTGCAAATGCCTCGAAGATTAAGAAATAAAAAACATTTAAGGACAACCAATCGCAAACTGCCAACCGGGCTTTGAACTTAAGCTGATCAGATAATTTCCTATCTTGCTTCTGCACCTCCTCTGTTCGTTTTCCTATGCTTCTGGTGACAGAGAACATTTAACCGTTTCTGGTTTGACATCACGATTCAAATCTATTTTTGCTCATATAAACTTTAAACATTTTTAAATATGCTTCAGTTTATCTTTCAACAAACCCTACTCTTGGCTCAGTTATCACTTGGACCAGGCCTGATGACCTCTGTGGGCCCAGCCCCTGCATCTGTAACAATGAGAGTGTTGGCCAGATAATCATTAAGGCATCATGTTGCTTTAAAACCAACTAATTTTTGTGTATGTGACGCCAGATTCTGGTTCTCAGAGTAATAGTAATATACACAGTGATAGGAAGTGAAAATGAGGTAGGTTTTTTTTTTTTTTGCTTTCACTGTTTTTTTTTTTTTTTTAAATTTATTTATTATTTATTTGTTTGTTTGTTTGTTTTGTTTTTTGTTTATACATGCACTGGGTACAGTCAGAAGCACGGGAGGGTGAGAGAATTCACCAGAGCCAGAGCGGGGAGCAGAGCAGGCAGAAGGACCGAAGTACACTGCTGAGGGGAGCAGCGGGCGGCAGGAGAGGTCTGCTCGCCATGTGGGACCCTCCTCAGGTGGCCGGGGAGCAGCCGGGGATCGAACCGGCACCGCAGAGGCCGCGGGCAGCTTCGCAACCCAGCGCTCAACCGCTGCACCACCGGGGAGGCCCCTCACTGTTTTTTTTTTAATAAGTAATTTTTTACATCATTGTTCATTTTTAAACAGTATTTGCTTCCCCCCACCCCCTCAGGTGTGGTCCCCATAGAGTTTCCTTTACCAGTGCACCCGTGCACCATCACCTCAGTCCCCTGTGCTCCTCCCTCCCTCCCTCTGATTCCTCTCCCTCCTCCTCCCCTGCAGGATGTCTCTGATTTATAATTGTCTGTTTTTGCTTTATTGTGTTTTGTACTGTTACTATTTTTTACACTGATTTCTTATTTGTATTCCTGCTATAAGTGAAACCATCCAATATTTTTCTTTTTCCTTCTGGCTTATTTTACTGAGCATAATTTCTTCTAGCTCCATCCACTTTGCTGTGAATGGCATGAGTTTATCTTTTTTGATTGCTGAATAATATTGCATTGTGTATATATGCCACATCTTCTTGATCCAGTCATCTATTTTTGGGCATTTGGATTGTTTCCAGGTTTTACCTATTGTAAATAGTGCTGCAGTAAACGTAGGTGTACAGGTGTTCTTTTGAAACAATGTTTTTGTGTCCTTTGGGTAGATCCCTAGCAGTGGAATTGCCGGGTCATATGGTAGCTCCATTTTTAGTAGACTGAGGAACCTCCAGACAGCTTTCCAAAGTGGTTGGACCAGTTTGCACTCCCACCAGCAATGTAGGAGAGTTCCTTTTTTACCACATCCTCACCAACACTTGTTGTTGCTAGTTTTTTTGATATGTGCCATTCTTTTTTTAAATTTTATTTATTTTATTTTATATATTTTTTTACATTACTTTTCATTTTTGCACTATGTATGCATAGTTCAAAATATGCATTTTCATCTTGGTTATAGTCCCCATACAATTCCCACCCACCTTGTTTTGATCCTACTCCCTTCTCCCCTTCCCAAACCGCCCCCCCCCCCCCCCCCCCGCAGTATGTCTCTGGTTTACAGTTGCTTGTTCATTTTGATTTTTACTTTATTATAATTAGTATTTTTCCTGGTCCCTTATTTAGATTTCCTAAATTCCTGCTATGAGTGATTCCATCCAATATCTTTCTGTCTCCTTCTGGCCTACTTTGCTGAGCACGATCCCCTCCAGCTACATCCATGCTGCTGCAAACTGCATGAGTTTATCCTCTTTGATAGCCGAGGAACACCCCATTGTGTATATGCCATTCTTACTGGTGTAAGGCGGTATCTCAGTGTGGTTTTGATTTGCATTTCCCTGAATATAAGGGATGTTGAACATTTTTTCATATGCCTGTTGGCTGTTTGCATTTCCTCTTTGGAGAAATGTTTTTTAAGTTCTTCTGCCCATTTCTCCTCTCTATCTGATGTTGTATATGCACTGAGAAAAACAAAGAGGGTTGTTAAAATTTACCCTATCCATTTTTGGGGACTGTGAGTTTTAGCAGTGCCATAAACCTTAATGTCTGTCTTTGAAGTTCCTATTTGTTTAGATGCAACAGGTTTTTTTGGTTGTTGTTTTTGATGCAACTTCATCACAAGACCATTGGATTGTTTACTTTGTTGTTGTTGAGTCCTGTGACTTCTTTGTATATCTTTGTGATCAGTCCCTTATCAGTTGTATGGAGTGCAAAAATTTTTTCCCAGTCAGTGGGGTGTCTCTCTGTTTTGGCTAATAGTATACAGAAGCTTTTCAGTTTGATATAATCCCAGGTGTTTATCTTTTCCTTGACTTTTTTTGCTTTGGGTGATGAGTCTTTAAATATGTTACTGAGATGTATGTCTTATAGTGTTTTACCTATATTTTCTTTTATGTATTTTATGATTTCAGGTCTTATGTCCAGTTCTTTTATCCATTTTGAGTTGATTTTTGTGCACGGTGAGAGGTAGTGGTCTAGTTTCATTTTTTTGCATGTGGTGGTCCAATTTTCCTAGCACCATTTATTAAACAAACTGTCCATGTTCCATTGCATATTCTTTGCTCCTTTGTCAAAGATTAGTTGTCTGTATAAGTGTGGCTTTATTTCTGGGCTCTCTATTCAGTTTCATTGGTCTGTTGTCTGTTTTTGTTCCAATACCAAACTTTTAATTATTATGGCTTTGTAGTATAGTTTGAAGTTAGGAAGTGTGATACCTCCTTTCTCCTTTGTTTTCATCAGTAGGGCTTTGGTTATTCGTGTTTTTTTGTAGTTCCATATGAATTTCATCAGTATTTGTTCTGTTTCTTTGAAGAATGTCATTGAGATTTTTATTGGAATAGCATTGAATCTGTAAATTGGTTTTGGCAGGACGGCCATTTTAATAATGTTAATTCTTCCAATCCATGAGCAGGGGATGTCTTTCCATTTCTTTGTGTCTTCTATTTCTTTTAACAGTGTTTGATAATTTTCTTTATATAGGTCCTTCACCAAAAATGAGGTAGTTTTTACTTCTATGTGTTTTACTTCTATGTGTTGACTTAAATAAATTGTGACTTAAATAAATGTGTTGACTTAAAAAAATTGAGGCAAATAAAAGTGAGTTTATTAAACAATTAAGATAAGTACTTGAATCTCCAGATGCCTCTGGGAAAGCTGCCCCAATTCTGAATCTCTCAGTGAGGATTACATATAGTTTGTAAGGATTCTTGCAAGGAAAATCCAGTTAATGTCTCTATCTAATGTTGCTTATGCACTAAGAAAAACAAAGAGGGTTGTTAAAATTTACCCTATCCTTTTTTGGGGACTGTGAGTTTTAGCAGTGCCATAAACCTTAATGTCTGTCTTTGAAGTTCGTATTTATTCAGATGCAACAGTGTTTTTTTTTTTTTGGTTGTCGTTTTTGATGCTACTTCTTCACAAGACCATCTGGCTGTTCTAACTCTTGGCTTGTGCCTCTTAGTTGAGACCTTGGAGAGGGCACCACTTATTTGTTAATTTGGTGAACACATTTAAGAAGGAGAAAAGCATTTCATTTTCAAAAGTGGGGGCCAGTTGAAACAGTTGGTCTAGCAGTAAAACTGAGTTCCTTTCGGGAATTGATTGTCCATGTGTTAAGGAAAACTCAGAAGGGATATTTAACTGCATGACAAGAAAAGGCAAAGCCTAGTGGTAGAGATTTATAAAAATAATAGTAAATATTTCTCTGCATAATGAAAAAACAGTATTTTTTTTTTTTTTTTTGAGATATTCCTTAGCTCCCAGAGAGTATTTGATTTTAGGATGAACAGGAAAGTGGCAGTGTAGCACTGGGTGAAGGAGGGATGGCTGGGCCAATAGAGTAGAGCTGCAGTAGGCTGAGAACCTAGGTCAGCAGCTTTGCCTAGTTTCCTTGTACTGCTTTGTAAGAATTAGAGACAACATTTAAATATGCTGATTTGGTACTTCTGATAATTGAAATTATCAGTTGGGTAGCTGCTGCCCCCTTTAGACAAGAAACTCAACCAGGTCTCTAGTTTACCACACACAGAGGGGGTCACGATGTGCAAATGCTCCCCACTTGGCCACTAGTGGTTTCATTCCTGGGGAGCACTGTAGGCGTGTGGCCTTACCACACTGGCTGCAGTGGGCTATCTGGGGCTGAAGAGGAGTTTCCATGAAGAGAAATGATAGTAAGGACAGATTCTGATGGGATCACGGTCAGTAAGTTTCTAAAAACTTTAGAAACCACTTAGAAGTTTCTTCATTCTCAGTAGAAGTGTTGCTAAATAGTGGCGGCATTTACCTCACCAAACTTGGTTCTTCTTTGACCATCTTCTTATCTCCTTGACCTCTCATTGTATTTTTTTGTTATTTTGTATGTGATTATGCTTTTTTGTTCTGTAAGATAACTCCTTATTAAGCCAATCACATATGACTATTAAGTACTAAAGAGCAAGCTAGTCTCCAGGTCTAGATGATAAGCACCATTCTCAGGTGTTTGTTGAATACCAAATACAGTGCTCATCACTTAATGTAACTTTAGTTCTGTCAAGAGCCTTGAGTAGAATATACATTTTAAAATCAACCAAATTTTACCTTTTGAATCAAATCAAAACTGCTTTTGTCTTGCCTCCTTCCTCCAAATTGCTCAAAAAGTTCCATGCACACTCCAGTTTGCTTTGAGCACATGAAGCTGAAGTAAATATTGAGTTGTCAGATTGTGGCAAAGTCAGCATACTTTTTCTCTGCTAGGATTCTGACAAACTACAAGTTGCATTTACCTGCGATCTTAGTAAGAATTGATAATGTATCTGAAAATGTTTTTGATCTGTATCTGATAAAATATCTGAAAACACAGGTCAACCTATATAAAGTTGTAAATCTACACAAATATAAGGTGCTGTAAGGACAAAGGCTTTTATTGAGAATTATGGAGATTTTCTTGGCATGTAAACCCTTATCTTCCTCAGGGATATTTGGTCTCTTGGCTGTGTCTTATATGAGCTCTGCACACTCAAGCATCCTGTAAGTACGTTCAACGTCAGATTGATCTTGACTTATTGGAAATATATAGATGAAATTAACTCCTGAGAGACAATGGTTACTGTTGGTTTTATTAGATTGTTAAAAATTATATGGGCAAGCTATTAGGATAATAATAGAATTGTATATACTGACACAAAAATGTGTTCGTGCTTATATAAAATAAAAACTCCAAGTTGGAGAAAGTATGCATAGCATATTTTCCTTCAAAATAAATTGTGAATGTATATAATTAGCAAAGAAAAAAAGTGTGTGGAAATCTATTGGAAGTCAGGCAAGAGCTTCCCAAAGCCTCCATCTGTGTCATCCCACAGAACGTACCGATTCCTTAAGCAAAAAGTTGTGACAGTCCATGTGAAGTGTTACCTGCTAGGGAGGCTTATTAAAGACCCAGTGCCCAGGGCTTCAACTAGAGTTGGTGAGGTAGGCACCCACTACTAGCATGTAGAAAACCCCCAGACTCCCGGGAAGCAGAGACTGTATTGTTCTCACAATTTAAGCACACTGAGCCACCCTGGGAATTTGGCAACTGGTGGGATCACCCCTGAAATTTAAGTTCCCAGATGTCAGCAAAAGACCAATATTGTAGCAGGGCTTTCCAAGGATAGCATCTTAGCTGTGTCTACACAGCTGTTAGATCATCATCATTATCATCATCGTTGTCGTCGTCATCATCATCAAATGTCACTCAACTAGTAATTTTCTAACTAAAACCTGTATCTCTACTGCCACACTCTCCTGCTGAACATTACTATTATATGTAAATAACTGATGATTTCACACCATGGAAAATTTCCTGAGATATAAAGAATTTTTAAAGAAATGTTTTTATGTTAATTAAAAAATCAAGGCATTGGATTTCACATCATTATGTCTACAACTCTTTAAACATTATTTTGAAAAAGACTAGAAGGAAATATCTCTCTGGGTGATGAAATGATATGTATTTTTCCTGACTATTTATAACTTTCTATGTCTTATAATAATTAAATATTATTTGATAATAAGAAACAATTAAACAAAAAACTTGTTTTAATAACCTGGTATCTGGGTGAGAAGCTGCCTACAATAGCTATTTATGAAATTTTAGTTGATGAAAACAAGTTAGGGTGGACATAGTACTTCTTTTTTTTTTTTTTTTTTTTTTTTTTTTCTTTTAATAGAGGCATGTTTTATTTATTTATTTGTTTGTTTGTTTCGTTTATACATGCACTGGGTACAGTCAGAAGCACAGGAGGGTGAGAGAATTCACTAGAGCCAGAGCGGGGAGCAGAGCAGGCAGAAGGACCGAAGTACACTGCTGAGGGGAGCAGCGGGCGGCAGGAGAGGTCTGCGCGCCATGTGGGACCCTCCTCCGGTGGCTGGGGAGCAGCCGGGGATCGAACCGGCGCCGCAGAGGCTGCGGGCAGCTTCGCAACCCAGCACTCAACCGCTGCGCCACCGGGGAGGCCCGGACATAGTACTTCTAACTGAAGTTGAAAACATCATTTGCTTCTTGCTCTTACTTTAAATTGACTTTTCCTCTGACCTAATATCATTATTCCTTGTCCTTTCAGTTTGCAGGTGACAACTTACACCAGCTAGTTCTAAAGATTTGTCAAGCCCATTTTGCCCCAATATCTCCAAGGTTCTCCCATGAACTTCGGTCCTTGATATCTCAGCTTTTTAAAGTATCCCCCAGAGATCGTCCATCTATTAATTCCATTTTGAAAAGGCCCTTTTTAGAGAAACTTATTGCCAAGTATTTGACTCCTGAGGTGAGTTTTGGGGCAAATCTTGTTTGGATTTTGACAGATTTTGATTAGTAAGTCCTTGACACATGTTTGGTTTTAGGTCATTCAGGAAGAATTCAATCATACCCTCCTAAGCGGAGCAAGACCATCAGCTTCTCGACCTGCTAGGAAGGTGGTTCCAGGTAAGAATGAGTTCATGGGCCTCCCCGGTGGCGTAGTGGTTGAGCGCTGGTTTGCGAAGCTGCCCGCAGCCTCTGCAGCGGGGTTCGATCCCCGGCTGCTCCCCGGCCACCGGAGGAGGGTCCCACATGGCACGCAGACCTCTCCTGCCGCCCGCTGCTCCCCTCAGCAGTGTACCTCATCAGTCTGCCTGCTCTGCTCTCCCCTCTGGCTCTGGTGAATTATCTCATCCTCCCGCACTTCTGACTGTACCCAGTGCTTGTATAAATAAATAAATAAATCTTAAAAAAAAAAAAAAAAGAATGAGTTCATCATTCCAAAACCACTTATATCATGTGCTCATATAGTGAGTTACATGTGGCTAATGACTTTAGGGAAGAAATTGCACCAAAGAGGTTTGAATATGGGTGTTAAAAAATATGAGCATTATAAAAAAAAATCTAGTGGGCATGCCTGAGATGCTGTCTATGGAGCTCATATATGACCTGGAGGATTCTTTTTTTTCTTCCCATTATCAGGAAAACCACGAAACAGTGGGTTTACCAATTAAACAGATGCTTGAAGAGGTAGAATACAAAATTAACTTTTGTGTAGAGGAGGGATTGTGAGAAAAGAAGGTTTATAGACGTGGGTTGATGAGATGAGTCTTATTTTTTTGAAATAGAGAAAATGAACTGGCAATTTAAAATTCTTTTCCAGAGACCTATTGGAACCAAAGTTAGAATTTTGGACCTAATTTTTTTTTACAATTTGAGAACCATTACTATGTTACCTCCAAAGCAAGAAAGGTGATGATGATATTTACTGTATGGTAATGACAAATAGTATGGTGATGCTAGAGAAGCAACTTTAGTGTCAGGAATCAGCTGATGAAGTGCTCTCTCTCTCTCTCTCTCTGTCTTTCTCTGTGTGTGTGTGTGTGTGTGTGTGTGTGAAAGAGAGAGAGAGAGAGGGATTAAAGAGAAAATTACTAATTCAGTGGATGTTGTGAATGTAAGAGCAGAATTTAGTTATAACCAAATGTCTGAACATAAAGGATGAGGAAGAGTAGAAAATCTCTCCAAGAAATCAGTGCTAGAGAAATATTATCCATTGTGATAGAGAATTAAAATTGAGGAAAGTTACAAAAGGAAAATAAATGAGCCTTTTTGCCATGTTTAATTTGATTTGGCATTGTTGTATATTATTCTAGGTTGGGTGTGTTTAGAAAATAGATAAAATAGATAAAAATAAAGGATGAGAGAAAGTGCACCATCCACATTTCAAGAAAGGAAAGATTGGAAAACAAGAACAAATTTTGATGGTGACAAAAACAAACATCTTAGAAGACCCACTCATACATTTCAAGCAATAATGTGATGTGAATGGTGTGGCCTGATTACTCAAGCCCTGATTATTACATTTAATTTCCCTAATTATGTTGTTTCTGTTGAAATTAATGCTAATTACTAAAATTATTTTAAAGTAGTGTTATGTATTACTAGACATATACAAAGGAACTTTGCAGTAAAAGGTTGTCTCCATTCAAAGAAAATGCATAATTTTGCAGTGTAAAGTTGTGGAAATTTCTTAAAACTTACATTGTTTTATTTTGGTTAAATAAGATTCTAATAAACAGAAGGTGAGATTCCAGGGAAAGTGCCTACCAAGATCAAGGATATCTGTACCAGTTCAAAGGAAGGATATATTACATAGAAAGGAATGGAGACCACCCACTGGCGCTCAGAAACCCGTATTTGTAAGTTGGACGAAACCCTCCCTCTTGTTTATAAGCTGATAGTGTCTTCCACAGACCTGCGCTCACATGTTCATGGCTATAAGCTCATGACTCTGGAATCCACTCATTTTGTACTTAAAATCATTCTGTAATGAGCATTAAAGTGGTATTTTGTTGGACAACTTTTCATTATATTTTTAAAAGCAGTGCTGTATTTTCTTGCAAGTATGTTATGCCTGAGTTTTAGTTTTATAATCAAATTCTTCCAATTTCTTTAGCTGAAGAAGATTTTTCTATATAGGAGAACTTTATAGCATAGTAGCAGAAAACGTGGGAAATTTTTATTATATAATCATTGATTTTTTTTCCTAGAAAAATCTTTCTGCTGAGTTATTTGAATCCATTTTAGCAGAGTGCTAAATCTTTTAGTTCACGCAAGTAAAATGCTCTGATAATATATATAATAACATGGATTTTTTTTAATGGAAGAATTGTATTTCTTAAAAATTAGTCCTTTTCATCTCTGTATAACTTTGGGGTTACATTTTTACTTCTACATAAGTGCACATGCTTCACTCACCCTCCACCAAACCTCCTATGCCAATGCACTACCCCATCCTTCCTCTATTTCCTTTCCTCCTCCCCCCAGTTACTCTGGTAACCAGTATATTTTTCACAGAGTCTAATAACTGTTTTTGCTCTGCTTTGCCAGTGTATGTCTTTCGGTTATTCATATTTCACAGATGAGTGAAACCATCAATAACTGTCTTTCAGTCTCTGATTTATTTCATTAGCATAATCACCTCCAAGTCCATTAATTTTGTCCCATAAGGTACTATTTCATCTTTTTAAGTAGCTCAGTAGTATTCCATTGAATATATATTCCACAATTTCTTAATCTAGTCATCCGTTGTTCAATTCTTAAGTTGGTTTCATGACTTGGCAGTTGTGGAAGTGCTGCTATGAATGCAGGAGTTCATAAATCCTTTTCTATTAGTGTTTTCATATTCTTTGGATAGATGTAGAGGTAGTGCTAGATCACTGGGATGTCCATTGTCATTTTTTTAAAGGTATCTGCATACCATTTTCCATAAAGACTGCACCAGATTGCATTTCCACCAACAGTGGATGACTTTGTTCTTCACATTCTTCACAGCATTTGTTGTTTCTAGTCTTTTTTATATTGGCCATTCTCACAGGGGTGAGGTGATATCTCATTGTGGTTTTGCTTCATTTTCCTTGTAATACATTATGTTGAACTTTTTTTTCTAAATAGTTTTTTTTTAAAGATTGATTTATTTATGCAAGCACTGGGGTTCAGGCCAGAGGTGTGGGAGGGTGAGAGAATCCACCAGATACAGATCAGGGAGCAGAATAGGCAGAAGGACCGAAATACACTGCTGAGGGGAGCAGCGGGTGAGATAGGAGAGGTCTGCTGCACCATGTGGGAATCTCCCTGGCTGGCCAGGAATCGAACTGGCGACGCAGAGTCTGCGGACAGCCTCACAGCGCTGCGCTCAACCCGCTGTGCCACCAGGGAGGCCCAGATGTTGAATATTTTTTAATGAGCCTGTAGGCCATCTGAATGTCTTCTTTAGAAAGTACTATTTAGGAATTTTGTCCCATTTTTTGAATGGGTTGTCTTTTTTTAAATTAGCTCTCTTGTTACAGCTTGACCAAGGGTCACTCTGGGACCCCCGAGCTTGCAAGTTCTAAAAGGATCTGGCCATACATGCGCACAAAGGCAAAGGACAATTTTAGTGTGAAAGATTTTAGGTAGAATTAGTGTGCATAGAGAGAGAAGAGAAGAAAGTATATTCTTCCTAATAAAACATATGAAATTATACATCCCCTCACGGGTAAATAACTAGCCAAACAAGGTGGTTCTGAAGCAGAACTGCTGAGACCCAAAACCTTGCCACTAGTCCATGGCACCTTCTGGTGGGGACCCAGAGGAAGGAGGCACAAGGGTCCTGTCAAGGCTGGGGTGAAAGGAGCAAAATCAGAGAACAAACCAAGAGAATGGCTCTTTCAAGTGTCTCTACATGTTTCTCCTCCATGTGTCTACTTCCATCTCTCCTTTCAGCACTACTAAGGCATAGTTGTTACTATGTTACAGCACTACTAAGGCATAGTTGTTACTAGTAGTTGTTACTACTAAGGCATAGTTGTTACTTAAGAGCCCTCCCCTCTTTTATGAGCCCACCTGTCTTCCCTGTTAAATAGCTTCACCAGGCCTCTCCCCTCATTAAGTGGGGTTGGGAAACATGTTACCCTTCCCCTTTTAGGGAGATGTCTCAGCAACATTTTCTTTTTTAAAAAGATTTATTTATTTATGCATACAAGAACTGGGGTACAGGCCAGATGTATGGGGGGGGGAGAGGATTCACCAGAGACAGAGTGGGGAGCAGAACAGGCAGATGTACTGAAATGCACTGCTGAGGGGAGCAGCGGGTGAGACAGGAGAGATCTGCTGTGCCATGTGGGTAACTCCTTGCCCAGGGATCGAACTCGTGCTGCAGTGGCTGCGAATAGCTTCACAGGTTGCATCTTAACCCCTTGAGCCAATAGGGAGGCCCCCCTGTCTCAGTAACATTTTCATAGGAACCACCTCTAATGTTCTCATTACCATTTGGGATTTTAAAATCTGAAAGAAGCTATTTGTTTCCTTCTGAAACTTTTCTCTGTTTTCAACAAGTAATTAGTAGTCCCTTCTAATGTTTGGATAGTTTAAAGTAAAATTATGAAACTAAGAAAAACTTAGTTTTCACACTTTAAAATATTTAAAAACACAATTATATATTTTATGTTTAGACTAACCAACCAAATTTTATACAGTCACTTTAATATTTAAATAGATCTGTATTAAAAATGCCATTTTTGTAAGTTAAAAATGGCCAAATCGCTACAATTACATATATTTTGACCCTGGTAGCATTAAAAAGGACAAAGAATATAGCATGTTACTTCTCTACAGTGAGGAAATTTCCATTTTAACCTTTTGTTTGATTATTCATATTTCAACTTTGAGGTCTTTCCAATAGACTTGATCTTTCCCCCTTTTGTTATCTATCAACTGTTATGAAGGCAGAGTTGTCAGGATTAGAGTTAAATTCTGCAGGACTATTTTGCAGAATTATAGTTAAATTCTGCAGGATTACTTTTTAAATTCTGCAGAATTTTGACTGGCTTTCCTATGTTAATTTGGCCATTCTCGCCTTCTAACTCAGTGGTCTTTACTCAGCTCTAAAATAAACAGTTGTTTCTGGTTCTCCTCTAATTGTGTTCTGGTTGGGTGTATGTGTACCTTGGGATGGCAGTCTGCCTGATTTTACTCCAGAAGAATAACTCTTAACTGGCTCATAATCTTTTATTTTTTTTCAAGCTTGATGCCATTTTGTATTCAATTTATTAGAATATAAACATGTTGCAAATTCCCAAATTTGTGAGTTGCACAGCATTTATTCTCCTATAAAGGTGTGAATTCTCCTTTAAGGTGTAAATTAAGTTCATGAAAATTACAAAAACAATAATACTGAGAGTCTTTCAGGTTGAGTTGGCCAGGCACGATCACTAGTCAGTATTTTTGATACACTGGCATGAAAAACACGTGATTCATAATCAGCAAAATACTACACACCCTAGGCTTCTAAACTCTTTTCTGCTCTAGGATTTGCTGTTTCTAAGATCATTTTACTCAAAATCAAATCTGGAGCAAAACCAATAATATGCCTTTAATACTCTATCTTAGATAAGGTCATTATCAAACTGTCAATGAGAGATTTGTATTATATGTCAAATGACAAAACTAAAACAAATTAGTAGTAAGCTTGATGTCAATCCATGCATTGGGGGAGGCCAGTGTCTCCCAAGCAGTGCAACACTGTTCTCGAGGGATTTGGGGCAAGAGCAAGTTTTATAGGATATACGAAGAAGCCACTTGGAAAGGGGATAATGATCAGGGAGTCCCTTAAAAGGACAGCAGCTCCTATTTTCTAGGCTAAGGTAAACTGATCAAATCTGAGGTGGAGGATTAGGATTGGTGTTTTCTAGGTTTCCTTGACAATGAGGCATCTCTGGTAAGTGCAAGCCAACTCATATCTGTGGTATGGGATGAGTGTTTTGGGAGGCCTCCATTTTGTGTGTTCCAATATCCAAATAAACTCTAGCATATGAATTTTAAAAACCTCCTCTCTTTTTCTGAATCCTCCAGATAAAAATGGTGGAAAGACCCAAACTTGCTGCAGTGTGTGGACATTATGATTATTATTATGCTCAACTTGACCTATTGAGGCAGAGAGCCCAAGCACCAAGCCACTGCTTTGTTCCTCAAAAAGATGCTGGATCTGAGGAGAATTATAATCAGGAAGAGAGTCACACCCCATCACCATGTCAATGGTAATATCATCCTCTAACTTCAACTTTGTTTTTCTGAAAATGTCTTTCTATGTCTTCATTCATTCTGAAATCCTTTCAACAATAATCCAACAGAACAATAATCCAAGAAGAACTTCCAAAATCTTTATTGTAATTACTTGATTCATGGTTCCCTTGACCCCTTTCTATTTCAGGTCTGATGTAGCTTTTCTTCTAATTTATGCAACCATGTAATTGTGGACACAGATTCAAACTCATCAGTTTTTAATATTTTTCATTCTTCTAGTACATTCCATTCTGTGGGAGTGATGAAAATAGTTATATATGTATCATTTTCCAAAGAGGTTTTTAATATTAGTACTAATCAATAGTAAGTCTGTAATCACAGACCTAATCTGATCTAATCCTCACATCAACCTCTGTGAGGTATTGTTCCTGTTTTATAGATGAGGAAGGAAGGCCCAGAGACTATAACTAGTTTGTCATTTCATCATATTTCTAAACGACTGACTTATCAACTTGACTCTTCAAAAACTGGGGTCTACTCATCTTGTTGCTCTTGTAGGAGTAACTTCTGAAGTGATAGTTTTGTCTCTGGAGCCCTAGAAGGTACTGTGATTCCACAGAACTTTATCACTGTACATGCTGTGATGTAAAATGTGGTTGCTATTATTTAGCCATCAGAAATTACAGAAATTCTTTGTAGGAAATGCTGCAAAAAAGATAACTATGTGGAACATATCTATAAACCTGAAAATACTTTGACCAGAATTATGCTGGAGAAATGCCTTAAACATTATGAGAGACAGTTAAGTCCTCAGCTCTTGATTCACTAAACATTTGGAGCAGCATAAGGAGTAGAGGTGAAGGGATGGGTCAGCAGCTCAAGTTGCTCAGTGTGTGATGCAGGAGACAGACAAGCACCCTCCAGTCTTGGGATGACGAAGCTGTGGATTAGGTACCCACCAAAGTATGAGAAGATCCTGGCGTGGGCTTGTTTTCTCCCTTCAACATAACCTAGAAAATCTTGGATCAGAATATTTTCCTGTTTTATAGTCTCCTGTATTTCCTGTCATTACTGTTCTCTTTGTCTCCTTTTCTTCTCGATCCTAAAGATTTTCTTTTCCACGGTACACATTGTGTAACTCTGAACTACTCAGATTTACAACTTCAAGCCACGTATACTAAGCTGAAAATTTACTTGCGAAACCAGTGCCTCAGACTACTTAAAATTTCTACTCAGGCTGAATATTTTTATTTCTTAAGGCCTGCTGAATATCTTCATAGGAAATTTGAAGCTCAGCAATATAAGTTGAAAGTGGAAAAACAGCTGGTAAGTAAAACACCAAAGATGGGAGACAATCAGGAATTTTCTAATTGTCTCTCTCTTCACCGATACTCATGGATCTGTACAGCTAATGTTATCCTTCATGGAAGATCAAGACTGCCCTGCACATTTCCCCATTTTTTAAACACTTACTTATTTTGCATAGAACTGGGGTGTAGGCCAGTGGTGTGGGGCATTGAAGAATTTACCAGAGGTGGAGTGGGAAGCAGAACAGGTGGATTTACTGAAATACACTCTAAGGGGAGCAGTGGATGGGAGAGGTCTGCTGTAGGTTAGCTCCTTGGCAGTAGGTTAGCTCCCTGGCAGGGGGTCAAACTCAGGTCATAGTGGTGATAGTGCTGAGACTTAACCCCTAGACCACCAGGGAGGCCCTTGCATTTCCCCAATTTTTAAGCTAAAAGAGAATAATGGGAATAGGCTTGAATCAGAGTCTGGGAAGTATGGGGCTACTGTCATTCACTGTGTGGCCTTAAGCAGACCTTGCAAACTTTCTAAGCCTAAATTTCATTTTGATAAATGACGGTTTTGCAGTAGGTGAGTTTCGAGGTCCTCTGCAGTTCTTTGATTCTATTTTATTAGAATTCTACACATTTTTTTTAAAAAAAGAGATTATTACACTTGATTAGAAATGAAAGTTATACTTACCTTTAAGTACAGAGTTGAAATTTTTGAATGGGGGTAGGAAAACTTTTTTGGCTGAGGGAGATTAGGTGTGTATCTCATTCATTTGTGTCATATTTTGAACTACTCAAAAGCTCCAGTTCTATTTCCCTACCTAATTTTATACTTCAGGGGTTGCCAAACCTTTATAGAACTTTAATTTCTTTTTTTAAAAGATTTATTTTTATTTTATTTATGCAAGAACCAGGGTACAGGCCAGAGGTGCAGGAGGGTGAGAGGATTCACCAGAGACAGAGCGGGGAACAGAACAAGCAGAATGACTGAAATACATTGCTGAGGGGAGTAGCGGGCAAGACAGGAGAGGTCTGGCGCGCCATGTGGGTTGCTCTGCGGCTGGCAGGGATCGAACCGGCACTGCAGAGGCTGCAGACAGCCTCACAGTGCTGCGCTCAACCACCTGCACCACCAGGGAGGCCTTTAGACCTTTAATTTCGCAATTATAATTTACCAGTTCAGAAAATGAATCTAGTATCTTTCATGATAGTATATTGATTGCTTGGGATAAACACAATTAGTTTTAGTAATTCTCTTTCTCTTTTAATACTTAAATTAAGAAAACTATGACTCATTACAAAAATACGGAGTTTGATTGGTGATATAATTCTTGTTGACATGAAAAATTCTATGAACACTGGTGGTTTGGTGGAGGGTGAGTGGAAGTTATTCATATGGAAGAGCAAACATGTAATCCCAAAAATTAAAATAAAAAAATTTAAAATAATAAAAAAATAAAGGAAAAAGACAAGGTCAAATGAGATGTTTCCAAAATGCAAGTATGCTTTATAAATTATCTTATTCAAATAATAGGGTCTTCGTCCATCTTCTGCTGAGCCATGTCACAACCGGAGAAGTAATAAAGACGAGCCTAGATTCCAGGAGCTGCAGCTCAGGAGAAATGAAATGAAGGAACAGGTTAACAACATCAGTCCATGGCTGTCACTGTACCTCTGTTGTCTTTTGTACCATAATATAGTGTGACATTTATTTTCTACTTTGTGCCTGAAACCTTGGTTGCACAAATACTTGATGGACACACTCATGTTGGCACTTCCAGGGGATAGAGAGCCATGTATCTTACCCTCTTAGAGAATGCAATGTAGCTCATAGGCTTTTATCTTGGGTTGATAAGGTCCATCATTAACATTTTTGAAAGTTGTAGTCATTCCCTGGGGCTGCCTTAGCAAGTTACAACAAACTGGGTGGTTTAAAACAACAGAAATTTCTTGTTTCACAGTTCTGGAAGCTGTAAGTCCAAAATCAAAGTGTTAACAGGGCTGTGCTCTTTCTGAAACCTGTAGGGGAATCCCTTCCCTGCCTCTTTCTAGCTTCTGCTGCTTTGTAGGCAAAATGGCATTCCTGGGCTGGCAGCTCTCTGGCTGCATTCTCTGCCATGGCCTTCTCCCTATCCCTCTTCACGCAGCTGTCTTCTTAAAGGGACACCCATCATACTGCATTAGGGACTTTTATACTCCAACTAATTGCATCTGCAATATCATTATCTCCAAATAAGTTCACATTCGAAGATACTAGAGGTTAGGACTCCAACATATGTTTTTTGAAGGGTCAAAATTCCATCAATTACAGGACTATATATAAAAAGGGGACTCTATCAATTCATAAACACATTTGGGGTTTTATATGTAAGTGTGGTCACCATAAGCTACCATATCCCTCTCAGGGATGAATGATCACAGCCAAAATATAAGGCAGATTGTCATCCTCAGGAGCAATATGTTTTTTGATTCCTGCTGTTTATCACATATTTTAAAAATCATAGGCAATGAAGACATTATTTTGTTCAGTTCACCAAAAAATTAAAAATGCTTGTGTTGGGATTGCTTTCTAGGAATATTGGAAGCAGTTAGAGGAAATCCGCCAGCAGTATCACAAAGATATAAAGGAAATCCGAAAGAGGATGGGGAATGAACTGGAGGTAAATAAATTCATTCTTCTAAAGGAAACATTGTCTTATTGCTTTAGAGATAACTAAGCTGAGCAGATATTGATAACATTGATCTCATAGGAAAAATTAAATTTTATCTGATGAACTTTTTTTGATAGAAAAGTTGTTAGATCGAGTTGAAGCTTTATTATTTGGGTTGACCTGAGACTACTCAAGATAATGAAGTTATCTGAGATTCCCAGGAATGGCTGATTGTCTTCCTCATTTCAGTCATGTGAGCAGCTACTTTGCACCAGAACTGAATTAGATGTAGAAAGAGCAAGTTCATACCCATAAGATAGGAGGAAAGACTAGCATTTATTGAATTCAGCTATAATGAAATAGTCTTAAATACAGGGGTTAGTTTCAAAAATCTATAAGGCAAACTTTGAGTTGAGATGATTCTTAAAAATCTATTAAAGGTGCCATGTTGGACACACATTCTTCCATCTCTCAGCAACCTGATTCATCAGTGAAGATCCAGATGAAATAGCTATTATTTGGAGACCATGTTGTGTGAAAAACACTAGATATTTAAATACAAGAAATTTCTCCAGAGGCCTGGAATGTGCCTCCTATCAGAGTCTTGTGGACAATGACACTGGCCCAGGGCATAGCTGGCCTCTCACTTCAGATATACTGGAGTGACACACTCATTGAGTAGAACCATCCACACTCCAAAATGGGTCCTTCTCTCTCTCCCCCTGCCCTGAGCAATAGAGATGAGCAAATAGATGAGTTAACACAGGAGAAATGAACATATGGCATAATTCAGTGGTAAGGACCAGTATCTGAACTAGAGTTTTCACATATTTTACCCCATGTAGTCCTCATAACAGCTGTTAAGTAACTCATCCAAAGTCATTTAGATATTATGAGGCAGGCTAAATAAATACCTGATTCAAAAAGCTCCATTCTTTCTCACATATGTGCTGCTGTCCATAAAGAGCTGGAAAAATAAGACACACACACACGTAGCAGTGATCGAATAAGACTGAATAAGGTCAAGCTCTGGAGATGCAGAGGAATAAAGATGAGCAGGATGAGCAGAAGGAGAGAGGAGATGGATCATAAACCATGTTTGAGAAGATGAGTGGAATTTAGAGAGGCAGCGCCAGGCATAGGTTCACACAGAGGATTGGGCACCAGGAGGGCAGGATGAGGATGGCTTTCCCCAGCACAGAGGGCCTGGTTAGTGGTGAGGAGCTTGTGCCCTCATCAGCCTTATTTTTAAGGTGGAAAGCCTGTGCCTAGGAAAGATGGAGAGTAGACATTTCCTGGGAGACTGTGGAAAAGCCCTGGGAAAAGCAAGTCAGCCATATGAGAAGGGGCCAAAAAAAGACTCTTCCAGTCGCTCCCATGATCTCCCCTAAGCCAGCAGGAGGGAACGCATTTTTTGCTAGATACCATTCAAGCCCTGGATGAGGTTCATAAAATAACCTTCAGAACTGACACAGAATCAAACTTGTTGACTGTGTATAATTTGTCTTAAAGGAGGACTCAAAAGTAAGTCATAGAACCTACTTGGTGAAGAAGAGTAACCTACCCATCCACCAAGAGGCACCTGAGGAAGACACACCTGTGCAGGTGATGGTTAGATGCTCTGGTGATACTTACTCCTCACTGTGCAGTACAGTCATGTTGGAAATGTAAAGAAAAAACCTCAAGTATTTTGGGATCTTCCCCAAATGTGGGGGGGGTGTCCAGGCATCGTGTTTTCAGAAGCTGCCCAGGTGATTTAGTGTGCTGCTAAGTTTGAGAACTGCTCACATTAGTGTATGAAAGTTCAGCTTTCCAGATGGTGTTTGAGTCAAAGTCTCAGACACATTGCTCAGAAATCTGACAGTAAACTTCTCTTTCATCTCAGCCTTATATATTTGATGAGAGTAGGGAAATGAATCAAATGGTTCTCAAGAACTATTTTGTTTGTTTGTTTGTTTCTTCCGGAATGTCTGTCAACTTTATTTTCAAGGTGTCATGAGGGCCTCCCTAAGGACAGGTGAGAGGAACCCAGGCTAAGCTAAGGCTGAAAGGGCTCCCTGAATGATTTGCTTTGTGAAATCCCCCAGGACTTTCACAGGATTTGATGCTGGAGTTTCACAGTGGATGGAGGTTGAATTTTCTACCCAGTGGGAAGGATGAGGCTTGGGAGTTTAAGATAATTTTTTTTTAATATTTTATGTACCACATCTTCTTGATCCAGTCATCTATTTTTGGGCATTTGGGTTGTTTCCATATCTTAGCTATTGTAAATAGTGCTGCTATAAACATAGGGGTGCAGGTGCCCTTTGGAATTACTGTTTCTGTCCTTTGGGTAAATACCTAGGAGTGGAATTGCTGCATCATATGGAAGCTCTATGTTTAGTAGGTCCAGAAATCTCCACACAGCTCTCCATAGTGGTTGGACCAGTTTGCACTCCCACCAACAGTGCAGGAGAGTTCCTTTTTCTCCACAACCTCAGCAACATTTGTTGTTGCTAGTTTTTTTTAATATGTGCCATTCTCACTGGTGTAAGATGGTATCTCATTATAGTTTTGATTTGCATTTCCCTGATTACAAGTGATGTTGAACATTTTTTCATATGCCTGTTGGCCATTTGTGTTTCCTCTTCAGAGAAGTTTCTTTTTAGCTCTTCTGCCCATTTTTTGACTGGATTATTTTCTTTGTTTTTGTTGAGTCTCATCAGCTCTTTGTAGATTTTTGTGATCAGTCCTTTATCATTAGTGTTGTGTGCAAAAATGTTCTCCCAGTCTGTGGGGTTTCTCTTTGTTTTTGTTATTGTCTCTTTTGCTGTGCAGAAGCTCTTTAATTTGATGTAGTCCCAGCTGTTTATCTTTGCCTTCACTATCACTGCTTTGGGTGATGTGTCTGTAAAGATGTCTTTGATGTGCATGTCATTTTAAGAACAAAAAAGCAATATGACACTTCTTCTACAATTGTAACAACCAGAGTACACAACCAGCCTCACAAATATAAGTGAGACATAAGTCACAATCTTGTTTCAGAGTTCATAATATTGCAAGGAAGAAAAACACCCTTCCCAAGGTTGCAGGGCAAACAACTAATAATGATTCAAACTGACATGTGCCATATGTGAAGAACATCCAGAGATTGTGGTAATACAGAAGAGGCAGTAATTAATTCTAAGGGGGAGATGATAGTTACCTAATATAAGATGGTGGAGAGAAGAAAGCATTACAAAAATATATGTGTGTGTGACCAGACCAGTCTGGTCTCAGGTCTGTGCCTCTTCTTGTCTGGTGTATAGCACCCTTTTCTTCCTGTAGCTGCCAACTTGATAAGCTGTGGAAAGGCAGCTCAGAAATGGTAAAAAGAAACAATGAGCCAAGGAAATTGTATATATATATATATATATATATATATACACACACACATCTCCACACAATATTGATGTCTATCTCTTCCTCTATCTCCATATAGGTTTCTTCTGCTACTTGAAAGTAGAGTGCTCCTATGGTATGATTTGGTAGGTTATTTTTGGGGTTTGGGAACATTGTTATTGTCCCCTGCCCTGGGAGCAGGCCCAGGGGCACTCAATCTGATCCCACTGACAACACAGGCAGATAAGCTGGGAGTGAACCAGCCGCTGTCCACGGCCCACCTGCCAGGAGTCAGAGGAATGGAACTAAGGGTCCTGCTCCCAAACTGAGGAAAGAGCTCTTGAGACCTTCTGGTCCAGGCTGAAAAGAGGTCTCCACAGGCATAGGTGAGGCAAAGAGTGAGGGTGACATCAGCAAAAGAGCAAGACAGAGAGTTCTGGGGAGACCTTTCTCGGCATGAGTGGCTCTGTGAGTTACCGGGGCTTGGGATCTATATAGGTTTTAGGAATGGGGTTTGAGAACAAAGGAATTAAATGTTCTTGGCTGAGAAGGCAAGGAGAGTAGACTTGGCTAAAGTCCACTTATTGTTGCTAGCGGTGGGCCCCAGCAGCAGCAGCGCGGGGGTTGTGCAGGGCTGGTAACCATCTCCACGATGACCATCTGTGGGGGCTGGGTGCCCCCAGCAGCTCCAGTGTGAACCAGTCTGGTCTCAAGGTCTGTGCCTCTTTTCTTCGGATCTGTAGCACCCTTTTCTTCCCATAGCTGCCAACTTGATAAGCTCTAGAATGGTAGCTCAGAAATGGTAAAAAGCAACAATGAGCCAAGGAAATTGATGGCAGCAGGTGTCTGGACCTGGAGTCGTAAGGTTTTTTAACCTCTTGTTTACCAACCCATGGAACAGCAAAATTCTTTTCCCTGAATCCTGTCCTGTTCTTGTCCTGGGACCCTTCCTGTCTCATAATTATTTCTACGGAATCATTTTTGAGCATTCCCAGACCCCAAACCACTTACCAAATCATACCAAATAGGAATACTCTACTTTGGATATGAGGGAAACCTCTATCTATAGCTGCATCTATTAAGGAGACTCCTAAATTTCTGGCTTGGAAGGGATGAAAATGCCATTTACTTAGACGCGGTATAGAGGATGGGAGAAGAGTGGGGAGCAAAATTCAGAGGAGGAACAATTCAGAGTTCCACGTTGGACATGTTGAGTTAAAGAAAATCTGAGCGATTGCTTACCTGCTTTTGGGCCTTCCTCCTGCTGCAGCCACTGTGTGGAACACTCTTTTCCCAACTGGCTCTGCCAAGGTCCACATCATTGCAGGGCTTAAGTCAAATGCCAAATAAATCTGTATTACTCTCAACTTCTATCATTTTCCATGCTATTGTCCTATTTTATTTCTTTCATAGCACTTAGCACTTTCTGAAATTATGTCATTCGTTTAACTCTGTTGTTACCTAAATGCAGATGACATGTGTGGAAGGAATTGTAAATAGAAGTAAATAGAAGTTCCATGTCAGCAGGGACCTTTTGGTCACAATCACAGTGTGAGTACACTTGTAGGACAGCATCTGGCCCTCAGTGGCTGCTCAATATGAATTTGTGGAATGAATATTAAAGTGAAGATGATGCCAAGTAGGCAGTTGAATATATATTGTGTCTCACCGCAGAGGGGGAGAGAGCAAGCCTGAAGGTACATGGTTAAGAGTCATTGCGTGAAGATGGCATTTAAATCCGTAGGGATGACTGAGACCATCTTCTATTGAGGAAGTGGAGACAGAGGGCCCAGGACTGACACCTGAGTAAGCTCAGTGCTGAAGTTCACCTCTCCGCAATTCCTTCCACATATGTCATCTGCATTTACAGCCTTCTCTTCCTCAATTGCCCATCAGTTTTTAAAGTCCACGCCTTCCTTTATGTTCTCAAGAGCTGTGCACTTTTCCTGTGTTCCTCATTCCTTAAGGGAATGATCCTGTAGTCAGAATCACATTCTTGAATTAGATTAGGTTATATTGAGTGATAAGTGTTGTTACATTATAAACTTTTACCCATTGTGATCTCAGTGTTAAATGTATTACTATTCTAAGTTAATGGACACTGTGCCCAAGATTTCAGTGAATTATCGTTAGCTATCCTTTACAAAGGCACATTTTTATTCTCAAAGTAATCATGCATTCAATCCAGAAGTCAAACATTATTTGATCCAGGGGTTGTTAAAATATAACAGTCTGATTGATCAATATTAAATGATAGATTTTCATTTTTCTCTAAACTTTCAGGATATTGAAAGAGACTTGAAACAGATTAGACTTCAGAACATAAAGGAAAGTGTAATTCCAGAACAGAAATATAAAGCTAAGGTAATAAACATTTTTGTCTTTTGGTTTCATATTAAAAGCTTGGCTGGTAGTCCCCACCTTACAATCTGGGTTACCTATAGGACTTTCCTCCCTACTATTTTATGGAATTGCCTTATTTTGTTAATGTTAAACTGGTGACTTTCAGTATCTGTAATGTCAAATAGGGGGTTGTAAATTTATTGGATTGCTAAACTAAGACTTTTTTCTTGATTTCTTCAAGAGAGGGGTAAAGTTTGAAATTAATTTAGACAACTGCATTTCTGATGAAAACACCATCCAAGAGGAAAAGGTATGCCATTAAGTATATATTTCCATTACGTGGCATGAGAAAAATGAGTGTCTTAATAGCTTGTTTCATGAAATTTTTGCACAGGGGCTAAGGAGAGTTTTCTTCAAACATTTTAGAAGGATCTCTGGTGTTCAACTGAGTGTTCCCAAAATACTTTTTTTTTTTTAATAGAGGCATGTTTTATTTATTTATTTGTTTGTTTTTTGGTTTATACATGCACTGGGTACAGTCAGAAGTGCGGGAGGTTGAGAGAATTCACCAGAGTCAGAGTGGGGAGCAGAGCAGGCAGAAGGACTGAAGCACACTGCTGAGGGGAGCAGCGGGCGGCAGGAGAGGTCTGCGCGCCATGTGGGACCCTCCTCCGGTGGCCGGGGAGCAGCCGGGGATCGAACTGGCGCCACAGAGGCCGCAGGCAGCTTCGCAACGCAGCGCTCAACCGCTGCGCCACCGGGGAGGCCCCCAAAATACTTTTAATGCTCCCACTCTATGTTTTTTACTTGAAATTAGTCCCTTAGATAGACTATTCCAATCAGATTTACTTTTTTTTATAAGAAACTATTTTATATGAGGAACTATTTTTCTCATAATATAACTTTTTACCATAGCCAAATTAAAATAGGAGACCATAATAGTCAGCAACCAATATACATATTTAAGAAAATGGAGCAGTTTCCCTAAAACTATGCATATTTTATAATTTTAGGTTTTATTTATTTATAACTTTGCACTGGCCTTTCATAAATCTCAGGCAGTTGGGCTCTCATTGACACAGCAGTGAACACACTAGCACTGTCCACTCAAGCTTCATTTTATCACTGAGTTCGGCATCTTTTCTCTACCCACTTTTTTCCAGACCTGCTAACAAATACCAAAAATGAGCCTATTTGTGTCTCCATTTCACTTTCTCTGAGTTTACCTTTAAAAGTACCAAAAGCTAAGTATGAGTGTGTATATATACGTATATATGTGTGTATATATTCTATATCAGAGCTAATACTCAATTTCTTTTATATTCTTTATTAATTTAAAATAATTTAATGTTATCATTTCTTTCCAATCCTTTTGATGTGTGTGGTGAATGACTAGTTGTGTTTTTTAATAGACTGCATGTTTGATAGCAGCTTTAGGTTCATACCAAGATTGAGTGGAAAGTATGGAGATTTCTCATAGATGCCCTGCTCCTACAGGTGATAACCTCTCCACCATGATAACCTCTCCACCATCAACACTCCCCACCAGAGTGGGACATTTGTTACATTTGACACCTTAATATCAGCCAGGCTCATAGTGTACTTTAGAGTTCACTCCTGATGTACATTTTATCGGTTTGGACAAATGCATAATGATGTGTGTCCATCTTTACAGTACTATACAGAGTATTTTTACTGCCCCCCCCCAAATCCTGTGCTCTGCCTGTCTTTCAGATTTTGCTAGCATCTTACTGCATAAAGACTTCCTTCATTAAATGGGGAAAAGTGATAATAGCCCCTGGAGCTGCATTAGAAAGGAGCAAATTTGGTGACCCATTTCTGTGTCGACCCCTGAGGAGCAGGGTGTCCATAGGGCATCAGTGAAGCTGGCCTCCTAGAATAAAAGAATAGAGTCAAAAAATTATCTACCAGAGTAGTTATCCTTTATTATTCTGTGCTTTGATTTGCTTGAAGCAGAGTGATCTTTTTTAGTATGGCTTATGGGACATTAGGAGCAGTTTCAGGGGCCCACTTAGGAAGGCTGTATACTTCAAACAGGCTGTGGATGACATTACCTTGAGAGTTCTGCAGAATGGAACTCAAGTACAATAATACTGAAGACGGGAAGTCTGAATAAAATTAAATTGCCATTATGATGAGCAAGGAGAAGAAATGAAAACTGTTTCTATCTTGAACATAGTTTAGAACATGTTTGAACATAGTTCTAGTTTTTAAACTCTATTAATTTATTTAATATATGTTGAATATATACATGTATCTTGGTAAAAGTCATTACTGGGAACACACTGCATTGTTTTTAATATTTATTTTCAAAATACGGCGTTTTCTCATGAAACATTGTGGAATTGCCTTAGGCAGTGGATATGCTAAATGAAACTTTGACCTTTGAGGATGGCAAGAAGTTTAAGGAATCTAAACGTATTAAGGACCATGAAGATTATACAGACAAAGCATTTGAAAAACTCTGTCGCCCAGAAGCAGGTATGTGTCCCTTGAAATCTGTAGATGAGGCAGGTCGTTCAAGATTGTTTCATGCTCTATCCTCTCTCGTCTCCTGATGCTCCACTGTCATGTGTCCCCCTGCCTCCCAGAGCTGGACGGGGACCCAGTTCTCTGCTCCCCCCTGTGCCCATGCCATGATGCCAGCACTCCCCGGCACCCAGCCTCCTTGCTTTCTCAACACTGTCTCCTTGAGCAGTTTCACCAGCTCCCTCGGCTTCAGCTTCTTGCAGCCACAAGCTCCACACCCAGCTGTTTTCTCATTATCTTCTATAAAGCAACATGGCCAAGACCCAAAGCATCTCAAACTTAGCACATGTACAATCCAACCTGCGAGTACCTCCTCCCACGTGATGCTTTATTTGGGCAACACATCACCAGGCTGACAGTTCCTGCCCAAGGTGGTTTCTGTTCTGGGATGTCTCTAGAGACTTCCTCCCCCTTCATTCCCTCTGCCACTAGGTTAGGGCTCTGTCATCTCTCAGCGATGCGGTGTGATAGGATATGCGTGGGCTTTGGAGACAGACTTGGCTTGAGTCCCACCTGGTGCTTCCGCTTTCTGGTTGTGTGACTTTCCACAATGGGCTAAAAATGCCCTGAATCTCAATTTCCTTTGAGGAACAACCACGCAGGATTATTACGAGAACTAAGGTTAAATTTGATATAGAAAGTACTTGACCATATTAGATGTTTAATAAATGCTATTCTCTTCATTTTTTCTTTCCCTTTACCTCCCTGTGGCGCAATCTATGTTAGTATGAGGGTGGTGACTTCTCTGGTTGTGAATGGGCCAGTGATGGACTGCCTGTGAAGTTTCCTAAGAAACTGTTTAGTGTAGCTAGTCACACTTAAGTTATTTTTCTTACGTTATTTTCTTACAGAATTGTTCATTCAGGAGGCTGCAGCTGCAGAAAACAGAAGACAGTGGGAAGCCAGAGCTCCTCAGACTCTGCTGCGGATGATGGCAGAGTCTGAAGTCACTTCCACCTGCACCACCAAGCCTGAGGGTGAGTCCGCATCAAAACGGTCCTCAGCAAGGGCCGTCAATGCAGCTGTGTTGTATCACTTTTCAGGACTCTCTCTAGGGACTTGCTATCAAATATCAGGCATTGTTTTCATTTCTCCCCTACCTCCAGAGAAGGCCCACTAATTATCCCAGAAAACTGAGCACCCCAGCTATGGGAAAGTACAGGAGGAAAGATCCAGAATCCTTCTTTCCTCTAAGTGAGGGCAAAGGGTCCAAGGAAGGGCAGTCAACTTGATTTGCCTTCCCATGCTAGCACACTAACTTCCTGAAATTTCTTGAAGGATTTTTTTCCCCAATAAAATTGAAATTAAAATAACAGTTATCCCGGGCCTCCCTGGTGTCCTAGGGGCTAAGTCTCAGTGCTATCACCACTGCAGCAGGAGTTTGATCCCCGCCAGGGAGCTAACGCACAAGGCACAGCAGACCTCTCCTGTCTTGCCTGCTGCACCTCTCAGCAGTGTATTTCAGTAAATCCTCCTGTTCTTCTCCCCACTCTGTCTCTGGTGAATCCTCTCACCTCCCACACCTGTGTCCTATACCCCAGTTCTTGTATACATAAATAAATAAAATAACAGCTATCCCACAAGATTTAGAGTGTTAACAGCGCAAAATGCATATAAAATTACTTCGTAAACCAATGCGCTATTTAAATATTAGGAATGGTTAGGATGTGATATTTTCAAACTAAATTCCTTTGTTTACATTTGAGCTTCAGGCATAGCTTCTCCTCTTAGAAGAGATTCACAGCGACCACTGAGTGTTAGAAGTGGTGAAGATTTTTGTTTTTAAATTTCTTTGCTTTATTTATTTTATTATTTTTTATTTATTTATACAAGCACTGGGTACAGTCAGAAGCTCGGGAGGTTGAGAGAATTCACCATAGCCAGAGTGGGGAACAGGACAGGCATACCGATGAAGTACACTGCTGAGGGGAACAGCGGGCGCGGCAGGAGGGGTCTGTGCGCCATGTGGGACCCTCGCTGGTGGCTGGGGATTGAACCGGCGCTGCAGAGGCTGCAGACAGCTTCGCAGCCCAGCGCTCAACCACTGCACCACCAGGGGAGGCCTAGTGGTGAAGATTTTTATTACTTAATTCCTGTGCTCCTCTTGATAACATGGGACTAGGGGATAGCTAACATTTATACTGTGTTTTAAATTGAAATATGTAAGTATATCTCAAATCTAGTAATTATAAGTGTGTGAATTGACTTGTATTTATACAATTATAAAATACTGAGGTTACCAAATACACAAGGAAGGACTTGCAAAAGTAATGAAGTTTAATCCATTCTAAGCCAATAATAGAATAAGAGGAGAAGCCTAATCTTAAATTATCAAACAGAACAGAAATTTTAACATATCAAAAACAATTAGTTTTGCTTTATAAAGCAAAAAAATGACTCTCCTGCCCATTAATTACATGGAAACTCAATAAACGTTGTATATGTATTTCCTGACTAATAAATTAAGTGATTAGGTTACTTCCAAAGTTCTAACATTCTGTGATTTTATAAAATCCCAAATGAAGTAGGCTTTTCTTTTTGGTAACACTCTCCTTTTCAGATGGCCAAGTGATAGTGATCGGAGGCGTTCCAGAAAATAGGAAACAGTGGCGGCATGAAGCACCAGAAACCTTAATGAGTGTTTTGGCTGCAGCACATCTAACAACTAGTTCATTTTCTGCCAACCAAGGAGAATTTGGTATGTAGTTTATTTTTAAAAAAAATTACCACCCCCCACCCCCAGGGAATTTTGTCTAAGATTTGTAAATGCAGAAATGGGATAACAGTATCTTTGGCCTTGAGAGAACATTGGAAATGTAGTCTATTCCAAAATGCCATTAACAAGATTTCAACTTCAGAGAAGGGGGTGCGTAATTTCCATTAATGTGGCCACTTGACAGCTGATGAAAAGTGAAGTAACACTAGTGGCTTTGTAGATAATGAACTAGTATTGCTTAGTTCTATTGGACAGTCAGTTTACTTCTGAGAGCTGTTCATTAGACTCAAATCACTATCTTATGGACAAAAAATACATCATAATATAGTTTTCTTTTTTTGTCTCCATTTTTAAAGCGAGATTAATGTTTTAGTAAGATTGTGCTTACTTTAGTGGAATGGAAAACAAGCATCGTGTTTTACATTTGAAGGAATTCATTTCACAGTGGCTATTTTGTTATTGTTATGTGATTGATGGATCAGGTACACAGGTGTGAACTGCTACAAGAACAGCCACTGTAGCAGGCAGATTACCTGGACAGGTGTGAGGGTAGGGACCTAATGTTGCAGCAATGAGAGGTTGAGGGTACAAAGAGACATAGATACAATCTAGTTATTAATAGAGGCTGAAAAAATGCTTACAAAATTAAAGAACAATACGAATCTATATATAACGCTAAAGGAGTATGCTAGAGTGGTACCTGGGTAAGACCAGGTCTGCCAGTTATGGAAGCCCAGACTTCACAGTCTTTGTGAAATATTGTGAAGGTGAGTCTTAAAGAATGTACAAGATTTTGTTGATACAAGAAGAAAGAACATTTCAGGTGGGAAGGACTTTCCGACATACAGGCTTGTGTTGGAGATGGAGAAACGAGTTTGACTAAAATCTAGAAGTCGTTCCTGAATATGTGAAGTCCTTGGTATTATTACTGGACACTGGACAGACTATTGTTTAAAACTTAAGGGGGTTGGGAAAGAAAGAGAGAGTGAGCACAAGGAGACAAGGAAGTAGGAGGGAGCATGGAGTGCAGGGAGGGAAAATTGCCTTTGAGGCTCTCTTTCTGGTACCTTCAGACCACAAGCTGCAGTGGAACTGTCTGCTCCCTTTTTTTCTATTCTGGACTAAAAGCACTGTCTCTAAGAATGGGGCTGGAGGCTGCAGGAGAAGGTTGGGGAAGTCTGGTTTGACCTGGAAGCCAAGGGCTAGGACCCAGGCCACATAGGAGGGATGGCATCCACCTTTCACGACACCAAGGTGGAGACTGGTGGTCCTGTCTTTTCTTGCATTTGTACCTGTGATTCTTGGATTCATAGAAAATCTTCTTTTGACATATTATGTTAAATTAATTACTTCATAAGCTTACTATATTTTCACCTGGACAGTTTCACATTAAGCATGTCTGTGCAGTTTATTTAACAAGTGAGAAAGAAATAGAACTTGCCGCCAAAGATGGCATTCAAAACAAAGTGCAGATACTTTCTTTTGCTGTGGGCACTGCTTTCTCCTCCCACTCCAGCCTCTCTCAGCTCTTTCAGTCTCTAACTGTTGTTGGCTTCACTGCCTCTTTCCCCTCCCTGCAGCAACCCTGACACCCTAACCCTGGTCATCTTTTCTTCTTCAGCTCCTCCCTACAACTCCTTGCCTGATAATCCTCCTAGAATGAATTGATTCTCTTCTCATCTTAAAATCCTGCAAAAGATTCCCCCCTTACCTTCAGGATAAAATGCAGACTCTTGGCAGCCTTTAAGCACCTTAAAGGTCAGATGCCCCTCCCAACCTGGTCCATCCCAACACCACAGAGGCTGGCTTGTCTCCTCCTCTGGCTTAGAATGCTTGCCTCCCTCCTTATACCAAAATAAGATCAACTTATTTTGGTAATACGATTTCACTCTCTGTCACTATGGTTTACTGGCAGTTATTCTTCTGCCCCTACTTTCCCTCTAAACTACCAGAGAGATATTTGTTAAATAAAATTGTTCATTTGTGAAATGAAAAAGTTTCATTTTTATATTTATCAGTTAAATTCCAGTGATAAAAAGGATGCAGTCGTGTGTTTATTGTGAATTTTTGTGAAGGTTATGAAAAACCTGGATCTCAAACCACTTAATGCCCGTGTACCACTGTTAGGGAGCCACTATTTTACATGACTGAGCAAACAGCTTGGTGTGTTTCCTTTGTATTCCTCTACTGTGGCTTCCCTGCTTAATATCATACAAAGATACTATAATTTTCTAACCATAAAGATAAATTTCACTTTAATTTCTTGATTTATATTGTTCCTCACTAGGCTATAAGCTTAGGTCTTGATCACTGTGCTTGGCAGAGGTCTGAAACTTACGAGGTGGCTACAGCCTGTGAATAAGCATGCGGCCATAGCACATTTTTTTCTGTTACTTTGTACAGGGGCTGTGATTGCTAATATTTGTGTAGTATCAAGTTGGATAGGGAAATTAGACTTAAAAATAATTCTCACACCTGTATAGAGACTTCATAAAGACCTACTACATCTATAAATTTTAATAATTTGACTACAGGTATAACAGACATAATTTATAAAGGCTTTTGAAGGATACTTATTATACATTAGCATTTATACATCCTTCATCAGTCTTTAGCTTAAATCTCTAACTCCTTGGTGATAAATTGCATTGATGTTTCCAGCTCTAAATTCCATTAAAAACTGAGGCTTTATCAAGTACATGTTTAATTTGTCCTGATTTTAAAAGTTTTACATAGCAAGACTTTATAAAATTCTTTTAAATGAAACTTACTAGTAGAAGCTACACTCTAAATGAGGACAAGTGTTTTTTTGTTTCCTGAGTATAATTAATTCGGGTCAGTGATTTTGTGATGGTTTAACTACTCCAAGGGAATCCTTGGTGGGAAGATAACCCCCATTTTTCTTATATATGTTTTCAGGTCACATGGTTGCCTTGGTAACATCATAGTTGCACATCCCAGTAACAGCTGATTTACATTTCTATAGTTAGCCATTCATTTTTTTCTCCTATCCTGTTAAACAAAAATAAGAGCCTCCGAATATTTTCTTCTTAAAATGGGAAAGCAGGGCCTCCCTGGTTGAGCGCCCACTGTGAAGCTGTCCGCAGCCTCTGCAGCATGGGTTTGATCCTGGCCAGCTGCCAAGAATCCCACATGGCGTGGCAGACCTCTCCTGTCTCGCCTGCTGCTCCCCTCAGCAGTGTATTTCAGTCAGTCTGCCTGTTCTGTTCCCTGCTCTGTCTCTGGTGAATCCTTTCACCCTCTCGCACGCCTGGCCTGTATCCCAGCTCTTGTATAAATAAAAAATAAATCTTAAAAAAAAAGGGGAAAGCAAAAACAATCAGATTCCCACACCACATGGAGCACTAAAGTTGCTTTTAGTTAGCCAAACCACGTCATATATGAGAGATGTCACTCTTACTGGTTTATTTATAATGCATTTTAGGAAATAATATGGTTTAGGATGAAACATAGTGGTTAGAAATGGGTAAATATTTCATTACAGTGTGGTGAAATTTCTGTGTGTAGGTGTATATACCAACCATCATGTAACAGTTTACAAAAAGAAAGCCACCCTTGGCTTTTCATTCTACCTTTGGAGGAAAACACCTCTTTCTAAGCCTCCTTGTTAAAATAATTTCTTATTTTTAAACAGATTTATTTATGTATACAAGAACTGGGATACAGGCCAGAGGTGTGGGGCAGTGAGAGGATTCACCAGAGACAGGGTGGGGAACAGAACAGGCAGACTGACGAAACACACTGCTGAGGGGAGCAGCAGGCGAGACAGGAGAGGTCTGCTGCACCATGTGGGTAGCTCCTTGGCGGGCCAGGGGATCAGACTCATGCTGGAGAGGCTGTGGATAGCTTCACAGTGCTGTGCTTAACCTCTTGTGCCACCAGGGAGGCCCAAGTCCGCAAATTTAGATATGAATATCTAAAGCAGTCAGACCCAAAACCAGAAAGTAGAATGGTGGTTTCCAGGAGCAGATGGGAAGAGTAAAGGGGAATTGTTCAATGGGGGTAGAGTTTCAGTCATACAAAAGGAAAAAAGTTTTAGAAATCTAGTGTGCATGTAGTTAATACTATCCTGTACACCTAAAAATTGTTAAGAAGGTAAGTTTGTTACATGTTTTTACCACATAAAAAATAACAGACATCAGTGACTCAAAAAGTAATTCAGAATCCCTCGATTGTCTCATGAATTTATTTATTTTTATCAATTTTTAGCATTGTGTTTGCTGCACTATAAGATTTTGGTATATGTCCCTCCTCAGGTATCTAGACAAAGGTGCTTTAATTTTTCTCTGTCAATTTCTTAATAGTGGGAACTGTTAAAAAATGGCTTCCTAAAGAAGATGAGAGGATGATGGAAATGGCTTCTGGCACTGAGGCGGATGAGGAACAATTAGAACCAAGATCATCGGATGATGACGACGACGATGATGACACGTAAGTCAGTCATATCCAGATGTCTGAATGATGCACCGTACATAGAACTTGAACTTACAGCTTGAACTTGAACTTACACCGTACAGCTTGAACTTCTTTTATATCTTCCTCTTGCCTGAATGCTCTATCTAAGACTTCCAACATAATCCTATATAGTGGACATCCTAGTCTTGTACCATATCTTAGAGGAAATGCTTTCAGTCTTTCACCATTGAGTATGATGTTGTCTGTGCAATTTTGTAAATGGCCCTTATTATGTTGAGGTATGATCCATCTATTCCCATTTTTTTGAGGGTTTTTATTACAAATGTTTGTTGAATCTTATTAAATGCTTTTCTGTATCTATTTATATGGTTATATGATTTTTATCTTTTTGTTGATGTGATGAATTACAGAGCTTGAATTTCAGATGTTGAACCATCCTTGTGTCCCTAGAATACACTCCTCTTGGTCATGATGTAGGATACTCTTTTTCATTTTTATTTATTATTTTTTAAATTTTATATATTTTTGTGTTATCGAATTCGGTTTGCTAAGATTTTGCTGAGGATTTTTGCTTCTATATTTATCAGGGATCTTGGTCTATCTCTTTTCCAAGAGATTTTAAATATGCAGAAGACATGGTCCAATTTATGATCATTGTATCAGTTTGGTTAGGTTTTCCCTGTTTTTACATTTTGTGTTGTCACTTTTTGCCCCTATTAATGCTATCTGCCTTAAATTCTATTTTGTCTGATAACAATATTGCTATTTCAAGTTTTAATTTTATTTTTTAGTATTTTTGATTTTTTCTTTTAATTTCATCATTTCTGTGTGGTTTCTTACAATATATATCCGATGTAACTGGTTGAAGTGCTCCTTGTCATGTGATAATGTCTTTTAGTTTAATAATATTAATTATTATTATTATTTTCATATTTGGGCTTTCCTGTGTTCAGGCTTGATACTGTGTTTTCTGTTTATCATCATGTTTCATTTCCTTTTTCATCTTTTCCAGTCTTTTATTAGTTTGAAAAACTTTTCTATTCTTTTTTCTCTATACTACTTTTGAAGATACACATTATATTTCTATTCTTTTAATAGGTTTTATGAACTACCTAAAAATTGATCCAACAAGTTCAGTGTTCCTTTTTCCTCCCAAATATGGCAAGCATAGTTTAAGTAACCACTAAAATCCATCCACCCTGATTTTGTTATCTAGAGTTACAATTTTACTTACAACCCTTTTTTTATTATGGAAAGCTTTACTCAGAGTAAAATCAGAATAGAACAAGGAACCCTCCTGTATCTATCCTCCAGCTTGAACTACAAACCAGCATTGTTTTCCTTTGTCCCTACTATCCCCCCAACACCCCTCATACAATCATTTTCATAAGTTTGCAACATTCTAAGTATTAGACATGAAATTATTTTATCTAATATTAAACCTTTTTTTTTTTTTTACTGCCAAGAAAATTTTATTTTTGCAAATCACTAGCCATGAAATTTCTGTCATCAATTATTACACAAATGCTGCTAGTGCTGTTATACAAATGGCATGTCCACCCACAATTCACTTCTGTAATCTCAAACTGAATTTTCATAATTACATGAGAATATTTATCAGAGAAGGATTAACAGTGAGATGAGTATAGAATTCATAACTGATGTTTTCCAGATAGCAATGTAGATGTATTTTTAATCATCTTTCAGTTGAGTGACCATAAAAAATAAATCAATAATTTAGAAATTCTAAGTCTCCAAAGGAGGTTTTCAAATGCACTTTTGAAAAATGCTTCAGTAAGGTTTTTAAGAAGCATCTTCCATGTCCACATCTTCTTGTAATTTCTGCACCATTTTTTCTTCCAGCTGCTTTCCTTTACCTGCAAGATGGGCTCAGATAAGATGGATGTTTTGCTTGACTTCTTTGATGTCCTGAACTTTCTGTAGTTCTTTATTTTTCTTTAACCTGTTCATTATAAATTTAGCTTGGCGTTTCTGTTTGATCTCTTCAACTCTCTTCATTGCATCAATAGTTTTATTCCACAGCTCTCGCTGGTATTTGACAGGTTCATTTCTACGTTTTTCAAATTCAAATGAATTATCCACTGTAAGCTCTTTACCAGCTGCTTTCCGGAATGCTTTCGTCCACCTAACTTTTCTAGGATTGCGCTTCTTTTTAAAGTTTTTATGACACTTGAATTTACAGAATCTGAATACCTTGCAGTCGTTGCGGTCGAACATCATGCCGTGGCAGGGGTAGATGGGCCCCGAACAGAAATAACACTTCTCGATACGCATTTTGAACCCGCGTGGGTACCATGAACCCAAACGCCGAGTGAACTTGAGAGGAAGTTAATATTAAACCTTTTCAAAGTGAAAAGTGTTGGCTAATGTAGTTTATTGTTTTCTGAACTTGCCATGGTATTTTCTTGTTCATACTTTCCCTCTGTTCTCATTTTCTTCTTATTGATACATATCCTTTAGTAATTCTTTGAGCTATATCAATGGGTGGTAAATTCTTTGTTTTACATATCTCCGATAGTTTAAATTTTGCCTGCAATACTTAGCAATAATTTAGGTGGACATACAATTTTAGGATGACAGTGATTTTTCTTTTGATCTCTAGTATTGTTGATGAGAAATCTGCTATGATCTAATGGGTTTTCTTTTGGAGACAGCATTTCTATGGTTATTTCTGCTCAGTACTTTCATACTTTCCTTTTTATCTTCATACTCTGTTTCACTGAGATAGGTCTCGGTCTAGATTTGCCTTTTATCTTGCTTGGTTCACCTTATTCTGAGAACCCATGAATTTCTTTAGCTCTGGAAAGTTTTAACCTATTATTTTGCTGCTTTTATTCCTTTACTTTGGTTCTCCAATTAGAAATATTTTGGAGCTTCTCAATTTGTCTGTATTCCTTCATGCTTTTTATTCTTCTCTTTATGCTTGTAGAGGAAATCTTAAATACTGTTTTCCAATCCTATTTGGGCATCATCTATTAAATTTTTAATTTGAATGAGTATATACTTCATCTCTAGGATTTATAATGGTTTTTTCTTAATATAAGAATGTTATATGTTCATGTTTTATTATTGTATAATTATTTTCCATAACTTAAAAATATTTAAAAATGGATGTTATACTTTTTTTAATCAATTATTATTATTATTATTTTTTTAAAGACTTCTTTAAAATTTTTCTAAACTCATTTCAGAAATTTCATCTCTTTAATTTATTGCTATATTTGTTGATATTGGAGACACAAATGGTTTATTTATCATATAAAAAAACTCTGCAATTCAGGTAAGATGCTTTATTTCTCACATGAATATACTTTTTTTTTTGAGCAGTTACTTTAATATAGTATCAAAATCCTCCCTAAAAATAATTTCCTCTGGAGTTAGTTTGTAGTCCTACCTTAAAGAATTTTTTTTTTGTTATTCATCTTTCTTACCATTAGATTTATTCTTGTGTTTTAGAATTCTAGTTGTGGGCTCCTTTTGTTTTGCAATGAATTTAATTTTTTTTCTTTCTTCCCTTTCTTTTCTCTGTGTATCTTCTACATATTGAATATGTCTTTAATTTTTCTTTATTAGATTCCCTTCCATTCTTGTCAGCTGGAAACTTTGAAGAGTTACACCTCAGTGCAAGGGAGGTCTAGAAATGAAAAAAAGTCCCACTAATGTGATTTGCCTGTCTTGGCCCAATCTCTGGGGGAAAAAAAAAACCTCTTCCTGAGAAATTTATAACCATGGGCTTTGTCTTGGGTTTGGAGTTTGCATTTTCAACAGTTGCTTGGTCTGGAAACATGTGTGTTGAGAAATGAACATTAAAATTAATGTAAGAGATGATAATTTTTGGAATTTCTGTATGAGTAAATAAAATACTCTCGTGAGATATTACCTCAATTCACACTATATTGAATTTCTCACTAAAGTGATGCTGAAGAAGACCTCACAATTAAAAATAAAAATAGAATCCATTAAAAGAGATAGAATACATAACAAATAGCTGAATTAAACCATAAAGAACTTAAGATATATAACTATATTCCTATACTGAATAATTACATTATAATGACTACTATATGCTTAACACTATTTAATTAAAATAAAACATCAAAACATGAAAAAAAAAGATGTATCAAAAGGTAATAGGAAGATTTGATAATTAACCAAATAGAACTTATGGAAGTTAAAAAAAACTAATAGAAATTAAAATTTGCTTGATAGTTTAAAAAATAGACTAGGTTACAACTAATGAAAGAATGAATAGCTGGAACATAGATCTTAGGAAAAAAGGATGGAAATGTGAAAGAGGCGCTAAAAGGCATGAGGGTTCATCACATATCTAGAAGGAGTTCTAGGAGAAGAGACCAGTAGAAAAGAAGTATTCAATGCAATTATCACGGTAAACGCTTTGTTATTACTAAGAGCCATGAACCATGATATTTGGGAAATAAAACAATAATTGAGCAATGAAACAAAATTCATACCAAGACACATCATTTTTTAAATGATAGAGAAGTGAGGACAAGGGAAGATGTTTTGTAAACTCGTACCTTTGTGACGGTGGCTTAACAAATGGGAGCTGTCATTGTTGGTTCACCTCAAATTTATGACCTTTAATTTAGTAAGGTCTCTGCAATATTCAGCAATCCTCTGCCACCTCAGCTTCTTTCCAAACCCTTTCTTGTGAGCTCGTCCCCATCCACCCACTCTCATTGATTGTGCTTCCTACTTCAAAAAGAGAGTATGTGGTTTGTAAGTGCTTAGTTCTCTAACATCTTTATATCCGAGTGCTTGTCCCCAGCCCATCCCGGCAATCCTGTCTCTTCATTCTCACAGGAAGACTGGCCTCTCTCCTTGCAGAGGTGCTCTAAATCCCAGTCTCTTTTCAGTGATTTTGTTCCTATCAATTATTCTTCCTTTTATATATATATGTATTTTTAAAGATTTATTTATTCATTTATACAAGCACTGGGTACAGTCAGGAGCGCGGGAGGGTGAGAGAATTCACCAGAGCGGGGAGCAGAGCAGGCAGAAGGACCGAGGTACACTGCTGAGGGGAGCAGCGGGCGGCAGGAGAGGTCTGCGCACCAAGTGGGACCCTCCTCTGGTGGCCGGGGAGCAGCCGGGGGTGGGGGTGGGGGATCAAACCGGCGCTGCAGAGGCTGCGGGCAGCCTGGCAACCCAGTGCTCAACCGCTGCACCACCAGGGAGGCCCTCCTTTTATATTTTTAAGTGATTCCTTACTGCTTACTGTCTCTCAGCATATAAATATTCCCAAATCTTTGCCATCTTTTTTTTTTTTTAAAGGATTTTTTTTATTTATGCATACAAGAACTGGAGTACAGGCTAGAGATGGGAAGTGGTGGGGGTGAGAGGATTCACCAGAGACAGAGTTGGCAACAGAACAGGCAGACTGACTGAAATACACTGATGAGGGGAGCAGCAGGCGAGACAGGAGAGGTCTGCTGCGCCATGTGGGTCACCTCCCTAGCCAGGGAGTGAACTCGTGCTGCAGTGGCTGCAGACAGCTTCATAGGTTGTATCTTAACCTCTTGCGCCACCAGGGAGGCCCCTTTGCGATCTTGTAAATAACAAAAAACCATTGCGTCAGTTCCTTTCAGAGCCAGGCTCCCCTCGGAGCTGTAAACTCCTTATTGTCACCACTTTGTTACCTCCATTGCTTTCTTGATCCACTGTGATAGCTCCTGCTGTACAGTACTCTGAAATATTTTTGCAAAGGGCATCTATTACCATGAAATTTCCAAATGTGATTGTCATTTCTCAGTCCTGATCTTAATTGATTGCTTCCTCTTTCTGGAATTCTCTGCCCCCTTGGTTTTCATGAGGAAAAATTTCTGTGCTCTTACCAGTTATCCTCAGTCTCTTTTACTTGCCACTTAAATAATAGTAATACTTGAGATGGTTGTCTTGGTCTCCTGACTTCTTCCCTTCTACAAATATTGATGTTGCAGTCTTAGACATAATTTCAATTCCTAAATTGGTAGCGGTGAAACCTTGGACATGTTTTTTAAATCTCTCTGAGCTTCAGCTTTATATATTGAGGATTATAATGTTTACCATAAAATGTTAGATGTATTAGTATTAGATGAAGTGTGGTATGTGTAAACTTTACACTCTAGAGCAGTGGCTGTCATACAGAAATGCACCTATTCACTTTTCTTTTTCCTTCTGTTTTACTGTTTCATTCTCTGTTCCTTTTCCTTCTCTTTTCCTCTTCTTTTAAACATGAGTAGATGGGTATTAATATATATAATAAAGGTTGTTGAACACAAGTCAAATTAATGAGAATACTGATTCTGCCGACATTCATTATTTATCATCCTTAGGAAAACCAGAGTGATATAATAAATAATTTATTACCTGGGTGAATGTGCAACTTTCATATTACCCAGTGCGGGGTGGAGAATGAGAGTGGAAACTAATTTTCATATGTATTCTTCTGTTATCATAAAGTAATAAAGTAAATATGATATGCAAAAGTACAAGCTCCAGGCATATATTCAACACTGAGATTTTATAATCAATTAACAAAAGATGAAGTCTAGTTTTCTGCCCCAAAGACCTCACTGTTTTAATGAAGAAGTTGTATTAGCATTTCTTTATTCATTCAAGAACATTTCTGGCTCTGTGTTAATAAGCATGGTGTATAAAAAGATATCATAATAGATAAAGGACAGATATGCTCCCTGGAATATATGAATAAAGCATATCATATTTACTATTTATTATTTCAGAAATTTTGGAGAATCTGAAGATGAGTTGAGAAATGAAGTCATTGAATCACTGGAAAAACTTGCTACATCCAAAGAGAAAGAAAAAAGAGAAGAGGCTTCTGGTTCCTCTAAGGAAGAAGAAAAGTTAGAAGAAAGACAGCCAACAAGCATGCAGAAATATGCAGAAATAAATGAAGCTATGATGACTGTTTCTACTCTGCCTGATAACAAAATTTGTATTGTTGATGAAGACAAAGAAACATCAATAACCAGTCAGAATACACAAATGTGATTATTGTACTTTTTCTTAATAAGTTAGTATCTATTACAGTATTATCTGTTTGGATACAAGTTATAAATATTCATTTATTGTAGGGGCTTTCAAGTAATCCCAAGGATTTATTATTTTTTCTATCAAAATGTAGAAATAGAACTTTTAAGTGTAGAAATTAGTATTCTACTTTATAAAATTATAAATATTAAGATATGTCAGAGGGAGAATAATGTGTCCCCATCCCCCAACAATAAGTCCCAAAGATGTGACTATTTTGATACATGGCAAGAGGGAATTAAGATTGCAGATGGAGGGCCTCCCCAGTGGCGCAGCGGTTGAGCGCTGGGCTGTGAAGCTGCCCACAGCCTCTGCAGCGCTGGTTCGATCCCCGGCCACAGGCGAGGGTCCCACATGGCACGCAGACCTCTTCTGCCGCGCCTGCTGTTCCTCTCAGCAGTGTACTTCGGTCCTTCTGCCTGTTCTGCTTCCCGCTCTGGCTCTGGTGAATTCTCTCACTCTCCTGTGCTTCTGACTGTACCCAGTGCTTTTATAAATAAATAAATAAATCTTAAAAAAATTAAAAAATAAATAAAAAGTAAAAAAAACACACACACTCACCCACACACAATCATTTAAAAAAAAAAAAAAGATTGCAGATGGAATTGAGGCTGCTAACCAGGTGACCTTAATATAGGGAGGTTTTTTGATTATCTAGGAGGGCCCATTGTAAATCACCAGTCTCAGAAGAGTTGTCAGAAGAGAGAACCAGAGAGGTAGCAGCATGAAAGACTCCATCTCATGCTGCTGGCTTTGAAATAGGGGAAGAGTCACAAGCCAAGGAATGTAGGTGGTCTCTAGAAGCTGGGAAACAGAAGGAAATGGACTCTTCCTGAAGCCTGCAGCAGGAACAGAGGCCTGCCGACACCTTTTTGGCCTAGTGAAATCCACTTTAGACTTCTGACCAACAGACTATAAGATAATAAATTTGTGTTTTAACTAAGCTTGTGTAATTTAAGATAGCAAGAGAAATACATTATACAAACTCATACATTTAAAATAATGAATTTGCTATTTAAAAAAAACCTTTTGAAATTTCTTAAGTTATATTGAGTACATTTTTTTGAAGCTTATGTTGACACAGGCATAGGCAATTGAGTAAGGAGAGGAACAGGGCATGTCACATTAATTGTGCACTAAATAATCATTTTATTATTTTTTAAAAATTATTTTCTAATAGTTTCAAATGTATAGATTACAGGTTTTTTGAAGGCTAGGGAGCATATCTGGCCTTTATCATAATGTTATGGTGTCTTTTTATATACCATGCTTATTAGCACAGAGCCAGAAATGTTCTTGCATGAATAAAGAAAGGCTAATACAATTTCCTAAGATAGTGAGCTCTTTGGGGGCAGGAAACTAGACTTTTTTTGTAGACTAAACTTTTTTGTAATTGATTATAACAATATGAGTGTTGAATATATGCCTAGAGTTTAGTAGATATTTGCTGATTTATTATGTCTACTGCTACAAAGGATAAGGTAGTTATATATATTTTCTTTTTTTTTTTTTTTTAAATTTTTGCATAGAACTGTGGTGTAGGGCACAGGTGCAGGGGTGAGAGGTGGAGTGAGAGAATTCGCCAGAGACAGAGTGGGGAGCGGAACAGGCAGATTGACTGAAATACACTGCTAGGGGGAGCAGTGGGTGAGACAGGAGAGGTCTGCTGTGCCATGTGGATTAGCTCCCTGGCTGGGGATTGAACTCAGGCCATAGTGGTAATAGCGCTGAGACTTAACCACTAGGCCACCAGGGAGGCCCAAGGTAGTTATATTTCCTAATGGTATAATTAGTTCCTGAAATGCCTACTCTATAATGAAAATAAAGTTAAAGAGGTATATTGATATACTGCTGAACTAAGAGAACAAAGATGAGGAGGAATCAAATTATTTCTAGCGCAAGTGTCAGGATCCCCAAAATATGAGAATGTAAGCAATCTTTTATGCCTTTATTTTTCTGGTGATGTTTGAGGGACTGTTCTTTGAACTTGGTGTACAGTTACATTCTCTTTTTACGGAGAATGCTTAGTATGGTCACATGAGATTGGGAATATTTAAAAACTTTTCGCCATTGTATTAATTTCAAACTAAGGAACACATAACCCTGAGGGGTTGGGGCATCATTAGTTCTTCAGTGCTTTAGTGGTCAGTGTACACATGCCTAGTTTATCTGCAGGACATTGATTCAGAATATTTAGTCTGTTGGTGTCTTCAATGTAGTCCTTATTCTGAACAGTATTAGAAAGCAAAGGAAATGAAACATGGTTCCTGAAAATATTAAAGCTCCAAGACCAAGCCAGTTATATGCTGGGGCGGGGCTGTGGGGGTGGGAAAGGAATGCATATCTAAGATCATTGTTTAAGGATAAGCATATTAGGCTTGCTCCAATCCAAAATAATTGGTAAAGTCTCCTTTAGGTAATAGCTACAAAGTCTTATTCATTCTAAGATTTTGAATCTTTTGTTGTAAATTAGAAAGTATATGGTAAGTAAACACACTGCACGATTTTTCAACTTGCTTCTGCTTCTGAATCACCTACCCATTTTACACAAACTTAAAATCACATTCCTGAGACACAGTTGTGATGATTATAGTTTTAGGCTTGGCTCTACCTGTTAAGTTTAAACGATTGGTTATATCTGTATTTTCAGAATAAATTTTATTAAAAACTCATGCATCTTATTAACTATTTCTCACAGCTATCAACTTGATCACCCTTTAAATGGTACCAACAGATACGTCAACCCTTGACTTCCCTTCTCAGGGAATATATACACGTGGCCCAAGGGAGCACGCACAGCACTTGAGAACTGGAGCTGATGCTTCTCTAAAGCCAAGGGTGGAGTGAGATTTAGAACGGAAAAGGAAAAAGAATTAGAGTAACAGTGGGAGAGGTAGGGTAATCACAGGGGCATAATGTGAGTCTAGTAACTTGTGTTTATGTCACAGAAGTTAAATTTTTTTGTTGTACCCACTAAAAAATCATTTCTTTCTTCATATAGTAGTCCTAGGGTCTAGGGTCTATTTAAATAATTAAACACAAATATTCTGAAAGTACTAAGAGCAAACTAACCCCTATTTCATAATTTTGTCTATGACATTGTGAAATACTCTGAAAATTATTAAAGTGTATGAAGCTCTGCAGTGTTCGTTCTGAACTAATTAAAAAAGTATTAAAGCTGACAACCTATATTGTCGGGTACTAGAGGCATGAGAGTTTTATTTTGCTTTAAAACTTTCTTCTTTCATTAAAAAAAAATTCCTGGCATTTAGAGCTTGGACGTATTAGTAAAGATAATAACTAATTCAAAATTGGGAGAGAAGGGATATCAAAGGCACCATATTAGAAAAAGTATCCAAGATAATGAAAATAACTTCTTTAATCTTTAAATCACATTTGGATACAAATAGCTTTTACATCTATTAAATCTAACATACTCAGATACGGATATATTACTATACAAAGAATATTTTAACGTGTACTTTATTACTCACAACCAGAAATAAGAATGTGGATTGCCACTGTTGTGGGTTCACAGCACAGAATGCTTGGACCACAAAAGGCATTATTTTGTAGGAATGGTCACCCACTTCTCCAGACAGTAGCTGACATACTGTTTTGACACTTTTCATGGTATCAGCCATCCAGAAACAAACATGTAATGCTACAGTGGGAACAGTGGAAACTTACATATATATATAAATTATATTTTCTCATGTTTATGATAAATAAAAATCATTTTCAAAGGAACAAGCATGAAAAATGTATGGAATTCCAGAATCTTTTCTTCCTTTACACATTCTTCACTTTTGCTATGTCCATTTCAACTTATCTTGAGTCCCATGATTTTCTAAGGTAGATGGGTAGGCTGAGTGGGCAAAGGTATAATCTTACCTCAAAAACCAGTGAAAGCACTCAGCTGGGAGTCAGAATACCCAGATTATATTCCTGGTTTTATCATTATACAGCTTCTCTGTAAAGTTGAAACTGAGGGAAAACCAGACAAAAGAATTGTTAGGGTCCCTTCCAGCTCATTTCCACCAGTCTTTCTTTTTTTCTTTCTTTTTTTTTTTTTTTGTGGGACCCTTGCTGGCGCCCGGGAAGGAACCGAACCGGCGCTGCAAAGGCTGTGGGCAGCCTCGCAGCCCAGCACTTGACCGCTGCGCCACCAGGGGAGACCCTCCACCAGTCTTTCTTTTCTAATAATCTTAAAGCTATCTTGGTGTGTCACAACATCCTGGCACTGTCTTGCTGCGTTTTGATCAGACCACAGAAGCTGGCCTGCAGAAGAGTCAACAGTGTAACTGGGAGTAGATAATGAAGCTGGCTGAGTTGATGAATGGGTGAGAAAAGATTGAAAAAGGAAAAACATACCTCTTTCACATGTCCCTAATATGAAGATGTATCAGACTGTCAGGGAGGTCAGTTCACTGAAGAGAAGGACCTGATTAGGTATGCAGAAAACGCCAAAAATTCTAAGTCTCTACAGCCATATTTACACATGGAGGTATTCATTTTTCCAATGATTACTAGTTACTCAGGATATAAGTCCTGTTAAATTCACATTGATTCCTAGCTATTGGCATAGTACCAAGAGCTACATAAAGAACCGCATTGATAAAAATAGGATTGAAGAATACACGACATTACCGTTAGCTTTAGAATTTCCAAGGTTCTTTCACATACTAAGTAACACAGCTCTGAAAGGTGGTGAGGACAGGTATTACCTCATTCAGATTATAGATGAACAATCTGATACTTGGAGAGATTAAGAAACAGTATGTCAAAAGGTCAGTTCGTAAATAATAAAGCCGAGGTCAGGCCCATGTATTCTGATTGTTAATCCCGTGCTCTTTTCAAAATACCACTTTACCATCTTATAACGCATGATGCTGTTAACACAGACCACACTGATGGATCTGTATAATTACATATCACTATCAGAAAAACAATTTATTGCGATATTCTCACTTGCTGAATGACTTAAAGCTGAATTCCATCCTCCACAATGATATGGCAAGGGCTAATTTGAGGTGTATGCAAATGTACATACAGCCTACACAGAAACTTATTTTTACAAATACCTAGTTACGGGAAGGGTTACTGGCAGTACCTTGGCCGCTACACACCTACACATACCTGTAAGCAATCACAGTCTGTCTGCCTTTTAATTGTGTGATTTGAGAACATGATTAAGCCTGTTTTCAATTTCCTTTTAAGAAAATCATTGGGTATATTCCAAAAGGTCACCTACAGTATTGTTTTGAACTTAAATATACTCAAAATTTTGTAATAAAAATGTAACAATTCTGAGGTACTAATCAGTTATACATTTTCTTTCCATCTCCTGGTTTCTAAAGTGAGATAATTTGACAAATAGGATTTGAGGAAAATGTATCATACCAAAATTAAGATTGCGAATTTTTTTTAGCTCATTTTCCAAATTTAAAGCCTAAAATACTAACCTAAAATTTTTACATTTATAGTATATGATTAATTACCTTGTCCATCTAGGTAATTCTGCCATTCTCATTGTAATTAATACCTTGCCTATAACACATACAGTTGAGAACATTGATTAGGCTGATTTTATTACAACAGGGAATGAGTTTAGAAAAAATATTAACATATGAAGGTGTTTAACCATTTTATATAAAATATCTTTAATTTATACACATATGGCATTATTTAAATAACTTCTCCACTGATGCCAAGAATGCTACTTCAAACTCCTGGTCAGAGAACCTGCTCACAGATGCACGAGCGTTATTCCTGATTTGGAGTCTCTTTTCTGAAGACATGGAAAGAATATGAGCCATCGTCTCAGCATAGCCTTCTTCACTTTCAGCCAGAAAGCCAGTTACATCTCCATCGTGAGGTACCACAATGTCAAGCTTTGGGCCCCCTGAATTGTGTGCAAGGATAACTGTGCCAGCTGCCATACATTCAACAACTCCTGAGAAAAAAACAAAGAAAAGATCATGTAGTCTTTTAAGGTTTGGATTGTATTCATAAAAACAAAGATTAAAAACCCTTTAAAATTTTAAAAGGTTCTATACATTTACTCATTTAATTCCACAGTACTGGGCCTCCCCGGTGGTGCAGCGGTTGAGCACTGGGTTGCGAAGCTGCCCACAGCCTCCGCAGCGCCGGTTCGTTCCCCGGCCGCCTGTCGAGGGTCCCACACGGCACACAGACCTCTCCTGCCACCCGCTGCTCCCCTCAGCAGTGTACTTCGTCGGTCTGCCTGCTCTGCTCTCCGCTCTGGCTCAGGTGAATCCTCTCACCCTCCCACACTTCTGATTGTACCAAGTGCTTGTACAAATAAATAAATAAATCTTTAAAAAAAAAAAATTCCACAGTACTAAATAAATCTGATGTTTCTTAGCTTTCAAAGCCTCACAGTACTGCTGCTTTGTTCCTAACTAAAAAGCATATACACAGAAGAATAGCCTATAAGACACACAGACTGCAGATGATAAAGTTGAAGACGAGAGAATGTCAGCAAGATGGTGGATAAATTAATGGATATCGAAAGGTGAAAAAAGAGAGATGAAAAACAAAAATCGAAAAGTTTAAATTACAGCACTAGAAGAAAAATGGAAAAAACTGACCTTCATGCAGCAGACTATAATAGCTACTGCTGGTGCTTATGGCAAATTAGCTATGACTATGTGCCCATGGCAGTGCTGAATGAAATCAAAGTTATGTTTCTGCCCAGTGATGTAGCCGAGGGTATCGATTACTCTAGTCAGTCTTTCTCAGCCACGATCCTAGAGAATGAAGCCCTTCCAAAATGATTTAATTGGCTGTTTTCTCAGTTCCCCAAAGGATGTTAGAGAGCTGGTATCATTCTAAGTTGCACAGGAGAGAAGTTAAATCACCAGAACGTTTCTTGGACTTTGCTTTTCTACTAATGCTGTAATTGAAACATAATTTGAAAAATATGGATTATACTGTAATAGTCTGTTTAAGGCTAAATATTAACTCCCTATTACTCAGACTTCAACCGAATCAATTTTATCTTCTCCCTTTAGCATTTCCCACTCTTCCCTTTCCACTGGCCCCTTCTTATCAGCACTTAAGCTATTTAAAAACAAAGCACACACACACAAATATTTGCAGGTATCCCCCTTAGCTACTCTCTCTTCTTTTATCTCCCTTTCAAACTTCGGAAACTGTGGTTTGCACTAACTCATTCCACCTGCTCAGCCACACTCAGTGCTCAGCTTCCCACAACCGAACTCTTGCTCCCACGCGTCCATGGAAAACTGCTGCTGCCCTGGTCACCAACAACTTCCTTATCTGCCCCAGCATCTGGGCAGCCTGGGGACCTGTGGCCCTCACCCTTGGTTTCCAGGATATCACACTCTGCTGCGTTTTCTTCCTCCATTTCTTCTCTTCTCCTCTGCCTGCGCCTCATCTTGTGCCCACTGTTGAAGTGTTACGGTTTTCTGCATTTTGTACCAGGGCCTCTTCTCCCTCTCCACATCTTGCCTAGGCCATCTGCTCCATATCCACAGTGGCTGCAGTACCTTCCTGGATGACAAATCCTCAAACTGGATCTCCAGGCTGAGTCCCTTTCCTTTTCTTCAGCTCACACTGGAACACACACTTCCATGCCCCACAGACAATTCAAACCCGACATGCTTCAAATTTGGCTCATCAACCGTCTTTCCTCATGCATTCAGTCTCCAGTGAAGGCCATCCTTATCCACACCAAGGTCCAAAGTAAGGCCCAAGGCAGTTGTCTGTTACTCCTTTTTTCCCTCTTTTAACACTTGCAGTTAATGGCTGAGTTCTGTTCAGTCTACTTCAGGATCTCCCTCAAGTGTGTTCACTGAGTTCAGAGTGTGAGCACCTCTCAGCTAGGTGGCTGCAGCGGCCCAACATTGCCAGCTGCTCCTCACCAAGCTACTCCCCACAGTGTGGCCAGAGTGAACTTTAGGAAAGAAGCTTTTAAATCCAATATTAAAATCCTTCTATCTTTTTCCACTGGCTAAACATGCCCATGTGATCTGGCGCCAAATCCTCTTGCCTTTGTATCGCTGTTCCTCCTTCAGGCTCCAGTCACGCTGAACTCTCAGTTCCCTGAATGGCCCTGTTAATGCTCCTTTTGTCAAGCTTTCACGCTGCCCATCCCTCTGCTGGACACTCTCCCCTATTTGCCTGGCTAACTTTTAATTATTGTTGAGTCTCCAGCTTACTGGTCACATTATTTCCTTGGGCAATTGCTCCCTGACTCCTCAAATCTGTATGAGGTGTTTCTCTTAGGCACCTTCCCTAGTACAGCACTTAGCACACTGTACAGTACACACCTGCAGCCTCTGACAGAAGGACAGTTCCTATTTAAGCCATACTTCCAGCACACACCCAGTAAGCACCCGTGGAAGGAAGCACAAGAAGTCAGATGCTGTGCAGGTTTGGGTCAACAGTTCTTGGAGTATGTCTGCACTTTCTACTGTGCTACTCATTTGAGATGGAACATAAGAGACACTGCAGCCTCGGTGTAGAAACTGTACTTTCATGCTTTTCTGTTCTCCCTTAACACCTACCAGTGTGAAGCACAAGGGGGGTACTTGAGAAATATGTTAAATCAAATCTGACACAAAACAGTACTTGATTTTATATAAAAACGTGTGCACAACAGGTTACTGAGAGCAAGTGTGCTACAACAAACAAGAAAGGCTAAATTGAATGGTGAGGAGACTTAAGTTGAAGCCTTACCATAGGATTTAGAAAGAGGGGAGGCCACACAGACAATGAGAACAGAATCAAGAACCACAAGAACGAACTGTGAGGAGCCCAACTGGAGAGAGTGGTTCAATTTTTGGTACACAGAAGAATAACCTGAGGAGTTCTACCAAAATATACTTCCCTGGGCCCCACACAGAGATTCTGAATTGGTGCTTCCATGGGCTGAGGCTGGGCCCAGGACTCTTTACATGCATGGAGATGGGGTTTGGTGGGGAGAGAATGTGTGGCAGCTCAGAGCAGGGGTCTGCAGGATAAGAATCCAGGTCTCCCCTTTACTGTGACTGAACTTGGGTTCTAAACCTCCCTGTGCCTGGGTTTCTTTACTGATAAAATGAAAATAATCATTCCTATCATGCAGAGTTTGAAAGAGCAACAATCTGATAATATGTAAAAAGACATCAAAAGTGACCCCAACACAGTGAAAAACCAATAGCTATTAGCTATTACTACTGACTATGTATTTTTGTTTTACAAGGTCTCAAATGAGGAAAGCACACTTGGTGAACCAGGGAAAGAGAACTAGGAATGAATGAAAATTTCCAGAGTATTAGAATTTTATCAAAACAACTTAAAATGTGTATCTCATGTCATCAAATAAGTTGTCTCATGGATGAACTCACCAATCCCAAAATGCTCATTCCACATAGTATGCAGGCCAACTGTCGCTTCAGATAAGTAATTCTTTAATTCATCGAATGGAATGTTTACTTTAAATTCCACATATTCTTGAACTCCTAGGTCCTCAGAAAGCCTTCTAAGTTGGTTCACCCTAAGTTCATCATCTTGGTTACGACAACCTCCAATGAGGACAAGTTTAAGTGAAGGAAATGATTCAGCCACTGGGTTTTTCAGCAATTTAGCAAAGGCTTTGATCTGCAAAGGATGATTCTTCTCAGGCCTAAATTGGCCAACAGAAACCAGTAAATGTCCTGGGGTCATCTTTTTCTCACGTAAGGGAATGTCCAGAAATGTCTGTACATCACAGGGTGGATAAACAACATTAGTGCAATTTCCAACCTTCCACAGTGAAAGAATATGGTTTAGTGTCCAAGAAGAATTGACCATGACTACATCACTGCAAGAACCAACAAGTCCATATATAAAAGCAAACAGATGGTAATAGATGAGCTTCAGTTTGCTGAGAATAGGATTCTTAGTAATGAAGGCTGCATTATTAAATCCAACATTTTGGTTCTTCACGACAGAGAGCATGTCGGTGCTGATAGTGGGATAATGAACATAGCTTCCCACACGACAACCCCCTAAATACTTAAACAGAGGAAGTGTGAAAGCGTAGCCCATTGAATCGATATAAACATCAGGAACACACTGCATCAGAGCTTCCCAGCCAAGAAAAATAGATCCCAGACTTTGGCCCAGCAGTGTGAAGTGTGGATACAGTGAATCTTCTACAAGGTAGCGTTTTCTTAAGAAAACAAACTTCACTGGGTGAATCAATCTGATGTTAAATCTTCTGAAAGCACCTTCCAGTATCTGTGGGCCACTGACATTAGTATCACCAGTATAAACAACATAAAGTGCTTCAGGATACCTAAAGTAGAACATAATAGTTAGAATTTCATTAGTTTAGGATCAAATCAAGCAAAAAGTGGCAGACAATTATTTTCTCACAATCATAAAGAAGCTTATGTTAATAAATATTTTTTACTCTTTTATTACTGCATTTGGACTACTGGTCCTACACTTTCCTGAGTTTTCCACTGCCCAATGACTAAAATGTTAGCCTTTAAGTGAGATTCTAGTACTTTGCAACTTTCTCATTAACAAAAATTGTTGATTTATGAACAAGATGTTTCCATTTTTTAAGAAATAAAATTATTTTTGACAACTTTCTCAATATAAAATGGTAATGAAATATTAATAAAATACTCTTGAAGAAGAGTAAAACTCACTACTGTTATCTTCAGAAAGGATGACTAGTGCGAAAGCATTATTCAGTCTTTTTATCTTGAGAAATGCAAAAAGATTTAAAAACTAGACCTTGTGCCTGCATCACAATGAGATATGGTATCATAATAATAGAAATTTGTGTAAGTATGCTCTTAGGACTTAATGTTTTGGACTCCCTGTGATTATGTTCATAATTATTCTTTGAGTTACAAAACAAACCATCAACAAATGAAAAGGGAGTACAGAACAGGAGAAAATATTTGCAAATCAGTTGTCTGATAATGGATTAATATCCAAATTATATAAAGAACTCATACAATTTATTACGTTACACACCTGAAACGAATAAAATGGAATGTGTCAGTTATACCTCAAAAAAATGTAAAAAGGATTATCATTGCTAGTAGCTAAGGATGGCCACAAATTTGACTTTTCCCATTGAGAGGTGAGATACATGTCCCCACCACTGGAATAACAGTGGGCTCTGTGACTGCTTTCCCTAACAGAACATGGCAAGAGTGACATTATGCTCTAAGAGATGAGCACCTTCTACTTCACTCTTGGGACAGACTGCTGTCAAATATGAAGTCTGACTGTCCAAAGACTGCCATGTTGTGTGCAAGTCCAAGCTAGTCACACAGACTGTTGGTGACAAAGATACCTGACTAGTCCTCAGCTGTCCTAGTCATCCCAGCCTAGGAACTAGATATACAAGTGAAGAAAGCTTCAGATGATTCCAGCCCCAGCTACCATTTAACTGGAATGGCTGGAGTACGAAAGATATCAAATTGGACACATCAATCCCCACTAACTTAAAAATAAAAAAAAATAAATAAAAACAACAAATTAAAATTTTTAGTCATTAAATTTTGAAGTGGTTTGTCATGCAACAATATTTTAACAGAACACCGCTGCTCAGCTTCAAATGCTTGTTTGGTTTTCCAAGGCCCCTGCTTACTTAAGTTCTGCGTAAATCTGGGCTCTGTCTTCCTCTGTTACCTCCTCTCCCCTTCCACTCTCACTTGCCCCGGAGGGTTCAGGCAAACTTGCATTCCTTTCTTTGAACAAGCCATCCTTCCAGTCTTAGGGTATGTGCAGTTACTGTTCTTTCTGTTCTGAATTCTCTTTTCTCATCTTCACTGTCATTTCATAAAGCAGTCAGGACAGCATGTATTTGAGAACGTGGGCTTTAGTAGCTCAATTTCCTTGTCTATCAAATGAAAATAACTGTAACAACCTCATAAGGCTATTAGTAAGATTAAGCTAACACATGTAAAACACTTCAAACAAGGCTTGGCATCAAGTAAAAGCTATTTTTGTTATTCAGGTTTCAGTTAAGTGTTATTTTCTCAGAGATTTTTCCTAATTACTCAATCTGAAGTATCCAGTCATCTTAAATTATCTGATTTTAATTTCTTATATAGCACTTCTCACCATCTGATTTTCTCTTCTTTGCTTCTTATTTTGTTTTTTTGGCTAAAATCTAAGGCTCCCCCAGCAGGACTGATTTATCTTGTTCACTATTTAATCTCAACTCCCCAGGTCAGTGCTTGATACTTAATAGGTTCCCAGTAAATACTGCTAGTTTGAATGAAAATATACTGTAGAGCATAGGTTGAGTCCAGAAAACCTTGTAGGAATTAACTGAGGAGAAAAGGATTACTTCAGGAAAAACAGAACACTATATGAAAGGCAAGGAATTTGGAAAGCATGCTATTTCCACTTCAGTATATAATGGAATAAAATATATGTGAAGGAAGGGGGAAAGGATGAAAAACAAAAGATGGTAAGAGCAAGATGAAATAGTACTTTCCATGTCATACTAGTGATCTGAAATTTTTCCTTGTAGGTGAGTTAGGAGTACAGTATCATGAAAATTAGCTACATCTCTCAATGGTTAAATAACCTAATTAGGGAGACAAAGCTAACAAACAGTTATGGGAAGAACAGTACGAATTGGAATCAGGAGGCCTTCAAGGAGGAAAAATTAAACAGGGATTTAAGAAAACTCTTTGGATTTCAGTAGTTACAGAACATGGTGAAGGAAAAGCAGGGGTGCTGGTCAGAAGTCAGACTGGAAAAGAATATAGAACTGTAGACGTAAGGGAATCATATGTAAAGTTTATGGAACTGAATGGTTGTGTGCCAGGAAGTAGGGTAACCATGGAACGACAGAAGTTTTCCTTATTTGATAAAACATTATAACAGAACCTGCATTTTACCATGTTTTCTAATAGGGAATCATAAATATTTTTGAGACAGGGTGGGGAGAAGGAAATCTAAATCATTAAATGATGTGTAACATGGTAACTTATTTAACACGACTAAACTGGTAATTTCAAAATTAGAATTAAATAGATGCTTTTATAGATATTATTTCCTTTGTGCTACCACGAACTGAAAAGTACGCCACAGAAGTTGGTATGTCTCAGTTTTACTACTCAATCTCTTCTTCATGCCATCACGGTGATTAGTTATTCCCACTAAATTATGTCATAAAAGGGCAGATACTTTCCTTTTCATTTCTTTATCATATTAACTAAAAATCAAAAGGATCTCTTAGGCATATGAGAGAAGTATTTTCTTTTTGAAGAATAGTTAAAGAATTGCAGGCTATGAATTAGGCCCTAGAGAAAGAAGAAATCTGAGTCATGACTTAAAAAATGGTTAACAATAAAGCACATTAGTTAAGAAAGATGCATACCTACTTTTTCTGCAGGGCTCTTAAAGCACACCATAAAACTCTTTCTCCTCCTCCACCAGCATTGCAGTACGGATGAAAAAATGCAATAACCATTTGCTCTTTACCATTTTTGCTAACTGATGCTGATTTTTTCTTTCTCTGAAGCAGTAGTTTGATTCTCCAAAGGATAATGACCAAACACACACATAAAGTTGCACATACAATTAGCCCAGGGAAGAGTAAGGAATAAAAAAACCTGAAACAAGAGGGGAAAGGTAAATTGATACAGTCCATCAAATAAAAACAAGACTACAAATTAAAATATACTTTTACATACTCCCTTTACATATGAGTAGCAAGGAGGAAAAAATGTAGTAGTCTGGGCATTTACTAATGAAAAACTTGATTATTAAAATTTGAATTTGAAAATTTGAGTGCTATATAATGTCCAATGTCAAAAATGCAAGTACTCTTTAAATCCAATCTCCACAGCATGCTAGCAATTCAGTATACTTTTTCTTTTTGATCAACAGTAAAAATCAATGTTAAGGCCACCTTTCTCTTAACTCAATGCGTTAAGGATTAAAAACAAATTTAATTATCAACCTAAGCAACACATGATTAGGAACAAAATCTCATCCTCAAAATGACAATATATATGACCCTGGGCCTCCCAGGTGGCGCAGCGGTTGAGCGCTGGGTTGCGAAGCTGCCCGCGGCTGCAGTGCCGGTTCGATCCCCGGCTGCTCCCCGGCCACCAGAGGAGGGTCCCACGTGGCGCGCAGACCTCTCCTGCCGCCCGCTGCTCCCCTCAGCAGTGTAGTTCGGTCCTTCTGCCTGCTCTGCTCCCCGCTCTGGCTCTGGTGAATTCTCTCACCCTCCCGCTCTTCTGACTGTACCCAGTGCATGTATAAACAAAACAAACAAACAAACAAACAAAATAAATAAATAAATAAAAAACATGCCTCTATTAAAAAAAAAAAGATTAAAAAAAAAAAAAAAAAAACAATATATATGACCCTAAAAAATCCTGAATGATCAATATTCCATTTGCTAAAAATGTACTGAGATAGTAAATCATTTTTATTCTGTCACTTCACCTCAATTTGAATAATTTCTGGGGAAAGAGGAATGGAATTTAGATTTCTCCAGTTCTATTCCAAATTCTGCATCTGATCTGTTTACATGACCCTAAAATCACTACCTTCCTTTATGTGCCTCTGAGTGAGTTGCCAAAAATTCACTAATGTTTTACTTCATATGTTAGAAAATTCACTCCCACGATGACCGATAAGCGCTTTTCTAACTACCATCAGGTCGACTGAAGCCTGCAAAGGTAAGGACTCACATTTGTTCACCACCTTATTCCAAAGCCTAGCCTAATATTTGGCACAAAGAAGGCATCCAAAAAACAGCTGTTGGTTTAATGCAAAAATTTTTTACATAGACGTGTTTCACATAACTATATCGTTTTATAACTTCTTACAATCAGAAAAATATCAATGGATGATCAAGAAGCAGAGGATTCAACATAAACTTCATTTAAGTGACATATGTTTTAAGTGACATATGTTAACAATAATGGTTAACTAAGGACAGGAGACGGGAGATCGGGTTTTTTTTTTTTTTTTTAATCAAAAAGAAAGCATGATAGGGTGGAAAATAACTGGTGGCTCAATGATAAAATGAAAATGAGTGGAAATGAGAACTGAATATGAGTAATTTACGGCAGATTAATTGGAGGTCCAAGGAGAGAAAGAAAAGCTGAAGCCTGTAAAGTCGACCCCTCAGCCAGTGGTGAGGCAGGCGCAATAAACTCGGTAAACAGTCTCTAACGCAAGTCTGCTCTACCTAGAAGACCCCAAACGAAGAGGAAAAGCACTCACTGGCCCTGAGAAAGAGCTAGACTTGTGTGCAGGAAAGCCCTTTTCCGGATACCTGTGTTGCACCGGTCAGACAAATACCCCAGCGAAAGACAAAACGCTTGAGAGCCCACATGCCTGAGGCCTCACCTCAACAATTCGCACAAACACCAGCCCCCTCCGGCGGCCGCCATCTTCCGCCGACCCCCGAACTCAGGAAGCGCTTTGAGGTTCCTCTTCTCTATTGGCTACAGAGAAAGCGTGCGGCCTCCCCCCGCCCTCAAGGGACCAAGTAAGCGTTCCAATTGGCTTATGATAGAGGCTTCCCACGGCCTGCTAGCCAATAACATTTCCCGAGAAGCGTACAAATTTTTTTTTTTTTTTTTTAGCGTGGCATACAAAAGTCCCGCCCCTGTGGGCGGATCGTAGTGGGATAGAGAGGGCGTGGCCTGTGACGGACAGCTGGCGCCCCGCCCACAGCCCCTCCCCCACCCAAGCCCCCCTCCGTGCCCTTCCTCCCTCAGCCCAGAGCCCGCCGCAGGTTGAAGACCAATGGGAGGCCCTTGCGAGTCTGGGGTCGGTCTTCCGCGGCGGAGTTCCCTCACCCCCGGGCCGAGGCGCTTGGGACGCACAGCGCCCCGGAGACCGGCGCGGAGTGCCAGAAGCAGTTGGGCAGAGCCGACCCGACGCCGGCGGGGGGCGAGCCTGGGCGCCGCGCGGGAGCCTCTCCGAGCGGCTTCCTCCCGCCGCGCGCCGCGGGCTGAGGACCCCGTCCGGGCGCACCGGCCCGAGGTAGCCGAGACCGCGGGGGGAGGACGGGCGCTCTCCAAGGTTCGCGGCTCGGCGGAGGACCCCGAGGCCCCCCGAGGTCCCCCGAGGCCCACCTCCCGACGTGGGTGAGGGTCCGGGGCCCACTCGCGTCTCGCCCTCAGCGCCGCGCGCCCCAAGGGCCGGGGCGTGGTGGCGCGCAACTTTGAATGAGCCCTGCGGCGAGGGCGGGGTCCCCGCGTCGGGAAAGCGGGGGTCGCCTCGCAGACCCCATCCGCGGGGTAGAGGCGAGCGGGAAAGAGGGCCAGGCGCTCCCTGTTCGTCTCCCCGGGTTTTCACCCCGTGCTTCTCCGCTGCCTAGGTGGTCGTTGGGCTTCGGGTCGCGCCGTAGAAGAAGGTGGTTCCTCCGGGGGAGGATGCCTGAGCGAGAGAGACAGATCACAGCCAGAGAAGGGGCCAGTCGGAAAGTAAGTTTTCTCCCCACCACACGCTGCCTCCCGGCGCCCAGGGCTTGCACCGACCTGGAGGGGTTTCCACGCTCACCTGCTGTCCTCGGCGCCTGGAGGTGCGACGCGGAGGGCCGAGCGCAAGAGCCCCGCCTCCAGGGGGAGCCCTGGTTTTAAGGAGAGCGCCCTTTAGAAAGGGCTTGCCATTTACTGGTTCTCAGCAACAATTTAAACCCGGCACTTTTCTGTTAATCTTTATGCTCTTAAGGAGTCTGATGCTGGAGAGGTAACGTGTGGGTTTGAGTTGCTGTGTGAGAGTACTGACCGCTCAAGATGATTAAATTAGTGACCTGAGAGCATACTCACCCTTTGTGTTCTATCCGGGTCCTGCGACTTTTTTTCTAAAGGACTGTTTTGCATTCATCTTAATTATACAAGTAATATTAATGCCTGTGTCTTCAAAATGCAGGAAGTTTACAGGAAAGTAGCATGAAAGCAGGTTTATTTTTTAATCCTTTTGCATTCGCGTAAGTCTTTATGCTTCTCGTAAATATTGACTGGAAACTGACAACTTTGAGGTGCTGTGTTGAGAGCTGAAAATACTATGGTTTACAAGATGTATGTATCTCCAGAGAAAGTTTTAGGTTTTTATATATGTGTGGCTTTAAAATTTTTGTTGGTTTTACACAAATTAATATCACATATGTATTCTCCAGCTTTTTCTTTTTCAATTTAAATATATAGTTTGGGGATTGTTTGACATTAGCATATTTCATTGTTTCTGTGGGTGAACATTCTGTTGTTTTTAATTTGTTTGCACCCTCACCCCAAGTCATGCTGTAGTGAATGATGTCATTGTATATGATTTTTAATACTGACTGCTGACATTTGAGTATTTTTCTTAGGCTGAACACCTAGGCCAGCCAGGATTGCTGGAGCAGGCTGTGCCTTTAATAGATTTTTGAAAGTTTAACATTATTGAGTGCCTTTTTGTGGTGAAATTTGTCTAGACTCTGGTGGTATAGAAATGCATTAGTGAATGGGCAAAGAGAGGATGGTCAGTGGAAGAATTTTAGCTGGATGACTGCATTTAGTAGGAGTGTGGAGCAAGTACATGGCAGAAGAGTGACTTCCCACCCCAACCATGCCCTCCCTTCCAGATCAAGACCTGCCTTCTCTTTGAAACTGTCTGTAACTGCCTCTGTTCATGTTGACCACACCCTCTCCTGCGTTTCATGATAAGATATTAACTAATACTATTGAGTTTACTGTGTGCTAGGTGCTGTGTTAAGCACTTTATATTCCACTGTGTGCGCTCTCTCATTTAATTCTCACAGAACCCTTTGATATAGTTATGATTTTCTTGTGAGCACCATGTATTCCACAAATACATTTTTTTAGTATCTTATGTGCCAGGCATTCTAGGCACAGGACATCCAGCAAAGACCAAGGCCCCACCCTTAAGAAACTTATGTTCTAGTAGGAGATAGGGAGGGGGAGAGAATAAACAGTATATTTCAGGTTCTGATAAATGCTCTGAAATAAATAAGTCAGGGTAGGAGCATTGGTAATGACCCAGTGGAAGCGGGGAGACACCATATTAAAGAGATGCTCAGGGGATGCTTCTCTGAGGAGATGGCATTTGAGTAGATATTTGAATGATCAAATTTGGGAGAAGTCTTAAAGGGTGAGGAACCTGAAGGTATCAACATCTGAAGTTGAGAGTACTTTAATGTTTGAAAAGTGGTAAGAGAGCTAACAGTGGCTAGAGCAGCGGGAAGAAAATAGAGAATAGAGATAATATGCTTTGATTAGCAGGAACAATGGATCCTCCCAGGCAATAGCCTCCCGTCACTACACCTTAGGGACTCCCTCAGTGCTTGCCCCACCTTTGTACTTGATTCTAAATTAACAGGAGACTGCTTTTGGATGGGGGCTGCACATATCCCAGTTGTTCACAAATGAATGAATTTCTGTATTATCCCCTGCCTTGTGTTCTCCTTTGATGCCTCTCTGTAGGTAATAGTGACACTGAAAGGGAGGTGATCCACAGTCTGGGTCATTCAGCCTTCATTCAGTCCACAAACAATGTGGAGCACCTGCCATTTGCCTGGTGCTGTGTCAAAGATGAGTAGAGGTCAGCCACTGTGTTCTTGGAGCTGACGGCCATAGGGCTAGAGGAGCGGTGTCTACTTCCCATGGGAGGCTGTCTTCTCAGTAGTAGACAGGGGTAGGTAGAGACTACTTTGGCTCCCTAGAATCCCAAGTGTCTGGAGTGTCAGAGGCCTACAGTGCTAATAGCAACAACACAGAGCATTGTTGGTAAATGAGTGGTTGGATGGAAAGCTGTGGGGGTGAGAGAACTGGGTTTTAAATGCTTCTTTATCTGACACATTGTAGGGATAAATGGCCCAGTGACAGGAGTACTGTTCACAGATAATACAGCATAGATATTGAGGAAGCATCCATGTTCAAGTGTGTGCAGTGTTATTTTTATAAGATTGGGAGCCATGGGCCTCCCTGGTGGCACAAGGGGTGAAGCACAGCACTATGAAGCTGTCCGCAACCTCTGCAGCACGAGTTCAATCCGCGGCCAGGGAGCTACCCACAAGGCACAACAGACCTCTCCTGTCTCACCTGCTGCTCCCCTCAGCAGTGTATTTCAATCAGTCTGCTTGTTCTGTTCCCTACTCTGTCTTGGTAAATCCTCTCACACCTCCTGCACCTCTGGCCTGTACCCCAGTTCTTGTATGCATAAATAAATAAATCTTTAAAAAAAAGATTGCAAGCCACGTGAAATTTTGGAATGTCTGTACATTTTTTTCTGTTGTTCAGGCTTTTTAAAAACAGTAAGTTAAAGGAGAAAATCTGAGCCGATCAAAGGTTGAGGAGATAAACTAGCGGAGAGTGACTTTTTATTGTGATGTAACCTAGCAAATAAGACTTTAAAGACTTGTGAAATATGTGGTTTCAGAGTGTAGCAGTTTTGTTGGAGCCTCAGTTCCATCAGAAACTAAAAATCATTCTGTATTGGGCATTGGAAATACTTAAATATGTGTGCACACACACAGACACACACAATATAATTTAACTTAATAACAAAAGTTTGGACCTATACTTTCCTTCATTGTTTGCTGTTGCTCCATATAGTTATTAATTTTAGAAATAAAACATTCTCACAACTCAGAGATAATCAATATGCACATCCTTGGCTTATTTAATTCCAGTTTCTCTTTTTTGCATTTTTTTCTTTTTCTAAATTCAGCCATGCTCACACTATAGATGTACTTTAACAGCTTTTAAAGTTGTCCATCCGTGAGTATATTATTATTATTATTGTTATTGTTGTTAACTTTGAATCTGCGGCCCCTCCTTCCTATCCTGACAGACTTCTCAAGTATTCTTGAAGTGTTCTTTCACTGCCGCTCCGGATTCCTGTGTGTCCTGCTGCCCCAGTGTCATTGCTGCAAATGCCTTCTCTTCTCTCCACTAGTGATAAAATTGCTGTGGAAATTCAGGCAACCACATGGTTGGTGCTGCTAGCAGTTTCTTCTTTTTTGATTTCACTTGTGCCTGCAAGGGGCTTTCACTAGTTATTGGTCAATTTGGTGTCACTCTTAACAAGTCTTCACCACTTGTCGTGAGTCCTCTGCCCAATTCTATCTTCCCTTGTTTTCAGCAAGTTACATCACTTCTTACCTCAAGACAATTGGGTGTGATTTTCCTTAACTTTCTGCTGACCTCTGTGCACCTTCAAATAAAAATTTTATTTAGATCTACAGCCTATTTTTACTTCTTTATCTCTCATCTCAGGGTCACTCTGCTTTCTTTTGGATGTCATTTCTTCTGCCTTTGATCGCTAGCACTTACCCATTCTGAAGCCTTTTCTGATCATCCCTCTCCCCTGCTCTAGTTTCTCACTCTCTCTGAAGGCATCTCCCCTCCAGCTGTTTGAACCTTTCACCTTGCCTCCTTTCAAAAGTCTTTCCCATTATCCTTATCCTCCATTTGCTGTTG